TCAAGGCTTTATTCCATCTGTTTTAAATTTGGATCTGCAATAATTCTTTCTTATCTCCTGCAGCTTGGTTAATTTAAAAAAAATTATCATAACAAACTACACAATCCAATGGTGAAAACAGGTTGTCTGAGACACAGCTGCTATGAATTATGCAAGCCAAATGAGGATCTAACTCAGTAATCCAAGTGGCTCTACATCCTTGATAATTACATGTAGTAAGGTCCCCTTGGGTCCTGGGTGAAACTACTACTACTGAATTCACATCCTCTACTGATGGACATTTCCTTGTATGTAGTGTATGAGCTGAGCTCTCCAGTCCTTGTAGCTCCTCACTCAACACTAGTTCCCCAGGGACCGTTCCATGGTCTCCTCCATCATCTAGCAGTCCAGACAACTGTCCTTCATCCTCCAGTTGCACTTCACTCATCTAAACTAGGAAGAACACCATGAGTCACATTGTATCATCATAATAATACAAGAGAGATTACATTTTCTCCCAAACATAATTAATATGACTCGTAACTGTGACATTTTAGTAAGTTATTTCATTAATATCTCTTATTGTTATATAAGTCACCAGTGTGACAATCACAAACAACTAACTCACTATATCATACACCTCTCCCTTCTCTTATCTCAATTATCCCTCAGCTCAATGAACTTTGTTTCTTAATCAAGCTAACTTCATTTTAGAGCATTTATATTTTGAGGGATCACCAAGTTCTCTATTTGTTGCCAATCAGGGTGCACAGCGATAATGCCTGAGTGAGCATCAAGTCATCAGGAAGAGTTGACAAAGCTATGCAGCTACCATAGCGCTCCATTGGCTAACATCGTTCACCATTACTCAAGCAAGATGTATTGGGTTGAGAATTCCACCTTGAATGGTTCTCATATAACCCAAACTGAGGATACAAGGTCCATCCCAACATAACTCTAGATTGCTAGTAAGACCGGAAGGTCAGCGTCCGGAAGGATCACTAAGACTGGCAGCCTCGCTAAAGTTCGCCTGGAAAGGCTGAACCCGCTACTGAGGACATGAATAAAATAGAGTCATGAAGAGAAAAACTTAACTCTGGCCTGCATGCTGAGAGTAATTAGAAAACCCGGGGCGGAAGCCCGAAAAGTTTGGTGAACGAACATGAGAAGAGGGAGAAGATGGCCACATATATCATGGTATTCATACTTGCACGTATAAAATAGGGACAAAGAAATTTTGTTTATACAGTATATATACAGTCTCTCCTCGACAAGAGATAAAAATTTTAGTCTTTTAGAGCAGTGATTCTCAAACGGGTCCGCGGACCGCGAAAAGTTTTTGAGAAATAGTGCGTTTAACGTTTGTGAGAGATTTGGCGATTCCAATTTGCAGGATATTTTAGATTTGGGTTGAAATGAACAAATGCTTTGGCTATGATTTATTCTTTGATTATTGACAATATTTGGATGCGTCATGGTATATAAGGGGTCCTTGGTTGAAACAAGTTTGAGAACCCCTGTTTTAGAGTACATTTAAGTACAATACAGTACAGTTTTTCAACTCATAATTTTGGGGCAATTTAGGGGATTTTTAGAAGTGTTTCTGACTTTATACGGTTTTTGGCTTTATGTGAGATTCCAGGAACACAACTCCATGTAAGTTGTGAGTCTACTGTAAATAAATTTATCGCTATACATTGGAAAATGTCGATAATTTTGGTAGTTGTGATAAATTTTAAATATTTCCTGCCCGATTTCCTTCGCGAAATAAAAAAAAAGTATCGCTATATATAGGAAAATGTCGATAATTTGGTAGCCGCGATATAAAAAATCGTTATATAAAGTCGCAATATATCCCGATCCTACTGTACTCAGTCGAGTGTCCATACCTGGAGCTGGCAGATGCCTGCCCCACAAGGGGTTACAGCTATGGTTGAAGAAGCCGCATGTCCAGAAAACTGTGAGCAAACTTTTTCGGAGTGAGAATTGTAAACTCTTGGGACAACCTGCCACAGAATGTTGCAATGGCACTAAGTGTGAGCTGTTTCAAGACCAGATTTAACTGACACTAGAGCAGGTTCAGATACATTCAGGAGTCCCTGCATGCCCAGTACTTGCCAACAGTGTGTAACAGAGACGTGATTGACCGCCCAAGCAGCTAACGAGACGATCAGTGGCGAAGAGGATAAAAGTAAAAAGTCCCACAAGGGAGTATCCAAGGACCTTTGCTCTTCCTGTGTTATGTAAATAACATGCCCATTAATGTTATTGTTAACTTTTGCTGTATGCTGATGACAATGTTCTTTTAGTGTCAGGTAAAGTTCCAAATTATATAGCTAAAGAGTTATCATTTGAACTGGAGTCACGCAAACAGTGGCTCATAGACAACAAATTATCCCTACATCTTGGAAAGACTGAAGCATTATTATTTGGATCAAAAAGAAAACTAAAAAGGGTAAAAAAATTCACTGTACTGTACTGTGTGGGAATAAACCCATCTCAACTGTAACCTCAGTGAAATACCTTAGACTAACTCTTGACTCTTGTTTGGTGAATTAATTGTAGGTACCTGTAATACAGTGGTCCCTCGGTTAATGAACACAATTCAATCCAAAAGGTCGTTCATTAACCAAATCCATTATTTCAATGCGATATTGGGTAATTGGTTCCAGCTCACAGAAAAGTATATACAAAGTAAAGTAAAAAAAAAAAAATATATATATATATATATATATATATATATATATATATATATATATATATATATATATATATATATATATATATATATATATATATATATATATATATATATATATATATATATTTCATTAGCCCAATAAAGCAAGCGGACTTCTACATATAATCAACACCTCACCCCGCCCGGATTCGAACCCACGATCTTATGACTGTGACCGGGGAATGTTACCTCTGGGCCACCAGGACATGAAAAGCCGGATTTGGTAAAACGTTACTCTGATCACCTAAGCGGCAAGGGTGGTCCCCATTAAAGGTTCACGGCGCCATAAGCTCATTGAACAGGCTTTGTGTGAAATATAACAAAGTCTAGGACTGCTTTTAGTATCCTGGTGGTCCAGCGGTTAGCGTTCCCCGGTCACCGTCATGGGCTAGTGGGCCGTGGGTTCGACTCCTGGCGGGTTGAGGTGTTGATTGTATGTAAAAGTCCGCGTACTATTGGGCTAATGATATATATATATATATATATTTATATAATCTCAAATTCTTTATGAAAGTGAACAAGGCAATCAAACAGCCTTTTTCACTTCCTATGGCAATGCAAGTCCAGCATCCTTTGCCATCTCTCCTGGCATCCTTTTTTGGAGCCTCATCCTCCCTCTTCTCTCCATAGAAATGCATACCGGGGCATTTCCTCACACTGTGTAGTTGCATAATGAATGGCCCTCTCCACAATTTCATTCTGCTGACTTTCAAGAAACAGCTTTAAAGCTTGGAGCTTCACAATGGCTGATTCCAACTGTTTGCAAATACTTCTGTGTGAGATCAACTTCTTCCAGGACTTCACACCAGAAAGAAAGATAACTCAAAAAAGAGAAATCTTATATAGCAAACAACAAAATCAGAGCTGATCCTCTTGTATCCACATTTTCTTTTGAATCACACAGTGCTTGAAGCACTTTTCAAAATTTGCCTTCAATGGCATCATGATGAGCACTCCATCTGGTCTGGCAAAGTCTTTTGACTGTCAGGCCCCTATTCTCCATCCTCCCATCGATGAGGTGAGACTGAAAAGAAGGAATAGACTCTCTCCAAGGTTCCAAAGAAGGTCACACATAAAGGAAGTGCTACCAAATGAGTGCACCCCACAAAGGTTCGGAGAATGATTTGCACAAGGCACAAACAAAGCCTTTGAAGTAATCTTTCTGATCTTTGACTGAACACCACCATGAATGCCAGCCATAGTGGCAGCGTTGTCATATCCTTGACCACGGCACAGGTTTATGTCCAGTCCATCTCTCTCCAGATGTCTCAGGATATCTTCTGTGAGCTCAGCAGTGCAGTCTTTCCAGCAACAGGGAAGAAGCCCAAGAATGATTCCCTTACTTCAACTGTCACACTCAATATGGACATATCTGATATATCTGATCGCTTCAGCAAATTTTTCATTTGGCTTGTAGCCTTGTACTGGTATTTCAACTCTTCCGATGCACCCCCAGGGTGGACTGCCCCACCTTAGTAAACCACTGCTGTACTGTACTACCGTACTACCTGTATAACTGCATAAGTATAAAAAATACTGTCTACAGGAGCACTCTAAAAGACATAGAGAAACTAGGAAAGGAAAAAAGAGGGGACACCAAAAATATATATACTGTACTGTATGAATTAAAACCATACGTTACAGAGGTTCATGTATGCCCCTACCTAAATTTTCAAAGTGAAACACGAACCATAAGTCTGCAACATAAAGTGTGATATGTGTTTCTTATTTAACTTAGCTTACTGTTGAGTATAAAGCTGCATATTGTAAAAAAATTCTTGTCAACCTGCAGAATAAAAAAATATGCACAAAAAGATGAATAACCCTAGATAAACAAGAAAATATATAATGATTTTTTTGGAATTAACGACTAATGGTGGAAGAAATATTTGGGAATACTGTACTGTACTGGGGGTCCCCGACTTACAAACGGGATTAAACTTGAAATTTTTATTATTTTATTTACCTGATGACTTATTTTTTACTTTCATTTGCTTTCATTTTCTCATTCTATTTCTTCTTTTGTCTTAAATTAAGTGATTTTAGATGTATATAAGGACTTAGGCTATGATATAGTGGGATTTTAAAAATTGTTCTGCAATTACAGTATGCACATAGCATGTGTTCTGACTTACGTACAAATCCGACTTACGAACTTCTTCAGGAACGGAACCCATTCGTAACCCGGGGACCCTCACTTTGTACAATTTAATGCAAAAAAGTTTGATGGTAATTTATGTAGCTTATTCTTGGGGTAAAAAGGAGTAATAATAATAAAAAATATTTAACAATATTTTTTTTATGAAAACAATAGATACTACATATATGAAATGCATTAATCCTTTACACTACCACATACTGTATTCAGAATACTTCAGCTGCTCTTCAGAGTGTACTCATCTGTTTGCAAAATAATCATAATACTGTACAGTACTGTAAAAAAAATTAACTAAGTATCCAGCCTTCTGGTGTTCTACTGTTATATTCAATTCCCTTTTTTCTTTTTCCCAAAGAACTTTATCCTTTAGAGGTAATCAAGAAAATAATTAAACACTTCACAAATATAACTACAATAAAGAAATATCCAATTACTTATTCTTTCCATCTGTATGTGGAACATCTTAAATATAGTGCTGTGTTACAGTGCTTTGATGAATAAACAATATTTTTTTTATACAGTACAATGTAAATGTACACACACAGCCTGAACATCATTATGTAGCAAAATATGAACTGGAGGGTGCTGATACAAATATCACAGTGTTTGATGCAGTTTCTTGGCCTTGTCCTCCAGTGGGATCATGTGGGATACCACCAAACATGATAAGATGCCCCCTGCCAAGAACTAAAGAGTAAAGAAGTGATGGTTGAGGAGGAGAACCAATACAAGTTGGTAAGCCATTAGACTGGTTAATAGGCCACCATCTTGCCTGCCTGCGTGAAATAACTTGACTGATATCCAGCATATGAGGTGTAACAGAACTACGAGATGGTGAAGACTTGCTGGAGGTAGCACCGCTAGGTTCTTGTTGACGTGACAGTTCTCTAATTCTCTCCGTCATTCTTGATAAAACCTGAAGTCTACGCTCTCTATCACTTGATGCATTTGGCCTGATAGAAGGTCGTGGTCTACCTCTCCCAGATGTTCCTTGCCCAACATGTGCCCCCTGAACATTTCCATCATCATTTTCGTCACTACTAGATTCTGCCTGGTCCACTGGATGGATACCTGGTCGTAGAAACCCACGCTGACCATTAACATTTGGTTCTAATTGATGGCGTTCTAAAGGTGGATGTTCATGAGGTCGTACTTCTGGCGGCTGCACTGGGGGAATCCAAACATTAGCTGGCTGTCTCCTTACTGAGCCAGGTACCAAAAGCTGAGCCATGTTACCACCCGCTGAAGCACTATTAGTCCCACATGTTGACAGAACAACAACACTATTTCCAACCTTGCATGCTGGGTTATACCACATCTGTGAGGGCATATGGTCAGATTCTTCAACAAAAATTTGTTCCCAGTGCCATTTTTCACTTCTATTGTAAATATTAGTAGGGATCGTCAGTAGCCACATATCATTGTATAGTTTGTTAGAGCCTCCACATCCAGCAAGGATTAAAATGTGTGTCTCATCCAGTTTAATTTGTGAGTGGCCATATCGTGGCTTTGGCATATGCTCTGACACTATAGGTTTAAACCAACACTGCCTCACAAGGTCTAAACAGAAAACATCATTTGTACTTGCAGATGTACCCTCCTGTTTCTGTAATCCACCAAATACAACCATAACACTACCATGTACAGATGCAGAATGGCCTGCTGTTGGCGGGGGGGATCCAGGATAATATAGCTGAGTCCATCGGTTGCCTAAGATATCATATACATGCAGCTCACTAAATAACACCCACTGTTGATGCAAAGGGTACAAAGAAGGGTAAGTCCAACCACCAAACAATACAAGACAATTATTCCATGTTACCATTGAAGCATATGCCTTAGGTGATGGGTAAGTTCCAGTGGTCAACAGGCGTGTCCACTCATGTAACCCTAAGTCAAAACGCCAGAGATCATTAAATGTTGTATTTGTTGATGTACAGCCCCCAAAAACATACATTGATGACTCAAACACACATGCTGAATGAGAATACCGCCTGCTGATTGGAATGATGTGACTTGGATATGTTGGACTGAACCACTTGACGCAGCCCACCTTCAGAGCTGTGAAAAACCGGGATTTTCTCTTCTCCACAACGCCTTGGCAGCAGGTGTACCAGCGATGACACACCTAAAATACAAAGATCATTACTAACTATTTCAAGATTACAAAATAGTTTCCAAATAAAATCAAAAGTAATACAGGAGGCCCCCCAAATTCGCGGGGGTTAGGTTCTCAAAATGGCCGTGAATTGCCAAATCTGCGAATAACATACGTCGGTTATGTTAGGTCAGGTTTTATTAGGTCCTATGCATTATTTTGTATTTATTTTTTATATAATACTAATAACATGATATTAAACACAGAAATGTTAACAACAATGCATAGAACTTAATAGAACCTGACAATCTTTTTATTTACACGATCCTGCTTCACAATTCTCCTCCCAGCGCCATTTTTGTTGTTTACCTCAATGAATCCCTGTTCAAGAGACGTTTCCTATAAATGATGAACACTTCCACGTATTTCTCCTCGCCATTGCTGATGTACATCAACCTTAATATTAAGGGAAGTTGTTTAACACATAAATTAACACGATAATGCATAGAACCTGACCTAACATGCCCAACCTATGGGTATGTTAGGTCAGGTTCTATTATGTTCTATGCATTGTCATTTCCATTCCTGTGTTTAATATCATGATTTTAGTGTGTAGAAAAAAATTTAAACCATTTCGGACAATTCTTTCTGGTGGTGACCCTCTTCTAAACCTTTACTGCGCCATTTTGGGGATGAACCACAGCCATAGATCTCTACCTGTGGCTGTGGGGTGAACACGTTCGCCCATTGGAGTGAGCTACCTTCGTCGTCTAAACTAACACCACAGATTATGCATAAAGGCACAAATATGGAAACAATAGACACGCAACAGTAACGACTGACATGCTCCATAACTTACATGGTCATTATTAATAGAACAACATATAAAAAACTTTAGTGGAGCTGCGAAAAACTCAGCAACAAGACCCCAATCAAACTCATTGGCCACACTTTTTTCCCATGTACTTACCTGTCTGCAAGATCTTAAATCATTATAGGGTGATATAAGACATAAGATGTATTCCAATATTTCTTCAGGGAGGTCATTCACACTGGCCATGATTAAAATAAGTTGTATTTCATTTCGTGAAGCTCTTGTCTCACTACTGCTCCCTGCTGTGGTGACGACACTCGTAGCCTACTATTATGTTGATAGATAACCTTCTGTTGTGCTTTTCCTCTTCCACGAGTTATAGTGAATTATGAAATAATTACAGTCACTTTTTCTATATTTATATATATAAATATATATATATTATATATATGTACACAATGCATACATAAGTGATCAAATTTAATGCTAAATCGTGGATCTGAATCAGGCATGATTATACATATGTGTACCATAAGCCTGATCAAAATAGAATTAGCCGCAAGTCTAAAAATTTTGACAAATGCATCGGCAAATTATATATATATATATATATATATATATATATATATATATATATATATATATATATATATATATATATATATATATATATATATATATATATATATATGCAAGTAAATCACAGTGGAATTAGAGCATGACTGTAAATTGCCATTCCTAGACTGTCTGATCCACAGAATAGGAAACACCTTTAAGTTCAGTATTTATAGAAAACCTACTAATGTGTGTTCATACATTCATTATTATTCTGCCCACCATAATACAGTCAAACAGTTAGTATTTTCATCAATGTTTTTACGTGCTTTGAGAATTTGCAGCCCGGAATTCATTGATGAGGAATATAAATATATCTATAATATTGGCTTGAACCTTAAATACCCTAGATCTTTCATAGACAAATGCCTGAAAATTACTAATTAATCTTTTTATAAAACCAAACTCAAGCTCACCCATGACTATGAGAATCTCTTAGTATTACCATTTCACAAAAATTTCTCTCAAATTCCTTTACAACTAAAAACCTGGAACGTCAATGTGGCATTTAAAAACTCATGCACTGTTAAACAAATGTTAATCAAGAACTCCCCCAACAATACAGGTGGCTGCATTTATAAGGTTCTTTGCAAGGAATGTAATATGTTTTACTTAGGCCAGACAGGTAAAGATCTTGTAACTAGACTTAAACAACATAAATATAGTGTTAGGACAGGCCAGGAATCCAATGATCTGTTTGTTCATCTGAGGAATAATAAGCATGGAATTGACTGGGATAATGCCTCCTCAATATTACCTTGTAATTCAATTGACAGTACGAACATTATAGAATCCAGTCTCATTAAACATACCGAATCCGTCAACATGAATTTGAGTAATTGTATGTACAAACTGGATAATTTCGTAATTAAGAAGATTTGTAACCAGGTGAGAAGGTTGGGTCATCTTACCCTCTGACCTGACTACCGACTGCTGCCGTGCTTTTTGAAGATTAATATGGTCATTACCTAATACCTGACCATTGTGGACTTGATCTCACCCTCCTCTGTGTATATATATATATATATATATATATATATATATATATATATATATATATATATATATATATATATATATATATATATATATATGCTGATAACCACAAGGAAAGAAGAAAACACGAAGTTCCCAAGCGCTTTCGTGTAATTCACATCTTCAGGGGTGAGTACAGGCTAGTTTTTATCATGAAAGATGTAAGCATAATAAACAGAGAAGTTGAACAGTAATATACAGTAATATGATGCACAAGCTCCCGCTCTGTCAGGACCAGTGAACAGATATGATCTAGTCATCTTTCCACTGCAGCCTCACCTTGACTCAGGAAAATTACCAGCACTTTCATTCTCCTCTTAGAATATAATGTTCAGAGTAAGTAGCTTAATTATGGACATTAAATTCATATTGCATAAGTAAATAAAGTTACAAGAGCTTGAAGCAGATTGAGTTTATCTCTTGAGCGTAGGCAGCAACTGGAGTGGGCGGGGCTTTCTCCTGGGCGGCGCCAGAGGAGGAGGTCAAAGATGTGGGCTATGACTGGGCTGGGGAGTGGCTCACGTCTGTTGCCAGTAATACGCAACTCTCTGACAGTGTACATTCTCCGCTATAGCCTGCGTTGCTATTCTTCATTTTCTCAGGAATATTATTGAAGACGTATCAAAACCTAATAGTTGTAGAGATAAATATGCTTGAACTACCGTAACAAAGCTAATAAATGTAATGGAATATGGTATGCGGTCATATAATTATATATTCAAGTACAAAAGCTTCATATCCCGTACTCATATAGCTTCTACATCTAAACAAACTGCAATTTGCAAGTGGTAGATCTACCTGCATGTAGCTAAGCGTGTTTCGTCTTCGGAACAGTTCACTTGTTGGAACACCTCTCTATCCAGTAAAAGGTAAATTATATAACATCATCTCAGTGATAGTTCCTGCGTAATGACAAATAAGTTACGAAAAACAAACCAACATGCAAAAGGAAACAAGCTTACCGTCCTCAGCGTCGCCACTCCTCCGACCACAAGTTCCACAGTGTATCGTCCACAGTTATGTTAACTATCTACACACAAGCAATGATACAAAAGCGGCAGATCAGGAATTAATACCATCTTGCATACGTGGGGAGATTGAAGAAGCTATCAACTTAAGACCGATGACAACAGAAGACAGAGAAGAGATTCAATACGAGGAAGAAGAGAAGAGTGCGAAAAATGAAGAAAATATAAGAATAGCTGGTCCTGACGGCGGCTGGTCATGGGTGGTACTGCTCGGAGCTTTTGTTGTCATGGTGAGTCGTGATCCTTGGTCTCTCATCTCAATTTCTTTTCCCTAGTCTTGCTATGTCTGTCAATTTCTTGATTCCTCGTGCTGTTTATCTACATGTTATCCATATATACTGATTAGTATTTATTCATGGTTTGAAATCGTCCCTGTCCCAGTTTTTTTCCCTTAAATATTTATTTATGTAATGCATTACATTGTTTAAACTATTTCACATGCCGATATTTCGAATATGGCCGCAAAAAAAATGTCTGCACCTTTTCGTCAAATCATTACTTCGCATTGAGCTTTTGGTGTTAAAAACGTCACTGATTTTTGACTGAGGTTAGATATTATTGGCATATATTCAGTTCAACACTTTTATTTATATGCTTCCCTCTCAGCTCAGAAGAGAACATACTCCACTTAATTCAAAACTTAAAAATGCCAAATTACCAGAGAAATTTAATTCTGCAAAGGTACTGCATTATTTAAATGTTGCAATAGGAAATTGGATATCGGGAATATTAGACGCGCGCGCGCGTGTGTGTGTGTGTGTCAGAGTGAAAGAATGATAGTATAAAATTTCAGTGTGTCTTCTAATAGATTGAGTGGTGGTTGGTGCAGTTGTCCCTCCCTTTTGAATCATCATCTGTCTAGGAGTCACGTGTACATGTATCACTTGTAAAGTTATGGAGTCCATTGTAAGGGATCAAACTGTAGCTATTATGATGGACAATCGCTTGTTCAATGACAAAAACTAGGGTGTTATAAACAGGCTGAATAGTTGCACCATGTCGTGCCCACCCAATTCAACACCAATTGCCCAGCAAGTGGATGAAGAACTGGAGGTATACAGGCATGACACCTTCGTCCAGAATACATAAATGTCCTCAAAAAGTAAGGATTTGTTTGTTTATGTATCTAGCAAGACCCCTGTACTGCACAGTATATGTTTCTGCGAGTGTGAGGCACGCGAGTGTGCGTGTAATAAGTTTGGCATAATTTTTTTGGAGATGTATTAGCTCGCCGGTAGTTTGTGTAACTCTCATAATAACATTCACCTCGAGTGTCATTAAATACTGTACAATATATCCGAAATTAAAGTGTGCAATATTTTTCTCTCAGTATTAAAATATCCTCATGGGTTGCCCAGTTCTGGGACATCTCTCAGCCAGAGCCGTAGAGTTTAGCTAACCTGGCGCCATGTTGTTGCTCAACGGGTGGGAAGTCTTTTCGGGCTGTCTCCCACATAGTTTATAAATAAAACTTGCTTATCCAATTGTGTTCATGTATGACAATTTTACTGAAGAAACATAATCATCATCCTTTGCAGTATGACCGGAAACTTTTTCATCAGCTAAGTAACAACATGGCGCCCGCATGTCACCGATTTGACAGAAGTCATATCTACGGCTCTGCTCTCAGCATGACAGTTTGCACGGAGGTTGTCAGGATGAAAATTGGCCCTTTAAGCATTTTTTAAAGTTATGTCTGTGGTACTTTGAAAAAAAATGTATACGTCCACATGCAGCGTCATTTCTATTTTATTTTCAATTTAATTTTATTTATTTAATTTGGGCTTGCTTGGACATTTCTAGTTACCTATTTTTAATTTTTTTGTTTTGTTTAACGGGAAATCGCCCACCCGGGCACAGGTCATCGACCCACAACGGGACCTGGGGGGCGAAAAAAAAACAATACAAAAATGAAATAAAAAATTAAAAGAGAAAATACTATGTTAATCTACATCACTGGGTTGTACTTGTTCCTGGCGGGCCTGTCTAACATGATGTTGTCCACTGCCCTGTGACCTTAAATACCAGTCCCTACACCTTGTCAACTCGGTCAAAAATGGGTTTAAGGACATGCCTACCTGGTAGTATCTTTTCAAATTTCTCTGCATTTGTCCTGGCAAGCCCTAATACAATGCATTTTTTCATAATCTGTTCTTTCCCTGGTACTGGTTCAAACCTCCTCTCTATGGCTGTCAGTTTACGCGTCATTCGTTCCACACATCTTTCCGAATCGTCCTCTAAATGATATTCCTCTCTAAAAAAAATCTGTCCATGGATTCCCCAGGGTACTCTGGCCCGTGCTGAACTTCGTCAAAGCTTGCTTAAGGTTGTTCCAATCCCACGTCCCCCTGCTATCCAGTTCCTCCAGAATCATCTCATCTACGGGACTCTCCATTCTGCTAAGAGCCGCTTCTACCCGATGGTCATCCTTCTTAAGTAGCCACTCTACCTTCCTACAAAAAGTTCTAACGTTGGTCCCAGAATTCAACCCCGTTAGTTTTTCCAATGATAACATTTTAACATAATTAAGGCTGAAAAAGGATGATTCCCTATCACTTCCCTTGATATGATCTGTTAGTTTGGGATGAACCCCTGGATCAACTTTACTTGTAAGGCTACCTGGGTGTGTGGTGTCGCTCCCTAATTGTGGTACAGGGCGGAAACTTTCTGCGTGTGGGGCCGTTGGGGTTGTGTCATTTCTTACAACTGACTCTTGATCCGTGTCTGGGTTATTTGCATGCCAGAGGTCTTGTTTTAGGTCCCTCATTTGTTTCTGCAATTCCTCTAGCTCTGACCGTTGCCTGTTGATGACTGACATAGCCTGTTCCATTCTCTCTACCACTGTGTCGCCAACCGTGGTACTTTCCTGTTCTCATGACTCACCCATTTTGTCCTAAAAATACTACCACTCGACCAAAGAAAACTACGAACCACTTAACACAACTACTCTCCTGTATTACTACAACCTGAATTGACCAATGGTACAATACAACACTATGCAACACCTTAACATGGCACCAAAAATTGTAAGTCACATCAACTGGAGACCGAAAGTCCTATGGCATTCCATAAGTGAACCACTTAACAAACATCAGAAGTGAACCACTTGAGACACTTCTCAAGACACAGTATGGACTCCCTTACTTCAACGCCAAAAAGGTTAATCCACAATTTCAGTAATTATTAATACATATTAACAATGGGTAAAACACAAAAAAAATCAATGACACACATTACTTCAGTACTGTCTAAACTTTCAAAAATTCTTCTGACATTTCTGTACCCAATCAATGTTATTCATATGCAAGTATCACTCTAAAGTCAGATAATCTACAATTAAAATTATTTGTCTACTCAGCATCTTAATCACAACTTCAATTCCACCGGATTTGATCAATGATTAAAAAACAATCCCACCGCTATAGCCACCAATTTATACTGCCCGATACTGGGGTCACTAATTCTAAGGAGATAACTTAACTATATTCTTAATTTTAAGGTCGCTGCCACCAGACCCCCCTGGACAGTATGTAGCTCACTCTGCCCGCTACCTACTACATACTGTCCAGGGGGGGTCTGGTGGCAGCGACCTTAAAATTAAGAATATAGTTAAGTTATCCCCTTAGAATTAGTGACCCCAGTATCGGGCAGTATAAGAGTGACCAACGGACACTATCCTTGGCCTCTCCAACACTTGTCTTCTTGCCCTTCCTTCCACTCTTATTAAAATAAAAGATACGTTGTTCAGCCAGCTCCATAAGAGCCTGGCTAGAGGTCTTCACTCCTTCCTTAGAAGAATGGCTACTGCAAAAATAAACATATTTATAACAAAATGAAAAAGGCTTGAGAGCTAGTACCTAAATATACAAGATGTAAGATCAAAAATAATTATTATAACCTCAGCATATCTGGTTGAGCCCGGATGCTGTTTATCTCTTACTTTCCTTTAGTATTCCTCCCTCTTTTACCTTACTCTTAAACCAATCCCCTCCCTCCCCCCAAAGTACTTCCAATCCCAATCCTTGCCCTCCCACCCAGCACCATAAGCAATAGCCCCTCTACCTGAACCCCAGACGTCAAGTCAAGTCAAGAAGGTCATTCTACTCCACGGTCTCAAGCCGACAAGATCTCCTCTCAAGAAGCTCCTCCACAACACAGCAACTCCCCACCATCCTACTGCATTGTACATACTGTACAATATACGTGGAGTTAACGCTATTCTCAGTTTCCTTCCTCACCTCCATCCTGAGTGCGAGATCTCCTTTATGTACAGTAGCTGAAACAACTATCTGTGCAGGTGGGGTCGATATGCTCCGAATTTTTACGTGTGACTAGTGACAACCCTCATATACCAAAATAGATCGTCCATGGTCTCATATTGTTTCCCACAAAGTATGCACATATAGTTGTTTTAGCTACTGTGCGTGTGTATGTGGTCCTAAAGAAAGAGAAAGTTGACATACAAGAAAGAGAAATTTTACTAACTGCGCCACATACTCACGCTACACATTCTAAGGCTATTGTGAAAATGAGTTCACCATTATGGTGTATTCTAATTTGGTTTGTGAAATGTTCTTTAAAAATCTCTTAACACATTTATTGTAAACCACTTATGTTGTAGACTTATTATTATAATGGTTAACATTATTTGACAACTGAATGTATTTTGGGTGGTTCAGACGCTGGTGTCAACGGTGGGACCGTGCTTCAGCCTGGTGTTCTCGAAGCTTCTGTTAGCCCTGGGCTCCTCCTCTATCACAGTCGCGTGGATCTTCAATATCTTCAGCCTGGTATGGAACGTGGTGGGGCCGGTGGTGGGGCCGCTCACAGCAGAGGTGGGACACCGAAAGGTGGCCATGGTGGGCTCCCTCATGATGGCCGCCGCCCTCATCATCTCCTCTTTCGCCTTCTCCACTTGGCACTTACTACTTTGCTTCTCTGTTCTCGGAGGTACCACATTTTTATTTTTATCTTTGCCACCCCAGGAAAAATCTCCAATAATCAAATAACTTAAGTACATTCAAACTATGTAAAAAAAATCGTTTGGATTACAATGTGCATTTTCAAATAAAGGGAAAAATTTGCATGAAGGTGTTAAAACAACTGATGAAATAAACATAGGTTTACTAATCTTCATAAGATTGTTAGAGACACTAAAAACAGGCGTTGCATTTCTGGTGGAGAGGAAAACGTACATAGAAGTGAGCAATCATGGGAAAATGTATTACAGAATTCTTAATGAGAGAATTGCAGTAAAAACAGTTTATTTTATTGGGGATGAAGCAATAGGGTTATAGGAGTCCATAAAAAGAAAGAGTATATATGGATCAAGTATAATGTATTAAAGAAAGGCAAGTCGATTTTTTTTCTCCTCTTCACCACTGATCGGCTTGTTAGCCGCTTGGGCGATCGGTCACGTTACTGATTATTTTTCCTTTTCATTTATCTTTTTCACCAAAAGAACGGCTCGCTAGCCGCCCGGGCGATCGGTCACGTCTCTGTCACGCACTGTTGGCAAGTACTGGGCATGCACCGGCTCCTGAATGTACCTGAACCTGCTCCAGTGTTGGTCAAGTCTTGTCTTGAAAGAGCTCACACTCGGTGCCGTCACAACACTCTCTGGTAGATTGTTCCAAGAGTTTACAACCCTCACTCGGAAAAAGTTTGCCCTCACAGTTTTCTGGACTTGCGGCTTCTTCAATCTTGAGCTGTGACCCCTTGTGGGGCGAGCGTCCGCCAGCTCCAAGTAAGGACACTCAACTGAGTAGTGCCCTCTGAGATGCTTATACACCTCAACTAGGTCCCCCCTTGCACGTCTGTAGTATAAGCTAGGAAAGTTCATGCTCTCCAATCTCTCAGGGTAGCTGAGGTGCCGAAGTGCAGGCACCAGTCTGGTGGCCCTCCTTTGAACATTTTCAACCAACTGACAGTCCCTAGCATATCTCGGGGACCAGGTGGGGTGACAGTACTCCAGATGGGGAAGCACTTCACTCCTGAAGATCGTTACGAAGGACGGACCGTCTAGATATCTGAACGACCTTCTTAAAAGACCCAATAATTTATTTGCCTGGTTAACCTTCTTCTCGCAATGGCCCGAGAACTTCGGCTCATTGTCAACATACACACCTATGTCCTTCTCACATACAGTCTCAACTAGTGCAGTTTCCTCATCCCCTTGGGACATATGATACGCCTCCTTACTGTTGGTACGCCCCAGGTGCATCCTCTTACACTTCGTGACATTGAATCTCAGCAGCCATTCCTTCGACCATTCCTGGAGCCCACAGAGGTCCTTCTGCAGCTCTTCACAGTCAGCTTGGTTCTTAATTTCCCGAAATAACTTGGCGTCATCGGCAAACATTTGTATGGAGGAGTGTACAACGTCAGGCATGTCATTTATGAAACAAACTTACAACAGCGGGCCCAATACACTGCCCTGTGGTACCCCACTTGTGACAGATACTGATGACGATTTCGTGCCATTAATCACCACACACTGCTTGCGGTCATGTAGAAAGTCTTCTATCCATGCTAGGACATTTCCCCGAATTCCGTACCCTTCCAATTTGATTTTCAGCCTTTCATGGGGTACTTTAAAAATGAGATACTTTTTAGTTCTACTTGAGTACATTGACATTTGGATACTTTTACTTCAACTTGAGTAACATTTTGCCATTGTAACAATACCTTTACTCAAGTAACAAAGTCCAGTATACTTTTTACAATTCTGCTTTTTTGAGATAATGTACTAGCTGTACGAATTTTTACTCAATAAATCTGAGTCAAATGAAATCACATAACATGATGCATATAACTAGTCTAATTTGGTATCTAACACAAAGAGTTATATAGTTTTTTAGTTTTCTTCAAAAGTATTATTAATGAATTTCTCTTATTAATGAATTTCTCAGGTAATGATGTTTTAACACTTCTCAGAACTTACTATAACAGAAATGAGTTATGGTAGTGACAATGTGCTGTGGTAGGTCTTGGTGCTGGCCTGGTCGTCACTACTAGCGTCCTCATCGTCCCTCTTTACTTCACACATCGTCTTGGTCGAGCCAATGGTGTCTTCATGGCCGGCACCAGTGTTGGACAGTTCATCGCACCACACCTCATCACTTTCCTGCAGGACAGATATGCCTTCACGGGAGCCACGCTTATCCTTGGAGCCATCGTCCTAAACACCAGCGTGGCTGCCGCAACTTTTCACCCAGTATCTTGGCACACTGGTCATCTGGATTGTGAAACTGGAAAGCCATTCCCGGAAAAAGTCTTCCTTCGTCAGTCTGCTTCCAGTCGTCAGCTAAACAGCAATCTGGCATCTTCAAATCAAGTTACGTCTAACAGAAAGTCGAGGAAAATGAATGGATTGCTCTTACGCGTTGCCCAGTCAACATTACGCGACTTGGGCATCCTGAGGTCTCCAAGAGCTCTGATTATTGCTGTCAGTAGCACATTAGTAGTCAATGGTTACCTAAACTTTATAATGATGGTCCCTTTCATGGTGCAGGAGGCTGGCCACTCCCCACAGTCATCGGCATGGTGTGTGTCTGTGTCCGGTGTCTTTAACCTGCTTACCCGCCTGGCTATGTCTGCCTTCTCAGAGTGCCCCTGCTTCAACATGCATATTTGTTACGTCGTTGGGATCTTCACCATCGCTGCCTCCAGTTTAGGTAGGATGCCAAGCAGTCTTTCTGTATTTCAGGTTACATCTTGTCCCGCTTAGCAGAAATCAAAGAAAATGCCCCTTGTAAATTTTGGTAACAGCAAATAGTGCGGATCACACACTCGTCAACAAACCTAATACAGTATCCTGTAAACAGTACAGTACTGTATTCAAGTACAGTACAGTATATTGTGCCATTTTAGTTCCAGTGACCCCTTATAAAGAATCTCAGAATCATATTTAAGATATTCTCTAATTTCATAAATCATTTTATCCTTTTAAGAAGACAAAAGTTAACTATCTTTTCATTAAAAAAGGCGTTAATCATATATCTATAGTTAGATCATAAAAGCAGAGTTATGCCATCACTCTTCTATCAAAAATTTGCCATTAGTCTGTAAGAGGTGAGGCTTGATTGTGACAGTATACAGAGACAAATCCCTGCTGCTAATGGTCACAAATATCAGCATGGAAAACACTGTAAACTCATTATTTATCCAGGTTTTAAACAATAAGCCTCAGATTAACTAAAATATGGGTAACATATTGGCGAGAATCATACACTGAATTACTTAATATAATAAAATTAGAGAACACATAATTATACAAGAACAAGTAAAGGAACAAACAAAATGCATGAAACCACAGCCTAAATTAACCGAAACCATAACTTCAGTCTTACCATACACTAATCTCCATATAAATATATCCTGAGTCAGGCTAGCTGCACCGCACTTGGACCAAGCCCTTACACCAATCAGACTCCTCACTCACCTGTCTGCCCACTGCCCGGAGGAGCTGGTAGAGCAGTGACCCCCACACAGTGCTGGTGCCAGGTCAATAATTTCAATGTTATTTTACCTAACTTCCACACAACATTAAACTAACTTATTTAACACATACATATTACGCATTAATATATAATACCTATTAAACAGTTATTACATACTGGAACACAGTAACAGAATATAGCCCTACCTACTGAGCAAGCAATGTATGCAATTACCTCTGAATAAGTAGAGTAATTACTTCTAAATCAAAGATCTTCGGTGCCGCATAAAGCAGCAAACGTTCATCTTCATCACTTCACTTTATCCTTTTTGCTACTGATCGGTCTGTTTGTAGTGATAGTGAATGTGAGTCATGATTTTATAACGTAACACTACACCTGGTAGTTTTTCATCATTAATTTTACATGTTGTTCACTTAGCGTTATATCACTTCTTCCAGCTTTTTCGTTTTTAACAAACGCAACATGGCTGATGGTGGTCATGGGAGTATGGGGATGTGGTGTTGGTGCCTTCATGGGACTCTACAACCTGGTCATGATCCGCTACATGGGGATCCACAACCTACCACCCATGTTCGGCGCTGCCAGTCTCCTTAATGGCCTCGGCTTCATCACCCTTGGACCCCTGTTGGGTAAGAAGTGTAACCTTCACTCTGGGAGGTAAAGAGTGCTTGATCTTAGAATACATCTCGCTTTAACTGACATTTAAATACTAACATTTTTAAATTGTCTTGTCCTTTTGTACGTTACCAACTTACCGTCCTCTTCGTAGGATTACAGGGTAAAAAATTTAATTAATGAATGGAAATTACATTATATATATATATATATATATATATATATATATATATATATATATATATATATATATATATATATATATATATATATATATATACTGTGTGTGTGTGTGTACAGAGTACTATATTTAATATTTTGGGGACCTATTATATGAGCACCCTTCCTTTTATTTTTTAATAAGTGTGTCTCTGAGGCTTTATTTTGCACGTTGTGCAAAAAATGCTCTGCTTGTTTAATTCATATATTTTTCCATAAGATCACATGCTTTTACAACCCCCCATGATCTATTGATCTCCAAGCATTACATGATAAATACACATTGTTTTCCTTTTTGAATTTGTGAAAATGTTAAGTAAGGCGTCACCTGTTACAGGGTGGGTGAGGGACCTGAGTGAGAGCTACGCCTTCAGTATCTGGCTTTTGGCAAGCACACAGTTCTTGTGTGTGTTGCTGTGGTTCTTCATGCCTGCTGCTGTTGCTCGAGATGAGAGAAGGGCTTTACAGGACAACAACTCGGCTGATTGAAAAAAAAATGAAGAACTTAATGACAATATACAGTGAACTGATGGCACAGCACAAAAGAACATTTTATCTCATACTGTATGCAACTCAAGGCGACTGACATTCGGAAGTGCTGTACATTTGCTTTAAAATTTCCAATAGCCAACATTTTCAATAGAGAATGCTTCTCCACTGCTAGAGATGATGTAGTGGATACTCTCCCCTACAACTGCCACTGCTGTTTGTGACAAACGTTTGTCGATGATCAGCCGACCCCTTTTCGAGTTCCCAGCCAAAGCCTTGTGGTCAGACAGAGCGGGGCCGGCTATCAGCAACGTTTACTTCCGGCAGTCCTCCTCTATAAAGCTCCCAGCCTTACCGTGAAAGCCCTTCAACCTACAGCCCCGCAACACGCAACACCACCTCTCAGCAAGCTCCTCACCACACAGCAACTCCCTTGCACCGCACTGTACTTACAATATATTTATTTAAGAAAACCGCCATAAAGAGTTTCCCTTCTCCAACCCATCCTAAGTGCGAGACATCACGAAACCCCACAATGACGTAGATTATTCATAGCGGTTGTAACAAATATATCTTAAAGAAATGTTTTTCTTACTTTTATTCATTTTCCTGTCTTTTAGTTTTACTTATTTATATTTATTTATTTATTTACTCTTTTATTCCTCTTATTTATTCTTTTACTCTCTGTATGTCAACGTTGTAGTGTATACTTGTGAGATGGATGGAGGAAGAATTGAGGAACGAGGGAGTGAGAAGGTATTTGTTTATATTTGCGCTAGGCCGACGACTCGACTAGTGGTTGGGGATGTAGGCCTTCACAAGGTGTAAGCCGATATGAGGAGATGGAGAGAGGGGATAATTGGGGAATAATGTAACCTGTGATAACTGGGGAACCGGGATACCCGGCATTAGGTTATGTTATTTCTTATTTAAGACTCACTGTATCACTGCATAATACAAAAGACATGCCTGACAATGTTTTAGTCAACACAAAGGGAATTAAGAACTAAGAATGACAGTTCTTCATTTATTAATGACGTTACTCAAAATAAACAGTTACACTTCAAAACAATAATAATCTATCTAACTAACTAACTACCCAAGAGTCATCTGACTCACAATGAAATCGGGAAACGGATCAAACTTAATAGGCACAGTACTCACATTATAGCCTCTATTGGAGGTGACAACCAAACGCTCCCACACTTCACTCTCTAAACGCAGACCCCGCTTTTCAAACTGCCTCAGCTCAGCCCACAAAAGGATGCTATAACTTTCATGACGTCACGTCTCGCGGCTTTCTCATTGGTCCCGGCAGGCCTAAGGCATGTCTATTGGTTCGAAATTGGCAGGAAACTCTCAGGCGGGCGGGAAACTCATGACAGTGTTACATGGTGACTGTAGTTCAGATTAGTCTAGGATGAGAAAATTTATAGTTTTTCCATGGAACGTGTTTACTTTTTATATGGAATGGAAAGTTTTATGAAACTGACAAAAACCGAAAGTGGTTGTCAACATCTCATGAGAGAAAGAGTTGAATGATTTAGGCATATCCTGAGAAAAAATGAATTTGGTGACTGATTTAAATTCTAAAATGATTTTGTTAAACGAACATACAGGTTAAGTACATACGTCTGCCATCACTCCATAGTCTACAGCCGAACCTCATTAAAATGTACTCATCACTTATAAGAATTATCATTATCCTTTACATTGATTATATCAGCGATGTGAAGTACAGTATAGGGAAATCCATTTTGATTTCATAGGCAAATTTTAAGTACTGAGTAATTGATGCCTCAATATGTTACGTCTTAAATTTTTAGTGTCGTAAATATTTGGAAATGTGAAGACACCAATTAATGTCGTATTATGAATGGATTAAAACAAGATCAGGATCACCACATCTATATTAGCAGTAAGCTTGTTGGGAAAGGAAGTCCGTGGTAAAGTTAAGAGATCCCACCTTCCTGATATAATAATTTCTACCAGGGTCGTTGTAAAAGTATGCTGTTGTTGCTTACTATAGTTTCTGAAATGGAACAGACTATCTACAGAAACTACTACCAAAGAACTATCCAGCCTGGCACCATAAAGAGTAGCAGAGTTATTTAATTCATTTGGGGTGAACTCGTTTCTCGAGTCGATGTCGCCATAGTTAAAGTCCCCCATGATAAGGAGGCGGCTAGGGTTGAGCATCGCCGCATTGTCTATTAAGGCTCTTAAGTTCCTTTGATTTAGTTTGGGGATCTGTAGATACACCTGACGATACATAAGTCCCCTCCCTTTAATTTAATTTTACACCACTTGGACTCTTCAAAAACATCCTCTCCCTGTACCCTCGCTTGGCTGGCTCTAAGGTCTTGCCTAGCATAGATAACCACACCCCAAGGCTTTCGACAGTGTACCCCACGAAAGGCTGAAAATCAAACAGGAAGGGTACGGAATTCGGGGAAATGTCCTAGCGTGAATACAAGATTTTCTACATGACCGCAAGTTGTGTGTGGTGATTAATGGCACGAAATCATCATCCGTACCTGTCACAAGCGGAGTACCACAGGGCAGTGTATTGGGCCCGCTGTTGTTTGTTTGTTTCATAAATGACATGCCTGACGTTGAACACTCCTCCATACAAATGTTTGCCAATGACGCTAAGTTATTTCGGGAAATAAAGAACCAAGTGAACTTTGAAGAGCTGCAGAAGGACCCTCTGTGGGCTCCAAGAATGGTCGAAGAAATGGCTGCTGAGATTCAATGTCACGAAGTGTAAGAGGATGCACTTGGGGCGTACCAACAGTAAGGAGGCGTATCATATGTCCCAACGGGATGAAGAAACTGCACTATGTGAGACTGAATGTGAGAAGGACCTAGGTGTTTATGTTGACAATGAGCTGAAGTTCTCGGGCCATTGCGAGAAGAAGGTAAATCAGGCAAATAAATTATTGGGTCTTATAAGAAGGTCGTTCAGATATCTAGACGGTCCGTCCCTCGTGACGATCTTCGAGAGTGAAGTGCTTCCTCATCTGGAGTACTCTCACCCCGCCTGGTCCCCGAGATATGCTAGGGACTGTCAGTTGGTTGAAAATGTTCAAAGGAGGGCCACCAGACTGGTGCCTGCCCTTTGGTACCTCAGCTACCCTGAGAGATTGGAGCGCCTGAACTTTCCTAGCTTATACTACAGACGGGCAAGGGGCGTCCTAATTGAGGTGTACAAGCATCTCAAGGGGTAATACTCAGTCGAGTGTCCTTACTTGGAACTGGCGGACGCTCGCCCCACAAGGGGTCACAGCTCAAGATTGAAGAAGCCGCATATCCAGAAAACTGTGAGGGCAAACTTTTTCGGAGTGAGAGTTGTGAACTCTTGGAACAATCTACCAGAGAGTGTTGTGACGGCACCGAGTGTGAGCTCTTTCAAGACAAGACTTGACCAACACTGGAGCAGGTTCAGGTACATTCAGGAGCCAATGCATGCCCAGTACTTGCCAACAGTGCGTAATAGAGACGTGACCGATCGCCCAAGCGGCTAACGAGCCGATGAGTGAAGAAGATAAACGTAAAGTATCAGCTCACTCCATGGAAACATGGATATGCTACCCTCACGGGCCCCGGGCTTTTAGTTAGCTGCGTTGCCAACAGATGGCGGTAATCGGAGCTGCCTCGCACTTTTTGTATTGATAAAGGTAAACACTTTTCCGTCTTTCTTATATAGCCTTTGACTTTATCTAAAAATGCTACACCAGCACATGCCTAGGACTTGCCAACCGTGTGTAACAGACATAAGCGACCGCCCAATCAGTGGGGAAGAGGATAAAATAAAAGTAAAGTAACGCATGCCCTATAACTAATTGATCCCCGTGTCATGGGACACTAATACAGCTCATTGACCTCCAGCGGAACGCACTATCAAAAAGTTTTGTGCTACATATTTGCTATTAACTAAAAGTTTCATGGTAGGTAAATTTGGAATACAGAATAAATTCTTGCATGGTCGATTTTAGAATATGTATTAAGAGTAATTTGGGTTGAATTATTAAGATGTAAAGGCTGCGTTTATAATAATTTATTCCAAATTGATTATTTTTAATAAACATCAATGAAACAACATGAAGTCAAGGTGTCGTTACGTCTCGCATAAAGTCAATCTCATCAGTTTAAGTTATTGGTTGGTTTGTGCCAACTGCTGTCATCCCTGCCTACTCCCAGTAGCTTCCTTTAAATTTCAGTCTCGTTGAAATATTTAATTAAAAACATATAGTTAAGGATTCTCAAGGGTAAACATATATATTAATTCGCTTTAAGATAAACAATCCATAAAGGAATATATAAAGGCACTGAAATCTAGCGCCTTTGAGATGATACAATTGGTCACTCAGTTGGTATTACTGACTCACCAAAACAAACTATTCCGCGTGAGACAGGTAGTGACACTCCTGGCATATTAACAACTCATAAGGTTAAAGAATGGGTGGAGGTAAAAAAGGAGGTGCAAGTGGCGCTAAAGGCGGAGGCAAGGGTAATAAAGGAGGAGACAAGGGTGAAGCAAGTGGAGGGGCCACCGGTAAAGAGAAAAAGGGAGGAACGTCTGTCAAGGCAAGTTATCTTAAGATTGTAATGGATTGAACTGTATACAGTACATGCCGAGGTGAAAATGCACTTTATGGGCTGTTTTGTATTTTTTTTTTTTTGGTGGTAGGGACAATAGACGTTTTCTGACATCCTCTAGCAATGTGGAGTGCTGACATGTGAAAACAAGCTTATAGCCCCCAAAAAATTTACAGTCGTACAGTATAGCGGGTGCTGGGCAACTCATAACCATCAGAACATGTCAACTCGTACCCTATTACGAGATAACTCGTACCTGTGAGATTGTGAAATAGAATGCCATCGTACGATATGTTTTCCCATGTGTTGAGGTGGGAGCTTGTCTGTGGCAACGCCCGGTTGCCAGTCACCATATGACGCTGGAGTAGTAAAGTCTGCAAGGAACCTGGTCTATTATTCAAACCTCCCACACTATACACACACTAGCAGAAACGCCGCCTTCCGGGCGGCTCATTCGCTAGGCCACGGTAGGACGCCACCCTTCTTCCATCAATAGTTCATTCACGGTTTATGTAAGTTCCACTATGTTTTTCACTACAACGGTACAGCAAAGTAAATTTTTTTTAGCATTAAACTGTTATTATTTTGTCTAATCATCACTACATATAATACCACCCATCATCACTATATATAACATCATCCATCATCACTACATATAATACCACCCATCATCACTATATATAACATCATCCATCATCACTACATATAACACCATCCATCATCACTATATATAACATCATCCATCATCACTACAGATCGGTAAAGTAGTTTAGATTCTCGTAGACACACAAACAGACAGACTTCTTTGTTTATATATATATATATATATATATATATATATATATATATATATATATATATATATATATATATATATATATATATATATATATATATATATATATATATATATATATATATATATATATATATATATATATATATAATGGAAATGTTTTTTTAAGTGTTTATTTGACCTTAACTTTAACAAATTAAGAGTAAATACGTCTGCTCTCTCTCTCTAAATAGGAAGAGCGTGAATATTGGGCGACACATTATCAAGTCATTACGTTACTCATACTGGTCTTGTTTCCGTGAGGTGACTTTTTAAACAAATCTATCAAGAGTATCATTAACTTATAATCACATAACTAATTATATGCATTAGCCCAAATTCTTACTCTTCGTTCTTTTATATCCTTATTACTACTGTATTTCATTCTTGACGCTGACACGTCAGAAGAAATTTCTAACGATGTCAGCCAATCCGTAGAACCAGTTCGTTATACTGGAAGAAGTACCAGAGAGGAGCCCTGAATTATGTACTGTATACTAACTGATTTGTTTACAAAAAGTTGGAGCTGGAAAATCAATCTATTTTTATGCATTTCTATATTTTGTTGACTTATGGCTATTTTAAACATTTACATCGCCCAGTTATAAATTGAAACTGCCAAATCTTTTAGCTTGAAATCTGTAAATTGCAAAAAAGTTATTCTAAACCACAGTGTGAAATATGTACTTGTAGTGCAATATTTGTGTGACAGAATAACATACTTATGTAATGAGATGCAACCATTTTAAAGCCTGCAGTACATTACCCTATTTCACTGCACTTTTCTTTAAGATTTACACAATCTTTTTTTGAAATCATAGATAAAGCTAAAATGCATGGCATATACTGTACAGTATACTAATAGGTATGAATTATCTCTTGAATTGGGTGTAAGTAATCTTGGGTGCTACTTATCTTGTGAGTTGGGTACAAGTTGACTTTTTTGGGTACGATTTATCTTGGGGAAGAATTGTTTTGGGTACGAGATGACCCTAACCCCAGTAAGCTTTGTGTTTGAGTAGTGCATTTACTTTTAAGGTAATTGTGGTAAAGGTTTACGAAACTGTTATCACCCGAAGGAAATGTGTGATTTGGTTTAAATTTTTTGTACACACTATTAGCATGATATTAGTAAACACAGAAATGGAAAGAACAATGCATAGAACCTGACCTAACAACCCAGGGTTTGTAAGGTGAGGATCTATTAAGTTCTATGCATTGTTGTTTCCATTTCTGTGTTTAATATAATGCGAATAGAAAATCGTAAACACCTTAGCTTAATATTGAGTTAATTAAACCATGGTCACAAATAAGAGCTAACAAATGAGAATCATCAAGAACTAGGCCTGATAATTCGTGATAAGAATAATCACAACAACGCCTAGATTTCTGGTAAAAAAACAATTGGTGGTGAAACTGCAATTTTACTGGTTGTTCATACTTAAACTGCTTGGAACAAGTTTAGAGGGTTTTTTGGGTAATTTGTGAAGAAACTGCTACCACCAGAGAACGTTTATGGAGTTCCTTTGTTTTTTACTTGTTTTGGTGATTGTAATTAGTTTAGAAAGAATGACAACTCTATATGGTAATGTCTGAGAACCGCACTACGTTACCACCGGAAGTTGTTCGATTTCATAATTTTTTTCACAGAGATGTTCAGAGCTTTTCGGAATTTCGGGTAAAGGGTTGTCGACCTGTATGACAGCTAGTGTGCAAGCGAAAACATGTTGAGGGGCGATCGTAAGGAATTCGTTAATCGAGGGAATGCTCGTTAACCAAAGTTAAGAATCTTATGGAAGGTAATTCGTAACCGAAATTTCGTTAACCGAGGCGCTCGTTAACTGAGGGATCACTGTACAGGTGATTTATGATTGTAGATTAAAAAAAAATAATAATTAAAATAAATAAGTATTACAGTATTGTACTGTAATCCCAAATCTGGTGACAAGACTTGGTACAATGTAATGTTACCATAAGACAAGGAAATTTCATTACATTCAAGGAAAAATCAGGGAGAGAAAACAAGATATGAGTGACCATTTTGACTGCTGTGATAATTCTTGAACAATGAAAGAGGTTGCTTTTTCGGCATCTGACTACAGTATTTACTGTATACTATCCTGTTTGTCTCACAGTTTTTTCTTATTTTCTGTTTGTAATGGATGATTTTTTTTTTCAGGTTCGGCATATCTTATGTGAAAAGCAGAGCAAGAGTTTAGAGGCTTTAGAGAAAATCAAGTCTGGTATGAAATTTAATGAAGTGGCTGCTCAGTACTCTGAGGATAAAGCACGTAGTGGGGTAAGTGTTAATGTAAACTTTTCATTTGACCGGTGCCTGTAATGGTTATCATACACTTGATATTAAATATGATTTCTGTATATTATCTGAGAATATTTTATAGATCTTGGTGACTGTTTGTTTACTGATTTTGAAACTGTACTGTACCCTGAAATCAAATAAAAATACCTGTATGCCATTTGCCTAAACTAGGAAATTTAAATGCAAGAACTGGTATTAGGGAAATCCTGTGGGAATATGGAGTGCTTAGACTCTATGGGGATAGAAAATCATAACAGTGTTTGCTAACACAGGGTTAATGGTGGGGAGTACATACTGTATAGTTAAAAAAAAAGAAAGACATAAGTATACAGTATACTGTACATGGTCGCATGAAAGTGTAGAAAGTAGAAAACGATGGACCATCCAACTTTTTGCAGTTTATAAATCTATTAATTCTAATTGCCATTCATTTTCATTAATGTATTTTATACATTTCAAGAAAAGGGCCCTAGCTACTCATACCAATACAGCAATACACACGCTTACAACATTTATTGTATTATATTCTTGTATGATCAGGCTTTTATGGTGTATGTTTTATCATTGATAAAATATTAAATTCAGTATGGAGTAAAAAGGTGGCGGAGGTTTGAGGAGGGGGGCTGACCGCATACCCCCCAAAAAGGTTCGTCATCTCCTACTCCTCCCCATCCCTGTCATTCCCATTGTAATAATTAATTTTTACTTTTTATTAATTAATAAATAAAAAACATATGTTTACTGATATTGGTACCTGTATCCTTCATATACAATACAGTACAATACTTTTCATAATGTATCGGTACTGTAATGATTAAACAAAACCATGATCAATTTGGCAATGACTTAGCTTACCCGCCACCTCTCCCAGTGGAGAGGTTGGGTGAAAAAATTGCCTTATTATTTGGCTTGTCATGTAATTTTTATGTCAAATAAATAATTATACATTGTATTTTTTCTGATGTGTTTAATATTTTATGTTAACCATGATTAAACATACACCATAAGAGGCTGATCATTGGTAAAAAGGGGAGTGCCAGCCTCCCTGCCTGTTCCACCTGCTTGCTCCCAGCCTCCCTCCAACTCACAGTGTCTCACACAAAAGACTGTATGTATGTTGTGGTGTTGGGGTATTAATTAACGAATGACAAACAATATTGTATTGTATTATGAAAGTACAGTACTTTGATGAATAGTAGTAGTGACAATTGTAGTAGGCTGCTATTCATCAAACGACTGTCAATGATGATGCAATATTGCTTATTTAGTAATTAGTGCCACATCACACCCAGACACCCTAACACCCCCATATTGTATGACAAAAATTTATGCCTGGTTAACTGTGTGGTGGTGAATTAAAAGATCAGCTGTTGAGGAGCTTAGTGCTTGGCAACACTGGTGCATGTTACTACTCCTTTCCACTCCATCTCTCTAATCACCCACAGCTTTCTACTTTCTCACCCCACATTTTAAAATCTTATGTAATGTAATGTTGAAGGGATACAATGTGATAAGTGTAAGTATAAAAAATACTGTATTTTAGCCTTCATATTTATTCAAGACATCTTCAGGTCCTGAGGCCTACTAATCCCCCACCCAACAGTGGGTGACCTGACATTGTATCAGGTCAGTAATATGAGACCACTAATACCCCACTCTACCTCCACCTGACATTGTGTCAGGTCAGATCAGTTACATGAGACCCACTAATCCCCCACACCTCCAGGCGAGTGGAAAATAACAGTCTTTGCTCTGACACACAGCTTCATTCACGACAATATCATATAGATTTTTAGTTTAGGCTCTTGGAAAACTCCCCAGCACACACAAACATTCTGAGGATGTGGGCTGGTGTTTGTCTGTGCAAGATGCATAGTTTAGACACTCGGAAAGTATTCCAGTAACCGGAAATATCTCCGGGGATGGGGGATTTTTCCAGGTTTGAGAAAGTCGCCTGGTTAGCCGGAAATCTCTCATCTCCGGAAGTGCTCTGCACCAATTGTTCTGGCTAACCGGGATATCACTGGATATTATTTAGCTTTAACATTATATTTGAATCGTATATACTAAGTAAAGAGATAACAGAATGTGTGATGAGGGTGTCTTGATAGGAATATGGAGAAGGCACAATGATATGTTACAATACAATAAAGCAATGTTAATTTCCTTTATGTACCTTTTTGTTTCAGGGGGATCTTGGTTGGATGACTCGTGGTTCGATGGTTGGCCCATTTCAGGATGCTGCATTTGCTTTGCCAATATCAACTCTTGCCAATCCTGTGTATACTGACCCACCTGTGAAAACTAAGCATGGCTACCATATAATTATGGTTGAGGGCAAGAAATGATTAATTATTATTTTAGATTTCAAGTTACAGGTAAACCTCGAGATATGATGGAGTTAGGTTCCTGAAAAACCCATCTCTAGGCAAATTACCGTAGATAGGGAGCATTAAAACATAGGGTTCAATGCGATACAATCCCAGCCAGTACTCAAACACATATATCATTGACAAAAAAAATTCCTACAATACTACTACAGTATCAGTAAAAACAATTACCTACACATAACTCACCACATCCTGAAGAATAAGCCTGGTCATCACCACATGTCCCCTTTAAGGCTAAGGGGACTCTTGTAGGTGGAGTGGATATGTCACTCTGACTACCACACTTGGAAAACATCCTGCTAATACTGTATCCAAGAAATCCTGTCTTTCCATCAGTTTAGACGTGAAAATTCAAGAAATGTGGACTCTGAGAGAGCGAGCACCTGGGAAGGCAGAGGAGAGTGACCTTGGCAGTGAAATCACAGAGGAAAGAAATTTGCCTTTAGACATACTGTACTGTGTTAAAACTAAGTCCGTAAGTCTTTTTGTTTTATTATTTAAGTTGTGCTTTTTAAAGAAACTTAGAGAAAAAAATTAAGTAGCGTGGCAATCGGGTGGCCACTCGCGAATGACTCCACGGCTTCAGTCAGCTGGGAGGACTTCCACCACTACTTAGGATGTTCATCGTTTAGTGATACTGTATGTCTGTATATTTTTTTAATTATTATTACTGTAGTTTAATAAAGGTTTATTCAAAGATGTCATTTACTTTTAACCAATACAGAACTTAAGTACAGTGTGCTATTAAAACACAAATTTAGTCTGCTTTGATTCATGCATAATGAGAGGTTCTACTGTATTAAGTGAAAAGGTTTGGTTAGGATGACTGAAAACTTAATTTATTTTATGGGGAGTATCCGGTTGAAAATATGATGAAAATTATGAAAATATTGAGAAAAATTGCTGAGGAAAGTTGTTGCGTATGGCTATCTGCTGACATATTTTGATTGCGTAATTAGTATTATTTATGTAGCTATGCATGATTGTTCGACCCCCTCCCCCTCAGCAGGATGAGAGTCTGAGGCTGCTTGTACTCACAGTTACCGACGAAAGAAGTGAGAGTGAGGTTGGTCAACTGTGTGTTGCTCTCGCGCCACCCTTGTCTATCGGCCCGTATCTCAAAAGAGTTTTTCTAACCTTCAAATCCCTAAGGCTCTGCCAATTATGGGTTGATAATAATAAAACAAAAAATAAGTAGTAGAATAACATATAGATTTTCTTTATATATGGCTTGGTTTATTATTTGCTGATTTATCTTTATAAATATTTGGAGGAAAAACGGTAAGTTAGGAAAAAAATTCATGCATCAAAAACGAAAGTGATAATCAGAAATATCTACAGTATAGTCTCGTTTTACGCGGTCAATTAAACCCATGGAGGTCTGCGTATAACGCGAAAACTGTAAACAAAATAACAGAACATATGGGATTAATTGAAATAGAGACTGGGCCGACCGCCAGACTACCACCCTTTTTCTGACACAATACGTACGTTGTAGTAAAAATAATATCTTAATTTTATGATGGTAGGCGCACATAATTAATATTTAAGAGAAATATCAATAACATAGGTTTTTTAACACTTACGTTAGTAGAAGAGATGGCTGGGCACACGGGGGTGGAGGGTTGGTTCCGAGGCAGAGGGCAGATTATTGGTCCTCACCTGTATCACTATCCACCACAGAGGCTAGCAGGGCATCCTTGTCAAACCCCTCAAGTCCATATCCTCACTATCACTGAGTTGGGCTGGCTGTGGTGGGTGGCGGGTGAAGAACTCGGTAATGTTTTGTTGACTGGGCAAGCAAGGTTAAATAGACCAATCACAGCTCGCGGCAGAGGGGATGCGTGGGTGGTAGAGATGCGTGGCCCAATCAGAGTCCGAAACGTCATCTGATGTCAGCGGTGACGTAAGAGCGACCTAGCGCGCTGCTTGTCTGCGCTGCTTCCCGCGTAAATTCAGGAATGTACTGCGTAACTAATAATTGGCACGTCTGGACAGGTGCCGCGTAAATGACCAACCGTGTATAAAAAATCTGCGTAAACCGAGACTATACTGTATATGTCACATTCAAGAGTAGTAAATTACCTATACTCCACATGAATTTCAATGTAATCTAGCAAGAAGTTATGGAGAAGTATTATTTTGAAAACTGATAAGAATATAAAGAAAAAATAAGGTATCAAGGATTAGGCATTAGGCAGAACCGATTCAGGGGTATAGCAACAATGTATCTGGTGTCCTTAATTGCTGACAGGAAATTTATACTGAATGATCAATTATTAACGAATTTTGTGCTTCAGCTGGACACTCCCCTTAAACTTACACAGTACTTTAATGTCATACAGGTATAAGACTTTAACTATAGTACTTTGCTCTGGTTTGTGCTAATGAGAGGCTCCACTGGATGAAGTCAGGTGAAAAAGTTGGGTGACTGAAAATGTGCCCTGGGAATAATTTGAATAATGTCACACTTGTTGTACAACCTCTGAAAAACTAGTACTCAAGGTAAAAAGGAAATAAAACCAAGGTAATTACAGTATTGTATAGAATTTACTGTGATACATTTGTACTGACCTATATCATATGCAGTCAACAAAACATGGCTTCAGTCCTTGTCATGATAGGTTAACTCTCAAGAAATGTATGAAGTTTAAATACCAATTTAGGGACATTCAATGCTTTTAATGTATGAAGTATAGTACAGAAGTAAAAAATAAATGCCAAATTTATGCTTTTCTTTGCGTATAGTTTAAATTCATATGCATCATAAACTAGGTAGTAGGAAGCATGATGCACTGTGCTACACCAGGCAGTGAGTTTCTGAGATGGTTAAAAAGGTTTCAGACCAGTACACTCTGAGCCTTAATAATGAAAATCCTTGGAAAGAGCTACGGTAATCTTTCTTTCCAGTGAAATTGTTTTATGTTTCCTTAAAAGGCTCCAAATGTGCCTTAATTTTCAGTTCCTATCAATCTTCCATTATTAGATGGTGAAGGCATGCCTCATGGTTTGCTGATACTGTACTTCTTAATTATCCTTCTGTATTAAATTGTCCTAATATCCAGTGTAAGAATACAGTTAAATCAAATTAGTGAAGTGATACATAAAGAAGAAAACATCCTAACGTCAATTAACAAAAATAAAAGTTCTTAATTGATAAAACTTAAAAATAGTATTCCTGAATAACACAAACATCTTTCTCTATATTTTCTTGTTCACCTTATTGCTGAACTAATACTGTATCTTCATCCTGAAAAATGAAATTTTAGTTTAAAATTTACTGGTACATGTTTAAGGTAGAGAGAATGCTTCAGACAAGTAAAACATTTAAAATTCTGGTAAGTGATAAATGCACTAGAAGGTAGGGAATGGATATCCAGGAAGCAGCAGTGTACTGTATGTGAATGAGTAGATAACACAATAAACCAGATTTGTGGAAAAGGGGAGCCCTTACATCCTTAAGAAATAATAATTATGTTATATCTACAGGTATGGAACCGTTTATCTGGCATCCCAGTAATCAGAATGCTCCATAAACCTGCTATGTTCTGAAACAAATTGCTGTATAATCACAAAAACTGTTTTTTAGAAAAAAAAAAAAAAATCCGAAATCCTGAACACATCTGGCCCCAAGGATTTCGGATGAACGATTGTCAACCTGTAATTGGTAAATACTACTGTGTTTTATTACTATTGAATTTAACCAAATTACTTCCTCCCCATTCAGAGGTGAAATGATATCAGCTCTAGAAACAGATCTAGTTTGAGAATTAGGGGGAAGGGAAATATGAGAAGAGTGAAGAGTAGAATTATCAGTGTAAGAATGAATAGAATTCATAGTAGTGTGAAGTAAATCATTGATAGAAAGAAGGAGGGGAATAGGTGAGAAAACAGAGCCCTGTGGAACACCACTGCCAACCCTGACTGGCAGTGGCAGTATAGTACTTTATGAAAAGCTCATCTTTGATACCAATGCAAACAAAAAAATAACATTCTTCATTTGCTGAAGGATAGGAAAAGTACAATAAAACAATCTTACCTCTCTAAGATGATCAGAATCATCCTCACTTATCATTGTGTTCCAACGTATTCTTCTTGAAACACCCTGGGTTATGCTACAGTCAGGGTGTGATGTACTCATTTTCTTTGTTGAACATCCTAGTGGGATTATAAATAATTTTTCAGGAGATACCATAATTAAAGAGAATGTAATTAATAGGTAAAAGCCCAGTGCGAGTTATCAGGTTCCCTTGTAACTATTTGCGTGTCACGCCACACGCTCGGCCACAGGGAAGCTTGTAGTGGATTCCTCCCTTACAAACGCTTGTCGCTGAGTAGTCGACCTCGCGAATTCCCCAGTGTATGCCGCGTGGTCTAGGTCAACCAACGCCGCCTTACATGACGGAGGTCATCTATTAAGCCACGCCTACCTCCACTATATAAGACCTGACCTCGTGGTGACCTATCTCTTTCGACCTACACCAACCAGCCAGCAATAACTCCTCCTCCTCCTGCCTGGCGGCCCTCGCTCCCGCCGGCGAGCATGGCGACCCACAAGCTGGTCCTCCTCTGAGCATCCTCACCAACCAGCTCTCTCTACATCACGCTTGTAACCACGCTGCCACTTCCCAGCACCAAGCTGCATTGTACATCCAATACAACATGTATACAGAGAGCACACGTGAGTTTCCTTTCTCCATCCCATCCTGAGTGTGAACAAACATCTCGTACCCCACAAGCTTCCTGTATGTAAGTACATACTTTTTTTGTTTCATTTTCATTGTTTGTCCATTTTATCATGTTGTATCAAAGTAATATTGCTAAAAGTAGTGAAGTTGTATTGTAGTGTAGTATTACTGGAAATTAATGCTTTGTTTATGATATAAATGTATTTATTTGTGGAATTATTATTATTTTATATATTACTTGCTATACCAAACACAAAGACAGCCAGAGAGCTGGCGACAGACTGCTGTGTGTCGCCAAGCACTTTTATGAAAAATAAGGAAAAAAAGATTCTAAATGAATTATTTATGAGATAAGTATTATGATCAGTAAATATATGCATTATTGGCCACCTTGGACACAAAGACAAGCAAAAAAAGTTGCCCTCTTATCTTCCTCCCTCTTGTGCGGTCAGAGGGAAACTTCTTGGTAAATAATTTCTTTTTGTTTATTTTCATTGTTTGTACATTTTATCATGTTGTATCAAAGTAATATACCTAACTAAAAGTTGTAGTTTTATTTTAGTTTAGTATTACTAGATAATAATGCTATTATTATGTTATAAATTTATTTATTTGTGGAATTATTTTTCAAATAATTATTTGTATGACCTATATGTGCTCTCCCAAACATAAATCCTGACGACAGACTGTGTGTGTGTGTCGCTGAGAACTTCTTATGAAGAGTAATGCAAACAAAATAAATTCTAAATGAATTACCCGTATTTATAGGAAATAAGTATTATGATCAGTATATACCTGTACTGGTATATGCATTATTGGCCAACTTGGACACAAAGGTAAACGGGAAAATGACCCCTAAGTGCGTAGTGAAAGTGAGCACTTGATATAAAAAAAAACCCTTCTCCTTACAGCTACTCCTCGACTTACGACATACTCGACCTACGGCCACACACACATACGACCTGCCTCAGTCGGTACGACTGCCCGCACATAAGACCGCCGCAGTCGGTACCAAAAATTTTTCAAATGACACACGTATTTTCTAGACCGAAACGTTTCCGTCCCGTACGAGAGCGTCGCGTGGGCTGGGTCGCCTCGTGGCTACAGCACCCACGCCATAGAGCGCTTAGTTGATGTTTGGCTGTCGTTGTTGTCGGTAGTGATCGCGCTGTGTACTGACAATATTTTCGTATCTAATTCACTTTAGAGTGACTGGTAAGCGTAGAAGTGAGAGTGCAGGTGGTGCTTAGAAGAAAAGGAGATAGTCAATTACTTTTGAGACGAAAATGAAGATAATAATGCAATATGAAAATGGAAAAAACGGTAGCAACCATTTCACACGACCTACTGTAGGCTTCTCGCACTCGACCATATCGACTATTTTGAAGGACAAAGAACGTATTCGTGAGGTAGTGAAAGGATCAGCGCCTATAAAGGGAACTATATTAACGAAGAAAAGACAAGGTCCTATTCATGAGATGGAAAAATTACTTGTGATATGGATGGAAGATCAGATACAAAAGCGTGTACCCTTAAGCCTTTTAACCCTACAGGCTAAGGCAAGGAGCCTTTTCGAAAGCCTGAAGGAGCAGGCAGGTGATGAGTGCGACCAAACCTTCACAGCAGATCATGGGTGGTTCCAAAGGTTTAAGAACCGCTACAGTTTCCATAGTGTAAAGGTGAGTGGAGAAGCAGCAAGTGCTGATGTGGGTGCTGCCGAAGCTTTTAAGGAGGAGCTAGATCATGTCATCATGGTGGGCAAATTATTTGCCTGAGCAAATATTTAATGTGGATGAAATTGGCTTATTGTGGAAGCGCATGCCAGAACGAACATACATCCACAGAGGCGAAAACAATGCTGGGATTCAAGGCATTCAAGGACCGATCACACTTCTGTTGGGGGGGAATGTAGCTGGTTTCAAGATAAAGCCCTTCATGATATATCATTCAGAGAACCCAAGGGCTTTTAAACATATCAGCAAGCATACACTGCCAGTGTTTTATCGCAGTAACAAGAAAGCATGGATGACCCTAGTCCTGTTTGAGGATTGGTTCCTGACTTGTTTCATTCCACGAGCCAAGGAGTATTGTCTGCAACAAGGGATTGCATTCTAGATTTTGTTATTTTTGGATAATGCTCCGGGACACCCACCACACCTGGACGACCTGCACCCTGATGTTAAGGTAGTCTACATTCCACCAAACACTACCTCTATCATCCAACCCATGGATCAAGGTGCTATTGCTGCTTTTAAAGCGAATTATTTATGTACGACCTTCGCTCAGGCTGTTGCTGCTCCTGAAGGTGAGAAAATGCTCAGAGAGTTTTGGAAGGACTACAACATTTTGAAATGTATAAAAACATAACTGCAGCATGGGATGAGGTAACAGGTCAGTGCATGAATGGAATATGGAAGAAAGTCCTGAAAAGATATGTGAACAGTTTCAGAGGATTTAATGAAGATGAAGTAATTTCTGAGATTAGTAACAAGATAGTGGAGTTGGGTAAATGTTGAGCAGTTGGTTGAAAGTGTAGCAGAAGAGCTAAGTAACGAGGATCTTATTAAACTGGAAACACAGAAAATTGCAGAGGAAGAAGAGAGTCAAAATGTAGAAGATCCTGCACCCCCCAAAAAATTTTTAATGAAACAAATGGCAGAGGCATTTGCTACAATTAATAAGGGGATGCAAATTTTTGATGGAATGGATCAAAATGTTGAGCGTTTTGCCAAAGTTGACAGAATGGTCCAAGATGCACTTGCTTGCTACAGGGAGATTTATAATTTAATGAAAAAGCAAACTGTGCAGTCTAAATTGGACATATATTTTAAGAAATCCCCCATTGCTGTCTCCTCACACTCCACCAGTGCTGCCTCTTCACTCCCTAAAGATGATCCAATACCTTCAACCAGCAAGTTTCCCCTGTATATTAACCTGTCTGAAGAAAGCAACATTGATGACCCACCTAGCCCTGTCTCCTCCTCTGCTTCATCCAGTTAATGTTATTCTCCATGTATAATTAAAAAATTATGGGGGCCCCGTGTGCATTCAGCTGACTACATTAAAGGTAAGTGCACAGTAACACTGTATCCATTCTTCATTATTGATTACTTTTACTATACTGTATTTCATTTTAGATTTTCTATGTATTATTTTTTGCATTTTCGACTTACGACCTGGATTTGGGTCCTTAACCCCGTCGTAAGTCGGGGAGCAGCTGTATTTGTCTCGTCCTGAGGTGCCATGGAAGAATATAGAGGGACAATGTATATTTTTTTACGTCTTTTTTATTGTTTTATCATTTATAAAGGCTAAAAATTATTTTTGGAAAAGTTGATTTTTCTCGTTTTACCATGCGTTGGGGGTAAGGCCAGCGACACCCTAGCCCAGGGCGGAAGGGTTAACCCCATTTAACATTGTTACACCCTATTTACTTGATAATGGAAGCAATTAAGAACAGTTTCATTACATACTTTATAATGCAATGTAATTAATTGAGGCAAAGATTAATCATAGTGCAGTACTCTACAGGTACAGGTATTAAAAGTGAGGGTTCCGTTGAAATTTTCTAAGTACAGTATTACAGTTATAGGATCATTTATCCGGCATGCTTAAGACCTAGGAATTGCTAGATAGGAGGTTTTCCGGAATTTTGAGCGCCAGGCCTAAAATGTAAAAATTTTAGAGTAAGCCTTCAGTAACAGGCCGTGAAGACTGTTCAGATCACTAGATTCACCCCTAAAAGTAGCTTTAATTCTTCAATAACATTAAAACTTAAAATCGTAGGCACACAAACAGCAATAACAAATGCTTACAAATACATTAAGTCCTCGTATAACGTCGGCCCGCTTGACGTTGTTTCGATACTACGTCGCTAATCTTTAAATACCCAAAATTCGCTTAACGTCCCGATGACTCAGTACAACGCCGTTTTGCTTCGTCACGGACTACTTTTTACGGCGCATCACCCTCTCTCATCTGGCCGCGCTACGCTCTCTCAGTGACTCGCCACCCTCCTCCTTCGCTCCTGCCATACTCCTCCCCTCCCGCCTACTGCGCTTCACTACCCTACACACTCGCTCTACTACCTCCGCCCATCGGTGAGTACCAATACTGTACAAACTTAGTAGTTGTACATGTATGCATTATTTTCTATAAAAATGGCAATGATTTTCTGTATATGTAATGTATTTCATGGGGCAAAGGGAGGCTGGGGAACGTAACTCCCGTATTTTATTTATTTCTTGTGGGGAAAATTGATCCCCTTAAAGTTGTTTCGTATAGCGTCGCATTTTTAGGAACGTAACTCCGACGTTAAGCGAGGACTTACTGTAGTGCAGTAGAAGTGAAAGCATAAAAAAAGAAAAAAAGATACAATTTAGTGTACAAACTGAGTCACAGTCGGCACTGATACTCACCTTAGCAACAGTGCTCTGCCATGGACCCTCTGACCTCCAAACACTCATCACACAGTTTACACGGAGTAAACCCGTAGGTGCTTAAAACTTTATACCTTACAATTATTTCTTTTTGCACTTCTGTAAATAGGAGTGTGTGTGCATGTTACCGAGAAAAAATATTGCATTTACTGTACAGTATTTACCAGAAATTACGAGTTGAAAAATACTTTATGTCTATGATATTGTTTTCACCTTCTGTACTATGTAATATGTACGAGTATGTAACTGAGTAAAGAAAATTACATATATTTGTCCGAAAATACGAGTTGAAAAAATAACAATAAGACAACATATACTGGAGCTGGGGTATACTGTACAGTATTTAGAAATATTCCCGCTCGGCCAGTGAATACTTTTGGGGCTCATAGTTTTAAATAATTTGTTCCCAAACAGCCAGTTTTTTAAGTGTTCTGGATACCAGATAAATGGTCCTATACCTGTATATGCAGAGCCTCTGAAATAGATGTAAAAATACATACTTAACCAAGCTTTTATCAGAAGGACTTCACAATACTATTAAGCAAACCACTCTGATGGTCTCATTGAGTATGATGCGAGATATTTTCTTCTCACTTTCAAAATACCTGTACTGTACTGTACAAAGTATGGTAACTAATATCTAAAAATATTTAAAAAGCTTACCTATCTTCAAGTTTTTCATCCTCTTCATTGATGATGTCTTAGGCATAGGTGTTCCAGTATGTTCCTGAAAGATCCAAGATCAAAATTGTTTTCATTACGGGTGGGGTGGGGTGGGTAATAAATTCAGAATGAAAGCAACTACAGTAAAAGTCCAAAAATCCGGACCACCCGAGAATCCGACTTTTCGATTATTATTTTTTTTAATTTATTTATTTTTTATTTTTTAGCGGGCTTTTATGTGTATGTGCGCATGTGTGAGCGCCACAGCTGCACAGCGACAACAAGCGTGGTGTGAACAATACTGTTCTAATGGAAACATACGACATTGGAAAGTCTACAATTTATGATATAAAAAAGGCAAAGAATAAAATTCTAGAATTCACAGCTTTTTCTTTAAAACTGCTCGTTTTGATAAATAAAGCATGCTATATTTGCTAATGAATAAACTATCAAAATGTACCTGTTCATCTCTTCTTTATTCCTCCTTAAATTTGAATTTTAAAAGTACTGCCTGAGAATCTGGAAAATCCGAAAATCCGGACCGACCCAATCCCCAAGCAGTCAGGATTTTTGGACTTCTACTGTAGTACAGTATACAGTTGAGTCTGGATTTACGCGGTTGTTGTTTACGCGTTTGGTCATTTAAACGGTGCCCTGCCAGAATGAAATGCTTTAATTATGCGGTAAATTTGGTCATTAACCAGCAAGAATATAATTTACATTGCTGGAATTCTTATAAGGTTGTGATTATTTTAAATATAAACATCATGGAATTTGCATTAGACATACAAATTTTAGATCTAATGTAAGAATTTTGATTAGAAAGAGCCTAAATTTTATCTTTTGTGCAAAATATATGATGTGTATATTCAAAATATTCCTGGTCTTGCAAGGAACCCATCAATGTCAATTATATTATCCTAACTTTAGTCTGAGGTATTATTTATTACTAAAAATGTAAGCCTTCTGTTTTCACCCAAACATTTCTCAGAGAGGTAGGAGCCAGCGAGCGTGGGGGGGGCGGGGGCGGCGGCGGCGGCGGCGGCTTTGAGTCCATTATTTGAATGGACATTAACCGGTGACTGTATTTCTCTTAAATATTAATTGTGTGTGGATACCATCATGAAATTAAGATGTTATTTTTACTACAATGCAGGTGTTGTGTCGGAAAAAGTGAAGTTTGGGGGTCGGCCCAGTCTCTATTTCAATTAATCCCATATGTTCTGTTATTTCATTTACGCATTTCTCGTTTTACGCGGTACTCCGCGGGTTCAATTGACCGCGTAAATGAAGACCCAACTGTATATATAATGCTTGCTGTAATTACTGTAATGTTCATTTCCAAGGTGCACATTAACCCTCATTCATTTTGGCTAGTTGGACAAATCTCACTCACCTGCTAGCCAATGACAGATTGTGTCATGCCCCTTGCGGGCTGCATTGTCCAAAATTGGGTAGAAATAAACAACATATAAGTTTTTAATTCTGTGAAACAAGTAAACTAATGTACAGTACAAGACATACAGTGGAGTCGTTGTAATTGGCGGGTTAGGTACCAGAAAACATTGTGAATTATCAAATCATAAATTATAGTTTAATTGAGTTCAATAGAAATAACTACCGGGGTATGTAGTTAGTTTCGAGAGGGAAAAATACACATAAACTGTTTCAAAACTGCAATAAACCACTAAACATCATAATTAATACATGATATAGTATCACATAGATACTGTATTATACAAAATGTAGATCCATATTATATAAACAGCTCCTCCCCTTGTCATAATCATCCTCAGGGTGACAACACTACACCAACTTTGTAAACAACTGTGGCTGGAAGGGCTGCACGAGAAGCAAAGAACTTGTATCTGAGATGAGAGCATAAGGTGTTTGGCACTGTCAGGTTCTTAGTGATGCTGGTTCAACCTGCATCACTAGCCAGCAAGAGGGTTGAGGAAAACAATGGGAAATGGAGAATTCAATTATGAAATACCATTTCATGGCTGGGGACCTGGGTGAATGACCCATATGATTTCCAGCAAACAGAATACCACACATCAGGGCTGCTAACATCATAAGAGCAAGATAAATTATTTATTTATAAAAATAACATATTGCTGCTCAGCAGCTTCTCATTCAGTCATACCCAGAGCCTTAGCCGTAATGGTGGTCTTTGAAAATCCACAACTTCATACTACAATCTTCCAGATAGTATGGCCAATAATCTTGAGTGACCTATGAAATCTAGAATCATTAAAGATAAGGAAGGTGGAGATCATTCATTAAGCAAATTATTGAAAATACCCCAACTAGGGAGTTGGCAGAACTTTCCAAGCCAAAGAAAGAGAGAGTTACTTTTTAGAGCTTTACCGTTAGTTTGAAAGTTCAGTGTTAACTTATTTTAATGAGGATGACCTGACTGAGTATGAAGAACATTGCCTTAGAATAGAAATGAAGAACATTCCCATGTGGAAAGTCAAAGAAAATGCCGTTTTTTTTTTTTTTTTTCAAAAACCATTCTTGAGAGCTTTATGGAATGTTAATTTTTCAAATATCTAAAGATTCCCAGAGTACTGTATATGCTTACACATTAGCATACCCATACTGTATCACCAAGTACACTACAACACATTGTGCAAATTTTAACATCCTACCTGTGGGGTAGACCGGTATAATGGTCCCTGAATTGGGATCTCCAGGCTTAACTGACTATCATATTCCTCAACACGCTGGGAAGAACTTGTAGAAGACTCTTGGTTAAAATCAGTAACGAGTGAAGCCATCTTCTTAACCTTCTTCTTAATTGTAGGAATATATTTGGTTATCCGTGTCTGTACGTTGAGGCTGTGGTAAAAGTATTAAACTTTGTATTAATATACTTAGCATGTATGTATAAAATTTTCCTTAAAATTTAGATACTAATGGTCAACTTACATTGTACTACCCTGTATTATGAACCCCTTTTGCCGATTACCAGCGGCCAAGTCGTATATACAGAAGCAGTGCAGTAGATATATAACAAGTGTTGTCGAATTACCACTTGCTGTCCCGCCAGTCTCCGGTAATTTCCTGACGATTGGTATCAGTGTACATACAAAACAACAGGCAGATAGATTTTGACCAGGTCACAGAAACACACTTGTGAACTGTAGTCCTCTTTAGTAATCACTAAATATTCACACAACTGTTCACTGTGTATGTCCTTATCACTGGACTTCTCACTTCAAACATATACAGTGAGCACACTACCAGTGTACAATTCCTTGGTCTTTTCACTTTATATCTCTCACAACAATTCCACAATACTTGAACACCAATTATCTTTAGCTGTCACTGGGTTTGTACTTCACACTCTGAACAGAAATGGTTGGCTGACTTCCTTGGCAGCTTGCTGGCGTTTATATACTTCTGCTCAAACGCCTAGAGCATTCTAGTGACATTCAGGCATTTCAGGTCGGAACGAGATATGCCTGGAGAGTTCTAGAATGATCTAGGCTTACATTATGTACTGTACTGTATGTAAATCATAAAAAAAAATGACGCAATACAGTCTAGAAAATTCTTACATAATACATCAATATACACAAGAAAATCTCCCCAAACTTGCTAAAATAACTGCCACTTGGAATAGAAAATAATCAGACCAACAACGATCACAATACTAAATTATGCCTCGGTATAACAGTACATTGAGTTTCTAAGTACTGTACAGTACTTGGATACATAAACATTACCCACAGACACTTCTTAATAAAGACAAAAAAATTCTTGTTCATGCACATCCACATACATATGGATTTATAAACTTGCTCTAATTGGTAGCATAAATCTAATGTATACATTGTATTCTTTCAATGCATACAATATACTGTACCAAATAACATTCAATGACAATGACAGTCTTATTTCACTAATTGCCCAGGTTGAGGTGAAAATAATCATGAGGGCAAGTAAAATACCTGAAAGCTCTGTCATAACAATAGATGCCGAAGCAACTTAAGAGCTGTCAGTGTAAACAGGGATAGTCCCTCTGTGAGAAGAGGCATGCTCTAACAAAACTGAATGAACAACACAGGGAAAGAGTAAGTCCTTCCTTTTGTTAAAATACTGACAAACTTGAGCTTCAGGGAGAATCTATGGAGCAGCACTAGGGAACCACATGAAACATATCTGAACAAGAGGAAGACAAAGAAGACTCACAACCTTCCTTACCGTGAAACCAAAAGGTCACGGGAGGCTTGGATGTTGGGTGTAGTGTGGGGGCATAGTCTCGTCAACTACACAAGTGTTGGTTAAAGACTGAGGATGGAGGTGATGGAGGCAAAACTGTCATTGGAGATTAGAGATGTCGAGGGCAATGACAAAAGTTTCCCCATAATCCCTAAGAGAGGATGACCAAAGATGGGTGCAGTAGGACAGCAGATCACCAGTAGATCTCGCCTGGTGAAAGCTATACTGGTGATCTGACAAAAGAGAAAAGAGTTCAAGGTGACGGAGAAAATAAGAGTTTAAGATAGTCTCAAAAATCTTAAAGAGGGATGAAGTTAGGGCAATGGCGCGATAGTTAAGAGGGATTAGAATGGTCACCCTTCTTCGGGATGGGCTGAACCAAGGCATGCTTCCAAGAAGAAGGAAAAGTTTGGGTTTTGAGGCATAAGGCAAAAGAGGCAAGCAAGCACAGGGGCTAGAATTTCAGCACACTCCCTCAGGATACGAGGGGGTACTCCGTCCGGTCCATGCGCCTTGCTCACATCCAACCTGGATAACACACCATGGTATTTACAGAATAGGATCTTCAGAGACTCAGCAAGCTCGTTGCACAACTCTCTTAACATTCTGGGATGCACCATGTCAGAGCCAGGACTTTTATGAACCATTAACTTTGACAATACTGTGTGCATCCAGTCACCTCTGGGCATAACACTGTAAATAATTTACCTCTCACTCATCAATACTCAAATATGTTCCACTCAATATCAACAACTCTGGATGACTGTACAGGCATGTGTGATGTGCTTTGTCAAACAGTAAACCATTCTAAACAGGCTTACCTGGGCTTGTTTGCCCCAGAACTCCAAGGTTTTGACCAATATGGTTCCTGACGTCGTCCCAGTGATGTTCTTGATTCCTCCAAAGTTAGTCTTCGAGGGCGGCTCCGAGACCATCTTCGTGGTCGTCCACGACCTTGCCCCCGAGACCTTCTTTGTGATTGTCCACGGCCTCGCCCCCGAAAGTGTCCTCTCCTTGATTTGAAATTAAAAGAAAAAGTAATTACGGTATATTCACTAGTCAAATGTCAGCGCATCTTGAATTAATTGAACACAATTACTTACCATAGGTTTACTTGTCAAAATACAGCAGAGTAAATTTATTCTTCTGCAGAATCAATTTTGAAGAACATCTTATATCAGGTGTTATATTACAAATTTTAAAGAGGAATGATGAACATTAGTACAGTATAGGGGGTCCCCAGGTTACGAATGAGTTCCATTCCTGAGGACGTTCTTAAGTTCATCTCTGCACACGTAGAAAAAGACAAAAATGTTTCTAAATGAATTCAGGACTGAATCCTGAGATCCTATTTCATGATTAAGGATGAGTTGAATGACTGTCAATGTATTGTGGGAATAGCTAATCTTCAGCCAAGATCAGATCTCTCAGTTTATTAAGAAAAGGGTCTTCCTGCAAGATGACCTTGTGTTACCCAAATATAATATTAAAAGCAGCATCACCATAGTGAAGGGGTTAGTGGAGAGAGTCTACTAACCCGAGTGTATGGTGTCGTCTCTGAGTTGAATAAAATCGTCTGATGTAAGCCAAATAAAATATTAAAAGTAGGAGGGGATAAGGTAGAAAGGTCACCAGTGGCGGATACATACCGTCTTACACGACTTCCGAAAGTCGGTCAGATTTTCCCGAGTAAAAAAAAATAAAAATAAAAATAAATTATTGCAATCAATAATAACACATCACTCACACTGGTCATCAAAGTCCCTCATATATGCAGCACACAGTGTTTAAATTAATTTTGCGTGAATATTTAAGTAAGAAAGGTTGCACATACATATTACATAACCAGTCACACTGTATTGTCACATCAATTTATTTTAACATTGTTTTCTGTATATATTTCTTTGATAAGGACCGTGCAGTAGGGGAAGGATGCTGTGTGGAGGAAGGATGGTGTGTGGAGGAAGGATGGTGTGTGGAGGAAGGATGGTGTGTGGAGGAAGGATGGTGTGTGGAGGAAGGATGGTGTGTGGAGGAAGGATGGTGTGTGGAGGAAGGATGCTGTGTGGAGGAAGGATGGTGTGTGGAGGAAGGATGGTGTGTGGAGGAAGAATGCTGGAGGAAGGATGCTGTGTGTGGGAAGGATGGTGTATGGAGGAAGGATGGTGTGTGGAGGAAGGATGGTGTATGGAGGAAGCATGCTGTGTGGAGGAAGGATGGTGTGTGGAGGAAGGATGGTGTGTGGAGGAAGAATGCTGGAGGAAGGATGCTGTGTGTGGGAAGGATGGTGTATGGAGGAAGGATGGTGTGTGGAGGAAGGATGGTGATGGAGGAAGTGTGTGGAGGAAGGATGGTGTGTGGAGGAAGGATGTGTGGAGGAAGGATGGTGTGTGGAGGAAGGATGGTGTGTGGAGGAAGGATGGTTGGAGGAAGGATGGTGTGTGGAGGAAGTATGCTGTGTGGAGGAAGGATGGTGTGGAGGAAGGATGGTGGGGTGTGTGGAGGAAGGATGGTGTGTGGAGGAAGGATGGTGTGTGGAGGAAGGATGGTGTGTGGAGGAAGGATGTTGTGTGGAGGAAGGATGGTGTGTGGAGGGAAGGATGGTGTGTGATGGTGTGTGGAGGAAGGATGGTGTGTGGAGGAAGGATGTGGAGGAAGGATGGTGTGTGGAGGGAAGGATGGTGTGAGGAAGGATTGTGTGTGTGAGGAAGGATGGTGTGTGGAGGAAGGATGGTGGAGGAAGGATGTGTGAGGAAGGATGTTGTGTGGAGGAAGGATGGGTGTGTGGAGGAAGGATGGTGTGTGGAGGAAGGGATGGTGTGTGGAGGGAAGGATGGTGTGTGGAGGAAGGATGTTGTGTGGAGGAAGGATGGTGTGTGGGAGGGAAGGATGGTGTGTGGAGGATGTGTGGAGGAAGGATGGTGTGTGGAGGAAGGATGGTGTGGAGGAAGGATGGTGTGTGGAGGGAAGGATGGTGTGGGAGGAAGGGATGGTGTGTGGAGGAAGGATGCTGTGTGTGGAGGAAGGATGGCGTGTGGAGGAAGGATGGTGTGTGGAGGAAGGATGGTGTGTGGAGGAAGGATGGTGTGTGGAGGAAGGATGGTGTGTGGAGGAAGGATGCTGTGTGGAGGAAGGATGGTGTGTGGAGGAAGGATGGTGTGTGGAGGAAGAATGCTGGAGGAAGGATGCTGTGTGTGGGAAGGATGGTGTATGGAGGAAGGATGGTGTGTGGAGGAAGGATGGTGTATGGAGGAAGCATGTTGTGATTTTTTTTAATTGCATACAGTACAATACTGATTATAGTAAGTAATATTGGTTATCCATCTGATATTTAGGCGTTCTGAGATATTTTCATTGTTAAAGTGGAAAAGTAATGGTAGACTACTGAAGCTAGCACTGGCTGCAATATGTTTATAATATTAAATAATAATAGTAATAATAATAATAATAATGCGCAGAGCCGCCCCTGGGGTATGGCAACCGGTGCGACGGCCCCGTGGCCCTCACCTTACCCAACACCAGAAATAGTGACCGCGTTAAGCTGACCTCACCTTACCACCCAGATTCAGGAGACCACCTGAAGGATTAGTGACCAGCATAGTTTGCCAATGCATCTGCTGACAAGAGGTCAAATGTAAGTTTAAGCCACCCAGACTGAGAACAATGTCATTCTCTACTGTGCTCTCTGTCGAAGAGGAGTGAGGACGTTGACAGTGGTCACCTGTCAGTGTTGTCCAAACTCTGAATCTCCAGTTGTCCGTGATTGTGTTTTGTGAAATTGTTGATATACATTACACTGTTATACTATTCTAAACAGCCCTGGTTTTTTATTATACCATGGCCAGCAGGGATAGAGACAGATACAGAAAATACATCTCAGGTGCAAAGAAAAGGCAGAAAAAAGGAAGAGAAGAAATCAAAATGTCAATGAAAGGTTCCCTAGAAAAAATATGTGTTTTAAGAAACACCAGAAACTAGTGCAATTGAACCCGTGGAGGTCCGCGTAAAACGAGAAACGCGTAAACGAAATAACAGAACATATGGGATGAATTGAAATAGACACTGGGCCGACTCTCAAACTCCACTTTTTCAGACACAATACGTACATTGTAGTAAAAATAACGTCTTAATTTTATGATAGTATGCACACACAATTAATATTTAAGAGAAATATCAATAATATTGGGTTTTTTAACACTTACACTAGAAGAAAAGATGGCTGGGCACACGGGGATGAGGGGTTGGTTCCGAGGCAGAGGGCAGATTATTGGCCCTCATCTGTATCAATTGTATCACTATCCACCACAGAGGCTTGCAGGGCCTCTTTGTCAAACCCCTCAAAATCCATATCCTCACTATCACTGACTTGGGCCGGCTGTGGTGGGTGGCGGGCGAAGAGCTCGGTAATGTTTTGATGACTGGGTGACCTTGTGCGCACCATGTTCGCGCCGCTTCCCGCGTAAAAGATTAAATTTACCATGTAATTAAAACATTTCATTCTGGCAAGGCACCACGTAAATGCCCAAACGCGTAAACAAATACCGTGTAAATCCAGACTATACTGTATATGTAAGTAGTGATGTCTTCATTCTCATTCATATTTGACAATGTTGAATGTAATTACCTGTAGTGATGTGCGTCTTCTTCATACTTAGTAGACAATGTTGCATGTAAATAGTAAGGCGTGTCTTTAATATTATACTTGGTAAATAGCGATGCATGACTTTATTCTATATTCTCAACATACTGTGTTTGTAAAAAACAGGGAGAGGATGTTTTTGAAGAATATAAGAGGTGTAAAACTAAATTAAAGAGAGGAGATGTACTTATTGTCGGGAGTGTCTACAGATCCCTAACTGTAGCTTACCCAAACCAAAGAAACTTAAGAGCCTTAATAAACATTGAAGCAATGCTCAACCCTAGCCACTTCCTTATCATGGGGGACTTTAACTATGGCAACATCGACTGGAGAAATGAGTTCAAGCCAAAATGACTTAAATAACCCCACTACTCTTTTTGTAGAAACTCTGAGAGATAACTTTCTGTTCCAACATGTTAAAGACCCAACACATTACAGAGGGGAGCAAACACCCAAGCCACTGGACAACCTCATAGCAAACCAAGTAATGTGGTCATTCAGATTTAACTGTTACTTAGTTCACGACAAAACCAGGCCAAGGTGCAAATATTAAGAAGGAAATTATGAAGGGATGAGGGGTATCCACTGGCCTGATATCCCACTGTTTCAATGGGATATTGGGTAATTGGTTCCAGCTCACTGAAAAGTACATACAAAGTAAAAAAAAAATAATAATGCAGTAAAGTACACTTACTTTGCGGTGTGTATATAGAAGGTTCCTGGTTGATGATGATGATGATGGGAATTAGAAGTGGGGGTGGAGCATAAACTATGGGATGTTTGTACTTAAATTAATCACTATCTTACAAGAATATCAGCAATGTAAGTTATGTTCTCCCAGGTCAGTTGTGACATTTTATTAACAAAAAACTTAAACTCACTCTATATGACTGATAAATATGCACTAGGTAACCTTCGTTGCCCGACTATCAACACCTCACCTCCCCTTCCTCCCAGCCAGGGTGAAGGTGGTTTTAGGTTTAAAGTTTTTATCTTATAAAATGTTGCTGACTAAACTTAGCAGAATATAACCTGCATTGCTGGAATCCTTGAAAGATAATGATTAATTTGAGTACAGTAGACTCGCAACTTACAGCCGGCGCCGAAGGTCTAGTCAGTGTGTATTTATTTACCAGTATCTGTTCTTCAGAGCGAGTTTCAGTTTTTCTCTTATAAAATGTCACTGAACTGACTTGGGAGAATATAATTTACATTGCTGAAATTCTTGTAAGTTAATGATTAATTTGAATATAAACATGCTATAGTTTGCACAAGACAATTTTTTTTTTAATTATTTAGTACATTTGAGTACATGTACAGTACAGCTTTGCCCTTAGGACAATTATTTCTTTTACCTTTTTCACAATATGTATATAGGAGTGTGTGTGCATGCAAATGAGTAAAAATAAAAGAAGAAAGTTATGTATATCTAGCCAAAAATACAGTTGAAAAATTGTCCTAAAATTTACTACACTAATGTATTAAAATTTTTATCTCTTGTCCAAAATATATACAGTAATGTCTATATTCAAATTTTGCTGTCTTGCAAGGATTCTAGCAATGCAACTTATATTCTCCTAACTTTAGTCTGTGATATTTTATAAGATAAAAACTTTAAGCCTAAAACCACCAAACCCTGGCTGAGAGGATGGGGGAGGCGGGAGCCGAGAGGTTGGGGGAGGGGACGTGGTGTTTTGACAGCCAATGCCAAGGTTTACCCAATGCGTATTTATTTATCTGTCATATAGAGGAGTTTAAGTTTTTTGCTTGTAATATGTCAATGAGTTGACTTGGGAGAATATAACTTACATAGCTGAAATTCTTGTAAGATAGTGATTAATTTGAATATAAACAAGCTATAGTTTGCACTAGACATAAAAACTTAGCAATTATTTAGTACACGGGAGTACAGTACAGGTTTGCCCTTAGGACAATTATGTATTTAGGATAGTGTGTGCATGTAAATGAGTAAAAATAGGAGTTAAAAAACTTTATGTAGACATACCCGTGTTGTTGTTTTGAGATTATTCACCCCCTTCCCATGTCACTGTGGGAGGATCAAGGTCAAATAATGATGCAGGGGAGGATGTGGGCAGCCCAAGGTCACTGCGAGAAGTTGAAGGCATTGGCTGATCTGCTGACTATGTTGATGTTGAGGTTTTCTTAAAGAACATGGTGATGGGAAGCTGTCGTTGTTGTTTCTTAAGCTGCTGGAACATAGCCATAAGGCTTGTAAGACCTCCCTTCAGAACACGAGGGTTGGCAGACCTATAAATCAAGCCTGGCTTTATCATATGCCCTGCTGTGATGCCACATAGCAGGAGGGCGACACGGTCCTTTGCAGCCTTGAACCCAGGGGCCTGCTTCTCAGACTTGGAAATGTAGGTACTGGTTGGCATTTTCTTCCAAAACAAACCTGTTTTGTCAGCATTGAAGACCTGCTCTGGAAGATATCTATTTTCCTCAATAAATTTCTTGAATTCTTATGGGAACACCCGTGCAGCTGCCTCGTCCGCCGATGCCGATTCGCCAGTAATTCTAATATTTTTCAGGCTGAAACGCTTCACGAAACTGTTGAACCAACCTTGAAAATTCTTCTCAGAGCCGGTGGACGCTTCGCCCTGAGGATCCTCAGATTCAAACTGGTCATAAAGACTCGTGCCTTCTCCTTGAGCATGTTGTTGTCGATGGGGACACGTTTCTGGTTCATATCCTCCACCCAGATGTTTAATGCCTTCTCCACCTTCACTAGAGTTATGTCTCTAACCTGGCTAGTCGCCTAAGTAGTAAATGAGATACTTGTAGACACGGTTTTGCGAATTTCCCTCTCCCAAATCTTGATGGATCTCGCGCTTGATTCGTTCTGCCCGTACTTCCGTGCCACAGAAGTGACTGACATCCCGCCTTTTATGGAGTCTAAAATGGCCACTTTTTCTTCCAGGGTCATCACAGAGCATTGTTTCTTTGCGGGAGGACCAGAGGCAGAGGTTGGCTTGTGTTTGGGCATTATGAACGAGTATGAGAGAGGTTTAAGCGCATCAAATTGACAAACACGAGACAGATGTTACTCCGACAATGCACAAGTGGCAACTGAGACAGAGAGAGGTGGGAGCATTTGATGGGTTTGTGACCCCTTTGAAAATTTTGAGCTCGAAATTGGAAATTATAATCTAACCCCCGGGGTAATCCGTATATAGTTGAAACCGCGGAAGAAAAATACGCTTAAGTTGCGATCTACTGTATAAACATCACATAGTTTGCAAAAAGTTATAAAAATTTTAGTCCTTAAGTGTAGTACATTTTGAGTACAAGATTTTCGACTCGTATTTTCGAGTAGATAAACGTAACTTTCTTCATTTATTTTTACTCATTTGCATGCACACACCATCCAAAATAGTGAAAAAAAGTAAAAAAAAATATTTGTCCTAAGGGCAAACCTGTACTCAAATGTTTATACCCAAATTAATCACTATCTTACAAGAATTCCAGCAATGTAAGTTATATTCTGTCAAGTCAATTCAGTGACATTTTATAAAGGCAAAACTTAAACTCCATCTATTTGATAACTACCCTGTATACACTTTGTTATCTCTCCTCCCCAACAGCTGTCAACACCTCACCTCCGCCATCCTCCCAGCCAGGGTGAAGGTAGTTTCAGGCTTAAAGTTTTTATCTTATAAAATGTCGCTGACTAAACTTAGCAGAATATAACTTGCATTGCTGGAATCCTTGAAAGACAGTAATTAATCTGAGTATAAACATCACATAGTTTGCACAAGAAAGAAAATTTTTAGTCCTTTGTAGTACATTTGAGTACAAGGTGTGTACAGTAATATGTTGCCCAAAATTGTGTCTTTTTCACATTTAATTTACATTTAAATATTTGTTAAATTGAAGTTTCTAGCAGTCCATGGTGCTTTAGAGACACAGGAGGTGTATCATTAGTGGGTCAGAGGTGTATTGTTGAATTATTATTACCTGACCTCGGTTGGTCCGGCAAAACGGATAATCCGGCAGGCTTTGGAACCGAGGTGCCGTCAAATTGGTGGTGTACCTGCAATAGCAAATTTATTATACCACTGGAAACCCTATTTTATGGTATGTATAGTGTGCAGTGAGGAAGATATTCTTGGAGTTTTGTTTTGCATTCCAAGTAAAAAAAATGTTTTTACTGCTCAAAAGTATTTTATATATTCCACTCACATAATTTGTAATTTCTTTAGTTGCAAAAAGTGCACTACAAAAATGTTTGTTAAAAGCACTTTAACTGGCAAATACAGCAATCCTGGGAGTAAAGTCTAGTTACACTAATTATGGGTGAGGCTGATGCCAAAGGTGTTTAACCCTTTCGCTGTGTTCCCGCCCTTGCCATTTTATTCAGCTTATGGTAACCTCCCGCAGCCTAAGGGTTAAGGCTCTCCCCTAGATGTTATTAAAATATTCCAAGGAAAACTGGTCTGTTAGGAGAGGAGGAGCAACATTCTTTGGTACAGAAGGCAACAGTCTTCAACAGGATTAAGGATAAAAATAAGCATAAAAAACAATTTATTTACACTTATCTGTACAAAGTCATATTACTGGATTTCTCCAGTAAGAATTTTCTTTCTCTTTAATAAATGTAAGTCTTTACTTTTCAACTTACATTCAAGCATACATAAATTTCAAGAATATTATAAAATCTTTTATTTCATAAGCTATAAAATTATAATTTCTACAAATATTTCTTCTACAGTCACAATTCTAAAAGTACTATAATTTCTACAAGTGCATATTGTTAATTCTACCATCAATATAAAATTTTGAATATTTCTTCCTTTACAACTATCTGATAACTACCACGTAAGGTTAAAAATAAATACTAAAGAAAGTTTAGAGGCATATAAAAATGTAAAAATATTTTCAGCCACTCATCCTACCATAATTTTCTGCAAATACAGGTACGCTATATGCTATGAGAAGCTAGACCGTAAAACTTGGGGCTCGGCCCAAGACTTGGACGTCACCCCGTTGCCAGTCTCCTTCTAAAATCAAGTGTCTCACAAAATCTTCATCATCATACTGAACATCATAACAGGTACCATTAATGAACTGGCCATCATCAGATTCTTCTGGCACTGTACCTGGTGCAGAAATACCTAACACTGTACCTGTACAATACACTCCCTCCCCATCAATATACCACTTGTGACGAATCACACGGCCTATAACATCTGCATGGACTTGTTCCAGTCGGCGGCGACGACGAGGACGGCCAGTTTCTCGAGGTTCTTCAATAGATGGCCTTGAGTGGAGGAGGAATAACAACAAAACTTAAGATATGATTTTTTTTTATACCTTACCCTAGGAATAGAAGAAGATGCAAAAGTTTCATGAAAATCTTTCCAAAAATTTTCTTACTAATGCATGCCAGCTGAACAAGTTCTGAGAACAGAACTTACACTACATTTATTCAAGTATTTTAATTCAATATGATTAAGGCAGCTAATATTAGTGTTAGTATTACATTACTGGTGATATATCTACCAATGGCAACTTGTTACATAATCAACTTCAAAGATCCTGTGTAGTTAACAATATTGATTCCTGAAGGCTTATTTTTGTGAACATAAAATAGCTTAAAAGAATCCATCACAGTGATTAAGACAAGCCACCAGTGGTTGATACAGTGCAAAACTATATTTGTGATTGTGACAGAAGGACCACCAAAATTTCCATTACTTACTGGAATGGAGTATCATCCTCCTCATCTTCATCATCATCATCGTCCACTGTTGAAAATAGATTTTTAGAATAGTGCACTTCATAAAAATAATGATTAAAATAATAACTCACAAGCATCTCCAAATTAGAAAATCAAATGGTGCTGTATAGCAAAATTAAATTCAGTGTTATGCATGTGTTCAACAATAGCAGTGATTAGCATCTGAAAGAAGTAAGATCCAGAAAAGATTGTGTCTTCCAAGCTACTTGAGCATTCTCCAAGTTACAGATGGCTGAACACCCACTAATTTGACATTCAAAATTAGACATTTCAGTATTTGATATTTTTTTACCCATACAACCTAAAAATCGTATGAAATACATACGAATATAAATGATATAAAATATAGTATACTGTATAATACAACTGTAAGTGTGTGTGTGTGTGTAATCTCCAATCTGTAAATTTTATTAATACAATAGACAAATTTCCATCCACCGTACCGTGGATTTTCAGACGCTCCGTATCGTCCCACTTTTGACAACAAATGAGGCGCTCCGCGTCAGAAGGGGGGTGAAGCGCAAAATTAAAAAAGCTGAGAAAAATGCGTTTAAAGTTTTTTGAAGTTCAAACAACCATGACTTTTTTGTTTTTTAAGCTAGAGGGTTAATTTTTTTTTGTGCAGCTCAATCCCTCTCCTAGTGAACTGTGAAAACTTGAAGTTAGTCTTGAGAATAGTTATTATTTTATCGCAAGTTGAATGAGAATAACTACCCGTGATGTATAGTTGTTTGAGCTTCAAACCAACAATAATCGCATTTTTCTGCAAAATTTTCTTAGTATTGTGGGCTAATACTGTAAAGCAAGTTAATAATCACCAAAAAACAGCACTCGTCTTACACCCCCAAAAAAAAGAAATAATAATAAACTTATTTGCCTATCAGTATGTATCTTTCCGTCCCTATTATTAGCCAAAGATCTATAATATTGCTTAGTATAAAAGTGTGTAAAAATACGGAAACACCACTAAACCCCCCCCCCCAACGTAATTAACATACGAATAAAGGGTGGAGAAAATTTGCATAATCTTTGGTAAAAACAGTACTATAATGATACTTTTATGATAGTATTTTATCAACCTAGCACCAAATGAACCTAATAAAAAAGGGAATTATGGCCAAACTGCATAAGACGTCTTAAAGGGATCCTGTGGGAGAGAGTTACCTCCCGCCTACTGCTCCCAGATACACTCACATCTCTCACACACAATATACACCTACTCTCATTTCTTCTTATTTTTATCTTTATAGCACTGTATTGTACAGTATAGTTTTTCTTTCTTCACAAGACAAACTCTGTGGTTACTTACGTACTGTATAATACTTTACAGTACAAAACAATCATATCCGTGAAAACAGTTGTCAACGACCTGACTTGGTCTGATTTTCAACCCCGAGAATTCTCTCTCTCTTTGTTTTTAATTGTTGATGTAATAGTGTTTTACTAACCAATTTTTATGCGCTTAAAGACCATAGCTGTAGAAGCGCAATAATAATATAAAAACAACCGATTTTCATTAAGTCGAAAAAAGCAGTGTTATGGGGGTGGGGCATGGATGAGCTTTCTTTGGACTGCGGTCTGCCCCAATTAGTCCGGTGTAACAAGGTACTATTGTGTTACTTTTGCAGTAATTTTTAACATACAGTATATGTATAACATACTTACTTCTCTACATCAATTAGGTAATAGTGTACATACCTTCCTGCTGGTGCTCTCACTCTTTACTTCACTGTTACTATCAATTCTCTTCCTCATCTCTCCCACACACTTTCACACAAATTTATTTAAATATAAACACTCACCGTGCTTTCGTTTTCGTGTGTATGCGCGCTTAGATGTTTGTGGTGGCTGATCACCCTCTCCATGTACCAAAGAATTGCGATACATAAGTAGAGGTTGCCAGTCCTCACCACGGGAACTAGGCATCCCAGCAGCAATGCGACGATCCAAATATGCAAGACTGAAAAATAACACAACTCTAAAGTTCATTTGCAAGTTATATTATTGGGTGACCAAAATGTTAAGCAAGAAATTCAAGAATAAAAGTCACGCTGTATAAACCAGGGATGTGTAAACTTAGCGTAAAGTGTAAAGGATCAGATGTTCATACTTTTAAATTAATTTTACAAATATTAGTTAATGAATTACTTACACGACTCTTTTGTCTTGCTTGAGAAGTTTATTTGTGAACTCTGTCAGGATTTCTAAGAAGGCCAGATTAGGTGGAGGGCCAGTAGGGTCTGCTGGAGTCTCAAGTGGGTTAACTGCAAACAATATACCTTCACGATGAAGAGCAGTGATGGCCTCACGATTCTTTACAGCATCAAGACCAAATGATAAAGCAAATCGTTTTGCCAGTTCCTGAAATATAATATTTGCATACAATCATTACATTACAGTGGGCAAACACGTCAGACTTCCATAAGTCGAAAACAGCCATTAGTTGGACTAGGGTCTGTGGGTCTGCCATCACTCACCCTACACCTCCGTCAGAATTTGTGGTAACCCCTGATCTGTCACCTCACATCCTCGATTTCGATAGTGATTAAACCAAGAAATAAATGCTAGTTTTAAGTGTAACTGTACAGATAAATATAAGTGAAACTAAATAGTATAAGTGAAACTACAGTAAAGTTTATGTGGCCCCCTTTTGTCCTCAAAATTCATCAAGATTTGTCAGCTACAATAATTTTAAAATTCATCTGCTACAATGTAAGTACACTATAAATAAGTATTGCTAACTTGAATTTTGTTTTTGGATGTGATTTTTCAACAAAATGGTGATCGAAATTACAAGGGGGAGGGGGGCGCACATAAGTCGGACTAGCTAGAGCCCCATAGTCCAACTTATGAGTTTCTTACTGTATATGGTACACACAAACACACACCAGATAACTTACTGGTCAGAAAATGCTGTGGACACTACTATATGAAGCGCAGAGTGCGGCAAGGTACCAAGCGCCAAAAATCACAATCGAGAATAACGCTCTTAAAACTTGGAAAAATTCAAAATTATATAACTTTTGAACCAATGAAGATACTGTACTGAGTTCATTCAAGTGGCAGTGTATAGAGCTCTTAAAGCTGGTTTTGCAGATACTAAAGCCATATTAATTCAAAAGATTGTTTATAGTAAAATTTTTATTGTTTTTGATGGGTAGTGTTTGCAGTTTCATTAATATGCATTGTTGAGGTATAATTTTCATTACATGGAAGCAATACAGTGATCCCTCGGTTAACGAATTACCTTCCATAAGATTCTTAACTTCGGTTAACGAGCATTCCCTCGATTAACGAATGCCTTACGAGCGCCCCTCAACATGTTTTCACTTGCACACTAGCTGTCATATCAGTCCGCCAATACAGTAATCGGTTCTAGGGCTTAAAATCCTTACTATTTTAGTAAATATCAAGAAGTTTGTACTATTCAATAATTTTAAGTCTTATATTAAAATTTTTAGTCTTTTAACAATTATTGAACATAATTTAAGTACAGGGAAACTAGTTTTTAGCACACCAAACAGCCTGTCAACACACCATACAGGCGTCAGTCTCTGTATCTTTTCAGTGGAGGTAACATCTTGCTTCAGACTCTCTTCAACATAAACTCTTTTTTTTTCTGTTTCCAGTCAAACTATTGGTCATTTTGAAATTTATTTTACATATTGACAATATATGATGCACTGCAGTGTTGATTTAAAGAAAATAAACTTGAATTACACCAAGTGAATTAAAATTTTATGGGTGAAATGGCACCATGGGGTGACTTCTCTTCCACCCCAATGCCTTCTCTTCTCCCTTCTCCTTCACCCCCATTCTAATTCCCATCATCATCATCCAGGAGCCTTCTACATACACACCTCAAAGTAAGTGTACTTTACTACCTTTTTTGTTGACTCTAGGCAATTTTCGGTGAGCTGGAACCAATTACCCAAAAACCCATTGAAACAATGGTTTCAGTTAACGAGCAACCTTCTAGAACGAATTGTGCTCGTTAACCGAGGGACCACTGTAATGTATTAGGACCACACTAGAAAGTCAAAGGTCATTGTACTGTTTGCATAAAAGCAAACATTACCAGGTGTTATCAATATTTCAACCAGGGCCAAGCACCAAAAAGTATTAATAATAATAAAAAAAAATGAGGGTACGGTACTTAAGTCTTAGTTATTATTAGAAAGATTACAGTAAACAATGACTTGTATTTACCAATATTACCACCCACCCTCACTCCCAGCTGCCTCCTCCCCCCTTTGGTGTGATAAGACCCGTCACTTGGACAGGCCAGAACATGACACACCAGCCCTCACTCCCACCCTCCTTGCCCTCTCTTCTCTGTTTTGTTTATTTTTCTCTCAATGACCCTCACTCCCTCCTTTCTGCCAGTTTGAAAAAAAAATTAAAAAATTCAAGTGTTATTACATAGCATTCCTATGAAATCTTTTTTAGAAACATGGACTCCCATTAGTTAAGAAACCGCAAAATAATGAGTCGCTATGAGTGAGAGGCCATGATTGGGGGCCAAGGGCGCTTGTCCCCTTCTCCCCCTCAATCCACCTCGAGGCGCAGATCACAGACAGTAGGGACGCTTTTACCTACCTACCTACAGTTTGTGTCTGCATATAGAGGTAAGGTTGGGGAGTAGATAATAATATAACTCAATTTGGGAGGGAGGGCTTGGTGCCTTGTCACACTCAGCACCTCATATGAAACAAGCACAATTAAATTTATTATCATGTCATGAACATATAAACACCTTCGCAATGACAAAACCAAATAAATAATTTTCTCACCTTCAGACTAATGAAATCTACACTCTGTCTGTTAATTCTCACATTATCCTTTTGAAGTTCCCTAAAGATCATAGTGAGGGCCAGAGCCATAGTCCTTGCAGAGTTGACCTTGTTTATCTCACGAGCTTTTCCCAACGTTGACTTGATAATATCACCATAATCATCGTAGTACTGAAAAATATTATGTAATCATTTACCTATTTCTTAACAAGATAATCGGTTTGATAACATACAAAAAATACATCATTAGCACAAGACTACAGTACACGTATGGCTAATATAGAGACCTACGCACAGTGGAATTTTAAAAATTCGCAGGTTAGGTACCAGTAGACATCGAAAATTATCAAATCGCAAATTATATTTTTATTGATTCAAATGGAAATATTCATATTTTCAAAAACTGCATTAATAAACACTGAACACCATAAAAATACAATAACAAAGAAATTGTTCAAAACGTAGTTCTATATTACATAAACAGCTCCTTTTCTTCTCATAATTTTGCATAGGTTATGCCAATACACCAACATGGAGACAGGCAGGCGTAGGGTTAGCTGTGACCACACTTGTCAACAAAGCACCAGGAATTTACAGGGAGCATCAAGCTGAAGCACAAAAATCATTAATAATTGATCATTCAATATAATTTTCCTGTCAGCAATTAAGGACACCAGATACATTGTTGCTATACCCCTGAATCGGTTCTGCCTAATGCCTAATCCTTGATACCCGATTTTTTCTTTATATTCTTATCAGTTTTCAAAATAATACTTCTCCATAACTTCTTGCTAGATTACATTGAAATTCATGTGGAGTATAGGTAATTTACTCCTCTTGAATGTGACATATAGATATTTCTGATTATCACTTTCGTTTTTGGTGAATGATTTTTTTTTCCTAACTTACCATTTTTTCCTCCAAATATTTATAAAGATAAATCAGCAAATAATAAACCAAGCCATATATAAAGAAAATTTATATGTTCAGCCACGCACAATATGTTATTCTACTACTTATTTTTTTTTTTATTATTATCAACCCATAATTGGCAGAGCCTTAGGGATTTGAAGGTTAGAAAAACTCGTTTTGAGATACAGGCCGATAGACAAGGGTTGCGCGAGAGCAACACACAGTTGACCAACCTCACTCTCACTTCTTTCATGGGTAACTGAGGCTCACTCTCTCGCCCTGCTGCTAGCTAGCTGAGAAAGGTGCCAAATACAGATTTTTATCAAGTACAGTAATATCTCCGTTAGCCGGAATCCCTCAAACCTGGAACTCTCCGATAGCCGGAATAGAAATTTTCTCGGAAAATCGATCCCAAAAGCTGGAACTTTCCATAAAATTCAGGCTTTGGGAACGATTTTCCGGAAAAATCTGAGAATATTTTCCCGATACCCGGAAAATTCCGGGGATGGGGGGGATTTTTTTTCCAGGTTTAAGAGATGAAGTAAAGGGCAATTTCTGGAACTTCCGAGAAAATTTTTCCATTACCCTTAATACCACACAATAACTCATATGAGGTTGAATGTGAAATAATTTTTCTGAACCTTTATTATTTAATATGTTTTATTTACCCGGTACCATATGAACATAAATAATATGGGAATTATGGTGAATTAGCATAATGTTGACTTTATAAGGTCGGAGGGGTGTGCTCGGCTCAGGTACCACCCAACCTCCCATAAACAATTCACTTACTACTTTTCATTTTTCTTATTTTAATACTTAAATCATATTGTCTTTATTTCTAATTCACATTAGAGCACTGAAGTGATGATTATATAATATTTTCTTTATTTCCAAGGCAAATTATAACAATGATTTGATATTTACACAACATTTATGTTTTCTTATGTAAATAAACACTACAGCAGTTGGTGCTCAGTGATGAATTATGAATATTTGAATGTGAAATTTTAAAAAGAGGTAGTAATGGAAGTATCTGTGAATTTAAGAACACGAATTATCAAAATTCCACTGGAGAATGAATTTCTATTATATTTAAAACAGAAGGGCATTCCAAAAATTTTCTTCAGGGATTTTAAACTTTTGATTATTATGAACTGAACACCATGTATGATGGTTAGGCTATTAATTTAAAAAATTCCTTTATGTAAAATATAAAACAAATAAAGAAAAACATAGTGATACTGTACTACCCTGCACAGAGACAAGGAAGAAGAAGAACTGAATGTGCCATCCTTCAATCAATAATGGAATTGGAAAAACATTACAGTATAATGTACTGTACAGTATAAAGCCAAAAGTGAATTTTGGGTTAGCACCATGAAATAATGTTTGTTTTAATAGCTTGGCACTTACTCTGACATAATGTTTAAAGACATCAGCAGCAACTTTTGTGGGAAGGACATTATACACAATCAACTTGCAAAATGTGGCAAGGAAATTTCTGCGCTTGTGCAATTCCTCAATCTTGACATGCTCATCCTGCTCCTCTGTAAATATTAACAACCCTCAATCTTTACAACATAAACAGGATATATTCTTTTGCAATAAATAATTAATTTTCATTAAAAATCTATAAATAGTAAATTTTTTCATGCATACAACTCTTTTCCTACTATAATGCAGGGTCAGTCAGGTGCTGATCTTCTTGACATCCTGATTCTGTGCTATCCCACCCACAGATAGGTTGCTTGCTAATCCATGAGTGTTATTCCACTACTAGCAAGTGCAATGGATTGTGTACTTGCTTACTGGAGTGCAAAAGAGCTAGTGTATTAAGCAGGAAGCCTAATCCTTCAATCTAGTAAATTTTGGACAATGAATGAAGAGTAAAAAGCTACACTAGTAATAATCACAGAAAAGAAAACCTAAGTTTTTAGTATTGCCTCTGATGTGGGGAGGCTAGAGATGAGTGTTCTGAAGTAGTGCCTTAAACTATCCTATTTGTAGACTATGGTTGGTAATGTAGCTTTAAAACCATTTTTTCTTAAATACTACACATGTAATATTTTGTACAATGGTTGTGAAATCAGACATAAGAGTGTAAGTGATATTTAAGAAGGTGTTGGACAAAATCAGGAGAGACTTTTGAATATTGTTGTCAGCTGTGTAGGTTAAAGTATCAGGAACTGTATTCAACCACCAACCAGTTCTCACTTACCTATTGGTTAAAATTGTATCACTCCTACCCTATAAAATTTAAAGATTAGATAAATACCAAGCAGTCCCATAAAGTACTGTACGGTAAACTCTTGTCATTCACGGGGGTTAGGTTCCAAGGAATGGTGCGAATAGATAAAACTGCGAATAGAAACTTTACAGTGCTACCATAGTGCACTACTGTATGAGAAATGTAAGTCACCCATACTACTTACATTCGTATGTGGTCAACTGATGTGGCGTCCCTGTTCAGGTTCATATTATGGAGCAAAAATCACTTCTTAAAACTCTCAAACCACCATTTATTGGCACTTAAAAGTTTGTTCAGTAGCCACACTAGCCCCTTCACCACCCATTGATTCATGAAAATGGGCAATGAGACTGTTAGCCTTCTCATGAATCACATTGTTGTCAATCAGCACACTTTTGCAGTGCTGATCCTCAATCCAAATGTTCAATGCTTTTTTTGTTTTCACTATATTCATATCACGAATAGCGTGTGCCACTTTAGCAATTGTAGGAGCACTCGCTGCAACAGTCACAAATCACTTGCTCTTTCTTCTTAATGTACTGCACCGTTGGTTCATTGACAGCAAACAACCGGCCAAATGTGCCAGCACTAACTCCTTCCTTTACTTCTTGGTAAGGGCCATCACTGCCTTTGTTTCACTGCACTAGCAGCAATAGCACTAGGCAGTCTTATAGGGGCCATTTCGCACAAAACACACTATTTGAGCACAACATGAGAGATGATGCGGCGCAGACAATGGTTGAGCACAAACAGGGGAGAGGAGATGCTGTGGGCATGTGGGGGTGACTAGCAGTGTTTTCACAGAGGATCATGAGCTAACCATCATTTAATAACTGCAAAGTCGAAACTGTGAATGGTAAACCCGCAAATAACAAGGGTTTACTGTACTTATTAAGTATACTCAAATTTTCCCCCCAAAATAAACTAACATTTTTAGGTTATTAGATTTATTAAATATATGAAACCTGGCAAAATCTTCACCATTTTGTCAATTAGCAATACAGTCGGCCCTTAACATACGCGGGTTTAACTTAAACAGATTTGCAAATATGAGTGAACTACACCAAATTATGAACAACCCTTTGTTTAAGAGTCAGCCAGAAAACTGTAAACACAACTTACCATCTTCATCATCAATAAAGACATAGGTTTGGATGAAGTGGTTGAGCAGATGCTGGAGGCCTCGGTCAGGCTCATAGACAAGAGACGTGAGGGCATTATTTGATATCAGCTGCCTACTGAAGATGATCATTAAGTCACAAATAGTCACATAGGCCTGGAAAATAATACACACAATCAAATATACAATGCACAAAAGTAGCTTACTTATAACCAAGCAGATCCACCATAATCTTAAAATATCCAAAACCAGAAATGCAAAATTTGACACAAATATTTTCCTTTCATTTGTTCTCTTTCAATCATCCAAACTTCTGTGAAAGGTGTGATCTGCTAGGGTGCTCCCCATTCACAATAAAACCCTATCCCTGGTTTGCCTGTTACCTACACAAGTCAACATCATGTCCTCCTCTAAACATTACTTTAAGCCATGCTCTTTGATCATTCACAATTCCCACCATTTCTTCCACCCACTCAAATTAAACTGAGGTTAATCATTCATTAATTAATATGCCTTAACATTCACTCACATAAATCTAAAACATCCCAATTCCTCAATATTATCTTTGCTGAGGCTGAAAACTATTTCTCCCATTCTCTTCTTTATATACTGTAGTTTCATCAGTTTACCTATACCTTTGTTCACATGCACTACTAACTTTCTCCTAATACAAACTCCTGCTTACTCAATTACCTGTACTAACATTTTTTTTAGTTCTCTTTTGAATCTCCAACCAGGGATATATCATCAGCAAACAATAGTTAATGTAACTCACATCTATAACCTGTATTCCTTTTTACATTGCTAACTCTCCTCTCCAATACATTAGCTTTAACATCTCTTACTACTCAATCCATTAAGAGTTAAACTACAATAACATTACACATCCTTGACACAGAACAATTTTCCTCTCTTAATACACCTTGACTTTTTTTTTTTTTTTTGACAGGAATTAGCCCACCGGGCACAGGTCAAACGACCCTAGCTTGGAGCGGAAAGAAATTGTAAATATAGAAAAAAAGAAGAAGGCATTTTCAATACTTCTTTTATTTATTCTCTACCTATTCTACCGTATGCATTTTCTGTTCACAATTTTGCTACTGTAACTTTCTCCTTTTTCATAAAAGAAAAGAAACAAAAACAATACAGTATAAGAAAATCATAAACCTTCATTACTTCCAGTCTTACTGAGTGACACTGAGAAACAGTGTAATACTGTACTGTAAGCAATTTTGGAGTGTACATTTTCATACTCTTGCAAGATTTTCCCACTTTTATGGTTAGAGTTTGTTTAGCAAAATATAGAACAATACATAAAAGCATACACGAGTATACGTAATCTATAATAAAGATAAAAAGTCAATCTGAAGAGTGAAAGGATAATCTTACCTCCTCTCTGAAGACTGGATTATTTGAGTTTGCAAGAAGATGCTTGCATGCCTCAAGGAAAAGATGGAGCCGAGAGCGTAGAGCTTCAACGGCATCATGTGTAATAGCTCTCTTCTCGGCCATATCCTCGATCTGATGTAACTCCCACATCACACCAAAGAAGCAAGATGAGATACAGTACTTGGTGGCCTATGGAAATATGATAAAAACAAGACTCAACAGTAAATCAATATCTCTATCAACATCCATAAAGCTATACAGTAATCTCCCCGTCAGCTGGAATAATTGGTGCACAGCGGTTCTGGGTTTGAGACGAATTTTCTGAACCCCGGAAAAAATAGCATATCCCTGGAACTTTTCTGGGTACAATGGAGTATAAATAATTTGCAGGTTAGGTATCAGAAGACATTGTGAAGTATAGTTTAACCCATTATGCAATATTAACCCATAAATCGGTTAATTCGGACAATCAGCAAAAACGGACACCCTTCCCCCCCTATTAGTCCGAATTAACGGGGGTCGACTGTGTGTGTGTGTGTTTTCTGTGAGCTGGAACCAATTACTCAATATCCAATTGAAACAATGGTTTCGGTTAACGAAATTTTCGGTTAACGAACAACCTTCTGGAACGAATTGTGTTCATTAACTGAGGGACCACTGTACCATTTTTTATTAGGAATATCCCCCAAAATATGAACACCTTAATCTTTTCCATTACTTTGTTTTTCATCTTAAATAACCATACATTTGTAGTTCTCTCAGTTTTATCCTTCATTTGATTCCTTAAAATGGTCATGTCAAGGTGTTTCCTCTTAAATACCATTAGCTTACCCCTCCTCGTATTTACTGTACTTTTAACTATGACTCTAAAAGACTTTCACCACTATACAAAAGCACTGCATCATCCACACAGACATGTTACCACTGGCCACAACCCACCTCCTTTCTTAGAGTTTGACCTTTATTCCAAAATCTTATATCACTTTATATTATGTACAGTCTCGTTCAAGATTCTTCAAACACTCCGGAGACAGCTGGCAACTCATGGCCCTTTGTTTATTATAGTACACAGTATAATACAATACAAAACAACCATTAAATTAAGCAACAGGGAACTAAGTAATCAATCACGGATCACTTTTACATTTATTTATAATTTTTACTACGTACTAAAGTAAACACACGGCCTTGAGTTGCCAGCTGTCTCCGGAGTGTTTGAAGAATCTTGAACGAGACGGTACATTTGTAACCATAAGTAAATTTAGCTAGTCTACACTCTAATTCAAGATAAACATTACTTAGGATTCAGATCACAATTAGATTAATTTAACTAATAACTGTATTTTAAACCAAGCAAATTAAGAATATAAAAAATAATGGAAAATCTTCATCTAAAACAAACTGTATCCTACATACCTCTTCTGGTAATATTTTGCTACTATCCACAGCAGAACTGATATTTTTATAGAGAGAGTCCCATATATTGCAAGGACCCATATTATGGCAGGAATAGAAGATGGAAACTTTCTTCACTGATGACACGAGTGCAAATGTTTCATCTTCATCGGGCTCCTCCTCCTGTGATAATTTTTTTTATAAGTTTCAAAATATGCATTTCTTGTAATTGACTACACAATATCAATAAGAACATATTAGGTTACAATTACAATGAATAAGCACCTGACACACTTGTTGACAATCCTTAGTCAAATTGCCTAACTATTTACCATTGTTGTGTACTTGCATGTCTATGCACATAGGATAATGTATACTGTATTTGTACTCCCATAAAAAACGTGCACCGTATACCTACAATGTCTACACAGTATTCAGGCTGAACTGTATAACTGAATACAATAGTTTATATACGTGCCTAACTGTCTATCTAATTTTAAACCTGTATGACAATTTTACTGAACTACTGTATTATTATTATTATTATTATTATTATTATTATTATTACATGAGAGAGAGAACCTCGACAGACCGGGACAATACTTTAAGAACATAAGTTGGAGGAAGCGATAAATGATGCAAGGAAGAGCAATAGCTCCACTGTTTATAAATGATATATAAAACCCCTAAGTCAGGTTGCAATTTAATGGGGAGGAACTGAAAATGATACAGGATACATCTCTCTGGTTAACAAGGGGACAAAATGTCACTTTAGCAGAAAAAACTAAAGTTGATAATTATTCATTATAGAGAACAGATGTGTCAGAAGCACTACAAGCCTTGGTAAAAAAGTTATAGATGAATGGATTGTACCAAAAGCTTGTATACATGTGTGTTCCAACCTCTCTCTATCATTACAGAACTACAGTAGACTCGCAACTTACGAGTATTTTTCTTACGCGGTTTCAACTACATGCGGATTACCCCAGCATGTTTATATTCAAATTAATCACTATCTTATAAGAATCCCAGCAATGTAAACTATATTCTCCCAGGTCAGTTCAGTGACATTTTATAAGCAAAAAACAAAAACTCACTCTAAAGAACATAAATAAATAAATAAATACTTCACTAGATTTTCGGCACCAACTGTCAAACACATCACCCCCTCCTCCCCCCCCGCCATCTTCCCGGCCAAGGTTTGGTGGTTTTAGGCTAACAGTTTTTAACTTGCATAATATCACAGGTTAAAGTTAGGAGAATATGATCTGCATTGCTAGAATCCTTGCAAGACAGTAAATAATTTGAATATAGACTTCAGATACTTTGCAAAAGAGATAAAAAATTTAGTACATTAGTGTGGTATATTTTAGTAATGTACAAGTTTTTTAACTGTATTTTTGGGTAGATTTACATAAATTTCTTCATATATTTTTATTCATTTACATGCAAACATCAAAGAAATAATTGACCTAAGTGCAAACCTGTACTGTACTCAAATGTACAATATTATTACTAAAATTTTTATGTCTAGTGCAAACTATAGCATGTTTACATTCAAATTAATCACTATCTTACAAGAATCCCAGTAATGCATATTATATTCTCCCAGGTCAGTTCAGTGGCATTTTATAAGAGAAAACTTAAATGTCTTTCTATGACAAATAAATAAATACCCACTAGGTAAACCTTGGTGCTGGCTGTCAAAACACCTCACGTCCCTTCCCCTTCCTCCTCCCCCAACCTCCCGGCTCCTGCCTCCTCTCAGCCAAGGCTTGGTGGTTTTAGGCTTACAGTTTTTATCTTATATAATATCCCAGAGTAAAGTTTGGCAAATATAATTTGCATTGCTAGAATCCTTGCAAGACAGTGAATAATTTGAATATAGACATCACATATTTTGCACAAGAGATAAAAATTAATCACCTGTATCACTTAAAGTAGTGATTTATGAATATATATATATATATATATATATATATATATATATATATATATATATATATATATATATATATATATATATATATATATATATATATATATATATATATATATATATATATATATATTGATTTAAGGGCGATTTAGGAGTGTTTCTGACTTAACGCGTTTTATGGCTTTACGTGAGGTCCCAGGAACGTAACACTCGCGCAAGTTGCTCAGTCTACTGTATGGAGAAATTATACCATATTTATTATAATGTGCATCATAAACAGGAGTGGAAAAAGGATGATTCATGAAAAAAATACAGTAAAAGGAATAAATATAAAAGGTTGGACAGCAAAAAATCTTTCGTCACAAGTGTTAACTAAGATGGTATGGACATATAGAATGTATGGTGAATGGTAAGCTGATGAAGATATAAAATAGTAACAAAGCATCAATGCATAATTACACCATCAAGAAGAGTTAGGTATTCGTCATTGGCTTCTTGGTATTTGTTAACCACCATATCAAGGAGCGATATAAGGAATATGATATCATTACAAAAAGAAATTCAAGATGTTTTAAATACTTGGGTATTTTCATCACCATGTTTATATACGCTTTAAACATAACAGAAGATCTGATTAGAAAAAATAATATTAATTATATATATATATATATATATATATATATATATATATATATATATATATATATATATATATATATATATATATATATATATATATATATAAATTATGGGTCAATTACTTTATAAAAAAAAAGAAAAAGAAAAAAGTGGCTCAATGTCTGTATCTATATGATTTTTTCTATGCATGTGCTCAATATATTTTTCCAACCCCACACCCATTCTCATCTGGTTTATCAAATATAATTTCACTAAATAATTTGTTTGTTCATCAATATCCTTACCTTTTCCTGTCTGCTAGTGGTATATACCTCAAGATCAAAGTACTGAGGGATGATGAGCAGATTGGCCACCTTCTCTGGGTCTGCTAGGTACTTGTGCAACAACTGAGGAAGTGTGGGTATCAGATGTTCTGTTAATTTGGAACGATCATCATTCACTTGCTTCACTTCTTTAGCTGACAAAATCTGCTGCGGAGGTAAAACCCAGCATTAGTTCAGACTCCAAAGGAAAAGTACTTTTATACTTGATTCCCATAGGCTTTAAGTCTAATATTAACCCCTTGTGTATGGTGTCGCCTCTGAGATGAATAAAATTGTCTGGAGTTGGCCATATAAAATATTAAAAGTGAGGTCCCCATAGAAATACATATTTAATCCCACACACTTAAGTGCTACTTCTACCTCAAAATTCCATCAAAGGTATGTGCACACAAGTTTCAAAATGACCTGTGCACAGGTGGGCTATTCCCAATAAAAAAAGGGGGGAGGGGCACCGACATCCACCTGATGCTCACCAGCTTCCAACCGCCTCAACACTTGTAATTCTACATCGAAGGAGAATCTTTTCCGTGGCACTTTATACACACTAGCAGCATTAAAACTTGCAGTCCGTTTTCCAGACACGATGAGTAAAAGTTACTTGTATAAAAAAAAAAAAAAAATTGCAAATCAACACGTTTGTTCACTGTAAGCATGACAAATTTGTACTGTACTGTAAACAGAGAGCTTGGCACTGATTAGCTGAGTGTGTAAAAACAAAGAAAGCTGCTCTTTGCGTGTCGTGAGTGTTTGGACTCGTGACTTTTGACTACTCCCCTCCCCCAAGTGCTCCAAGTTGAAAGCAAGAGCGCTATAACAAACAGCGTTCTACGGGGTAGTGTAGTGGATACTCTCCCCTACAACTGCTGATCGGTCACTTGCCGTCCGCTTACCAGCCAACCAGCGGAGAGTTCCACAAATCAGCCCTCGCGTTCGAACTGCAAGGTGATTGGCCAGTTGCCGCCTTCACCTCAGCCAATCAGCAGCGTTTTCCATCTTCGCACTTCGGCTCTTGATCCGGCAGAAAGATATAAATACCCCCCTGCCTTGCCGTGAGGGCAGACAACACCATGCTCTTAAGCAGAGAAGACCTCCTCTAAAGAAGCTCCTCCACAGCAACTCCTCTACTAAACAGCAACTTCCCAGCACCTGGGTGCTCTGTACATATAATATGTATAAAGAAAACGCCTTTGTGAGTTTCCTTTCTCACCTCCATCCTTAGTTGTGCTCTTTAATATTTTTCCATTTTTTTATATTAAAAATATTGGTCATTCTGAAATTTAGTTTACATATTAATAATACAGACAGTACAGGGAACAGTTTTTGTGCGCCCATCAGCTGATTGAATCACCCACCAACGCTTCTCAGTTTAACTTTGTTTACAGTGGAGTGAACCTCGAGTTTGGTCTCTTGAATATTTTTGCATTTTTACATTAAAATTATTGGTATTCTGAAAATTAGTTAACATATTGATACTATACAGTGCAGAAATTATTCTGAAACACGAAGAAGGCATTAGAACCAATGCACACTGTAAAGAATATGGCATCTCATAATCGACTGCCTCTACAATCAGCCGTTTGATATGCAAACAAAGCTGCCGGGAATACGACATACACACCTTAAAGTAAGTTAAAATACAGTATTCTATTGTTTTTTTTATTTATTATTGTACAGTATAGTACTGTATTTAGCTTATATTTAATGTTTTGTTAATTCTATTACCGGTATGAATACTTTTTCTGTGAGTTTGAACAAATTACCCAATATCCCATTGAAATAATAGAGTCAGTTAACGAACGACTCTGTGGAACCAATTGTCTTCATTAATCAAGGGACCACTGTAATTCTATAGGAGATCTAAAATGCCAACTTAAATATCCACAGATTTTCCTTACTGAATAAGATATGCATTTTTTCAAAGGCAAGATAAGGGGTAAAGTTTTATATCATTTACCAGTAAGCATCCAGAGCTGGAATAGCTGAGGAGTCACAGGAAGTGTTTAATGTCTCTCACCAGCCACGACGGGCGTCTTGAGTGCCGTGACTCACTATCATGGTTTCCAACAAAACTACGTCAATGACTATGCTGGATCAGACGCATGCAACCACACACACATTTTTATGTAAATTTAATGCAAACTTTACCTTTCTTGTTGGTCCACGACCAACTGGCGGCTCACCAGTAGCAGCTTGCTTGATACAGCATACCATTATTTCAATAAGACTTGTTTCCTGCCGATCATCAAGAGGCTCTTCCATGGGACCTGGTTCTTCTAGTAGTAAATCCGTCATGCATTCCCAATCTTTCATCATTTCATTGCTCTCAATCAGAGAATCAACCAAGTATGCTCCATGTTCATGTAACTGAAGAAAGAGTATTATCAGGTACCATTAACAGTCATTTGTTCATGTACTGTACTGTAAAAATTATATGAAATGCATTTACCTTATTAAATATCCATATAAACTACAGATAATCTCTAAGCTGATTAGGCCAGTGGAATTATGCTAACTTAAGAAACCCATGACTGACATCCCTTTTGAAAGAAACATCTATGAATCATGGGATTCAGAAGTGAAGGTTATTTATTATCTCTCTCTCTCTTTGAAAGGAAAAAAGTGGAAAAAATGTTAGACATATATTAGCCATCAGAAACTGCAAAATGTATAAATTATAAAACTTAAGAGAACCCTTAAAAAAAAAAAACACATACACAGAGGGTGATTCAACAAAGAGTACATTAAATTGGAGGATGAAATCTTTGGATAATTCTAAACCACAATGTCTCTATGGTAAAATGTCAGAATCTGCATAGTTTCCATGTGACAATACATTTAAGATGTTGTATTAATGAGAGTGAATTTGAAGTGAAACCCCAGTAGGTTTTTGTAATAATTTATTCACAGATGTCTTATGTACAGCAGTACAGCATGATACAGATGTCTAACACAGGTGCAATGAGACAGGGACCGTCTACGACTGAATGAGATACAGGCAGTTACAGGGCGGAGGGGGTTTCACATAGAAACTATGCAGAATCTGACATTTTACCATAGACATTGTGGTTTAGAATTATCCAAGGATTTTATCCTCCGATTTAATGTACTCTTTGCTGAATCACCCTGTATATATGTTTCATGTGTCAGCTAGCTTATCAATTACCATTCCATTAGTACCTCACGTGGTATGGCAAAAACAGAGCGTTTCACAAATGATCATCTGATAGTGGAAGCAAAAGGTAGTGAGAAGGGGTGGGACTTTACTGCTCCATGAAGAGCTTAGCAAAACAATTAGTCTTACCCCTACTTGGCTTGAGCAGACTAAGCTCCATCATTGACACTATTTGGATATGCATTGCCCATAAGCCCCTTGCTCTATAAGAGAAATAGAAACCCCAGGTATAAGCACATTAGCTTTTGTACCATTGACACTTACAAAAGTATGCAATTTTACACATGGAAAGTGCAAAAGCACAATGTGTATCATGAGAACAACTGATTATTGGAGGAAGAGTCATTAATAGACATTTTTGCTTTAAACAGTTCCTTCATAAATCAATGTCTGTCACCTCTGATTGTGCCCACTTTTTTTTTTAATGATCCAAATGAAAACCAACTGACTGTTTGTTTTTTCTTTTCATAACACCAAAACACTATCTTTATATTTAACCACCAGTGTTTCATTGCCACTTCCCACACTTGCATGGATTAGACTGGATTATCCAATGGTAACTGTCCACAAAGATAAATGTTATGTACAGACATAAACATGCAAATGATAAGGAGAATCTTTAATAAAAGGAGATACTAGTTAAACAAAATACCAAAATAAAGTGAGAAACAAATAAATAGAAATGCGAGGTACAGTATTGATATAATTGTCCATATCAAATTCTATTCCTTTATACTGCAAAATGTATAAATTATAAAACTTAACAGAACCCCTTAAAAAATAAAAAAAAAAAAAAAAAAAACACACACAAATTGACATATAAGGTGACAACATAATTATACATTCCTCACCTCTGACTCAATGAAAAACTGCACCAGATCACGGATTAAAGGGGTATTAGGTCGACGTTTTTTGCCACGCTTGGTTCTCAAGGCAGCCACAGCATCATCATCGGGAATGAAAAGACGTTCATTGAGGAAATCACCCGCTGCCTGGGCCACAGCACGATGAGATGAGTACACCAGCTCATAAACATGCTCACAGTCTTTGTCCGTTAATATATCTCGATGGTGTTTCAGAATTGAGATGACTAATTTCACTGCTTGAACACCCACATCATATTCCTTATCAAGAGTCATGGCTACAATGCGATCCTTAAACTTACTAGTGAAAAGTTCCAATTTCCCTTGGAGCTCTTCACTAGCATAGAGAGGTTGGAGGGCTTGTAGGCACTTCAAACGTACATCACCAACTTTATCATGGAGTGTCCAACCAATGTACTTCAGGTAGGAATCATCCAAAAAATTCTGGTGAAATTTTTTCATCCAGAGCCCAATCTCAGCCATGCAAATGGAACGGATCTCAGGCAAGGTGTCCCTGATTAAAAGAAATTATAAATCAAAATCAAAATTTTCATATCAAAATGTAATCATTTCTATGTTATTCATCAAAAACTGTAACATTTTATATCTAAAAGAAAGCTTAAACTACAGTGGCTTTTTCAGTTCATGAACACAATTCGTTTCACAGAGTCGTTCGTTAACCGAATCCATTATTTCAATGGGACATTGGGTAATTGGGTAATTTTGATTACAAGTACAGTACAGCTTTGCCCTTAGGACAGTGTGTGCATGTACATGAGTTTCAATAAATGAATAAAGTTACATATATCGAGCCAAAAATAATAGTTAAAAAATTTTATGTAGACAGAGCTTGGATGGCTAAATTTTAGAATGACCAATAATTTTAATATAAAAATGCAAAAATATTAAAGAGCACAATTTTCTTGATATTTACTCCACTGGAAACGAATGTGCGAAAACACATACCTGTATCTATGGACAAAAACAGATTTGAACATATATGTCAACATGTTCTTTATCTCATCCATGTTCTCTTCCAACTCCTGTCTCTTTGACATGAGAGATTCCAGACGATCAGATGCACGCTTCTCACGAGACTGTCAAAAGATAAAAAGTAAATTAATATTTTTATGCCACTTATAATTTTCAGGATACCATATATTTAACTAGTCTTATAGATCTATTCACCAATCTTATTGTGTGAAACCATAAGAGGAAACCAAATTTGAGGCTTACTCATAAAAGGAGAGTATCATAGCAAAACACATCCTCTCTCGCTGTGTGTGTGTGTCCACAAAACACATACAAATAAATAATAATGGGCAAATCCCCTCACAAATAATCAGAAACAAGACAACTAAATTAAAAAAAAAAAAAGTGAGTCTACCCTCAAGTCAACTTTAATAACGAAGTACGGAGTTGACTTGAAGGTAGACAATACAGGTAAAATAAATTATTGTCTCTAGAACGAATGCTCCCTGTCCCGGCCGCGAAAATGCCAGCAACTTTAAAACTACCCGTAGACATTCTTGGGTACATCCAGGGTGTCATCCACGAATAACCGAGGTCATTGAATTAAAAATCTGCAAATTGTCAGGGCATGCTGTATATACTTTGAAGACTTTTTCCACTACATGAAAACTGGTTTAAAAAGGAGCACATATACAACCACAAAATTTTTCTCTCCATTCAATATCATTTTTATTGCAGTGAAATACAGTATGCATGAGTATTTCTTTTCCAACATAAGACCTCAGGTTTACCCACTGCTTCACACAAGCCAACATCACCCACTAGCAGCACTACCTTCCCAGAAAGAGAAGTATAGTGCTTTCCAACCATTTAAACTGTTGCATCCAATATGTACATACCCTTTACTTCTAGTACATCCTTCAGTGCATCCTTTCATCTCCTTACTATCTACTTTTGAGATATAAATTTTTTTTTATCTTTTACTTCTCATTCTCCCTATGTCCATACCACCTGAGAAGACCCTCATCTGCCCTTACCCTGATACTTTACACTGCCACATCAGTTCCTTATCTCTGTATTTATTATTCTCCTCATCCTATTGTTCACAAGCTTGTTATTTCTGATGGTTCTGATCTGCTTCTTCCTCTTGCTACCACAGTCCATGCTTCATACCCATATAATACTGATGGCTCAATATTTCCCTTATATAGTCAACAGTAACACATAATTATGTTTAATTGATATAGTGTATATCTATCCCAGTCTTAAAATACAAATAAGTATGACACAGAAAAATAAAACTCTGATCACAGAATCACTTACTTTCTGTCTCTCTGATTCATACTGGCGCTGAGTATTGTCCAAGTTGACTGAAACAGTCAGGGCAACATCTACCAATGCCGTCATCAGTTTCATGGCTGTTATGGAAGAAACCATTGATAAATTAGGTGTTTTGACTTGTTCATCTTAACCCTAATCAAGGAATTGCTCACAATCAATACAATACACAGTTAACTCTTCCTCATCTGGAATTCTCAGGACTGAGGACATGCTGGATTCTCAATACAGGCAAGTCCTCACTGTGGGAAAGGGATGCATTACAAAGAAGTCGTTTGCATACAGTACAGTACAGCAAAAATCTGTAAAGTGAGAGATTTTCTCTTGGACATAAAAGTGTTATATAGGGATGATGCCATCCTGGGGCAGATTTTCACACGTTTTCAACCAAAACTAAACAAACTAAATTTACGACATACTAACTTGGTAAATCAGTATAGATTGTCATTTAAATGTATAATTAAAAGAATACAATAAGTCCCTGAGTTATTGGGAGATTGCATTTCAATTTTATTGTATCGACAATATTAAAAACAGTGGTCAGATTCTTAAGCCAGCCCCAAAAATCTTATATACACCATTATAAGCTGAAATACAGTACAGTATATTTTTAATGAATAACACAGGTTAAGCCTATAAAATCCAGATGTTCAGAAGCTGAGAATGTGAGAAAACCATACATTCTTACTACTGGATAAATTCTACCTGGCCCAACCTAACTGGAGCAACACCCACACCAGTTTTTATGGTGATTCACATGTTGACTTTGTGTTGCTTGTAACTGCAACAATGTCGAAAATGCCAACAAATACCCTTATAGGTATCAGTCAAAACAGAAAACATAATTCATTCCAACTTAATGGGTAAAACCAGGGTCGGATTAAGCTTAATAGGGGTCTGAGGCACAGATCAACTTGGGGCCCCGTACCCTCAAGGAATATATAAATAACAAGAACAAAATATACCCAAATTTATCAATGATTTCATCAATATTAAACTTCTGCAAAATAACACATTTAATGTTCATAAGAGACAGAAAATTGAGACGTTGCTAGGACATCGTTGAACGAAGTTCATGTTTTATACGCTTCAACTTCGAGAATGTTTGGATTTGGGGACCCCTTAGAGTTGGGGGGCCTGAGGCCAGTGCCTCAAGTGCCTCATGGTTAATCCGGCACTGGGTTATACATGGCTGTATTTTCTTTTCAAGTTCAGGAAAGCCTCCGATAATCACGGTTCTACTAACGACGATTCGTATTTAAGACCCTAGTTAATTTAGTACCCAATTCAATTTACACGGAGGCTGCCAGACTTGTGAATGGTGACACCAGCATCACTAGTATAAACAGTTGCAGTTTCGCGGGCCTTTTGTTTTCACGCAACTGAACAGGAAAAGGAGAAAAACATTCTCAGATTTCTTATGGCATTTTTGCATCCCTATTCAACATGAGCAAGTGAGCAAGAGATGGTAGTGCTGGTTCAAAAGTTAAAAGAATGTGTATAAGCTTAGCCGAGAAACTATGTGTGTTAAAACGATAAGAAAAGGGCGAGAGGTCTGTGGATATCATATGGAGCAAGCAATGAACATATTTTCTGAAGTGGATCCATTAACAGAACAAAACATAAAATTAACAGGAACGTGAAAACTCATATGACTTCTACATAAAGATGTATAATGAGAAAAGAAAGCAGCTGTGCAAGGTTCTTTCGACAGCTTTATTATTCGAAGGCCTAAACCATCAACTTCAGCTACATCATCAAATTCAGCATCATAAGTAGCTTCAGCAACAACTTCAGGTTCAGTAACAGTTTCAGCAACAGCTATGACATGTTTATGGACAGCTAGAGCTTCAGCCAGAGTTGAACCTGATGACTTCGTCATCTGAGTAAAAATTCGCACAATATGCATTGGCTGTCCTTATATTTTAGACTCTACCACCATTGGTGAGTCGATATATATATATATATATATATATATATATATATATATATATATATATATATATATATATATATATATATATATATATATATATATATATATATATATATATATATATATATATATATATATATATATATATATATATATATATATATATATATATATATAAATTTATTTCGCAGATTTGGCGATTCACGTCCATTTTGAGAACCTAACCCGTATCATTACTGTACTAATATTCCCACAAACAACAATTGACAACTGTTTATGTTTCCAGCCTCTTCGGGCACCTGTGTGCCATGCGACCGACCACTCAACCAGTGCCCACAGGCCTAAAATGATCTTTGCTCTGTTTTGGGAATGTTTCTTAGTTAGGCTTCTTAACCTAGAACCCCCCCAATTTTTTGTCCGGATCTTCTGAAATCCAGATTTACTGGGTCTGGATTTTCAAGGGTTCGCTGTACAGTGGTGTTTGCGTAAATAAATACAACTCTGTGTCTGTTCATGTGAGATGCATAGCTAAGGCTCAGAAAACTCTCCCCAATACCCGGAAAAATTCCAGGCATGTGAGAATTTTTCAGGGGTTATGAAAATTCGTCTCCATACCCGGAAATCTTTCAATCCTGGAACTGCTCTGCGCCAATTATTCCGACTAACGAGGATGTCACTGTACATCATTTTAACACATTTTTTTATGGCTATACAGAAAAAGTAGAACATGAAAAAAGAGAAAGCATACATCAGAACGTTACAAGTTTATGAGATAATATTGAAGTAATAAATGAAATATTAATACTGTACAATTAATCAATAATTATGCACCTACTGCATATCATACTACATTTCAGGGGCATACTTCAGATATAATTATATTAATTGGCTCATGCATTTCTTTTCATTAGTCAATCCCAAATACATTAACCCCCCCCCCTGATCACCCCATTACTTGATTTTAAAACCCTTGGGACCCCCACCAGCATTAACTGATTTTATTTGGATCTACTTTTTCTGGGGAGTTATGTGAACAAACACAATAAGGAAGTGATGTTGTTATGCCACTACTGTCACATATTTGTGACCATTAAATACAACTTTCCCTTTAAAGATGCTTAAGATCCATAAGTATGATATTCAGCTATATAACAGCAGCTGACAGGACATATAATGATAACAGAGTAGTAAGGGCTAACTGTTCATGTACAGTATATGCAGTATGTAAAAATTCTTAAAATTTCTTTAAAATACAGTAATTTCATGTCACCTTTCCTGATGCAAAATATTTAACTAAATAAAAACAACAAAATTTAAATTAAAACTAACCTGCCAAGGTTGCTGTGTGCCTGAAGGCTCGGACCTGGGAATCAGACAGGCCCGTCAACAGGGAGATGACGTTGTCCATGAGGTACTGGTCATAGATTATGGAGTACTGGCACTGTTTCACCAAAAGCTGCACAAACTCACTGAAGTTACTTCGAAACTTCTTCCACTGTTGACCGCTCTGGATTAATGGATACTCACCACTTTCCTGTAAGCAACAAATAGGTGAATCTGTATCACAACACTCGAAGTTTTGTCAGCATGATAGTTTAAACTAAAACTAATGAGAGAGTATTTTCATGAGAAAGACTTACCTGTTCCTAATCCAGCAGCATGAAAAAGCGAAGGCTACCTGAAATAGTACGAATAGGTCTGCTGCTAAGTGACTAAGTGTTCACAATGCACCACTCTTAAATACAGAACCCAAAAGCATATGGCCAGCAACATATATTATACCTCCTCAAATTCCTCTGTCATGCGCCTGATGATCTCAGCATGTTCCATGGTAGCTTGCATATGTGGTGTAATCTTGCCCTTGCATCCAGCAGCATTGATAAAGAACTGCATCAGCTGTAGCAATGATCCATCCCGATTGTCCTTGTAAGCATCTATCCAGTCATCCACAACTTGCTGTTACAGGATAAAAAATGTTAGTTGGGAATTTTGCTGGCAAAGTCACATGTTAAATCTTCCAAAAGGCATCAATTGTTTCACCTTCCATTCCACCATGAATAAAATTTTACAACAATATCTTAACACACTTGGGGTTTTCGTGTGCATATTTGTGTATGATCTAAATTATCGTTTTAGGGTTTTCTTACGCAAATTTGCGAATGAACACAAATATTAATTTTAATTTGCATATGAACACTAGATACACAAGTCACACATTTGGTAGTGTCAGTATGATCTGGCACCTATGTAGACTACCTCCAAGGTTACGTGAGTGACCACACCAGTCACCCTTTGTGGTTCAATGACACAGGAAACTATCCTTGACCTACATTTCCCACTATTTAACATAAAACTTTGCTTTATGAAGATAAACATGTGTGTCGTACACTTTAAGTCAAAATTCCAACAATGGTTAACTTATGGACAGGACCACAAATTAGACATATGAATGGAAAAAGTGACAACTGTATGTTCCCTGACTTTGAGATGCATAAAAAAAATATTTAAATTGTATTTGTGGAAACCCTAAAAAACAGTATTTCCATGAAATAATAATTATGGTATTTATGATGTATTAACAGTGATGCCAGGCAAAAAATAATTATATATATACAGTATACCACCCAAAAAACTTACTGCTAATACAGCTCGTCCATTTCTGACAATGTAGTAAAGAGAGTTTTCATCCTCAGCCATTACTTCAGTGATGGGTTTACGTCCTGGACGGCCCCGTTTGCGTGGTGGTTCTCCTACAATTTGGTCTCCTATCTTTTTAATGGTAGCTAAAAAGGAAAAATAATATTAATTATAACAATAAACAGAACATATTAATAAAAAAGCACTTGTACATATACAAAAAAAATGTCCAGTATGCATAAGTTAGTTACAAATCAGACCATTTCCTACATATTTTCCAAATTAACTCAGTAGCTACCTTCAGCAAACCCATCCACTGAAACACATCTTTCACACACAAAGCGTAACTATTGTTCCACCTTTCCTTGAGAGGCCATATTTTATCAATAACTGATCATTTTCTTCATATACACAAACTACTTCAATTCTTGAACCTTTTAATTTTCACCCATACTAGTTAAAATATTGAAATATTTTTCAATTTCAGTCATACTTTCAGGCTACCTTCCAGACAGTTGGTATAATATACTCGAGAAACTAGTAAATTTCAGTGTTCTATATGACTCCCATATTAATTTAATTTATTTTATTAGAACATTGAAGTGAAAATTTTCTTCAGAAGAACATAAGTGTTCGTTAAAGTTATTGCCTACAAAAACAAATGCATTTCATTTTGTAGACCAGTATGTTTAATGGATAAAGTCAGTCCAAATACTGTACAGAATAGCTTATATTACCATCAAAACATCACTTATGAATCTGCAACAATTCTATAACTCACTTTTTTCATTCCTTTCCACAGCAGAAGAATCACTGTTTTGTCTAATCATCAAGGACATATCCAGTTTGCAATCATTTGATGAACTGCAATTTGATCCCTACCTTTTGACCAACTGCATTTCAACCATCAACCTATTCATGCCTTTGTTTCCCTTTCATGCATAATGCCTTTCTTACCACTGTACATACTGAGAAATGTGAGCTCAAGCTCTCAAATGACTCAGCCATGTCAATATTGTTATTATTAATCGTTACGTATCTGTATTTTTCTGAGCAAATAAACTGCTTCAATATCAATAATTTCATGTCTTTGATGACCCTAACCACACAACCATATTTTATTCCTACCCCCTTCCCCTACAGTTCTATAACTAACTTTAGGGAGAAATTTACATATTACCTCAGTTTTTCTCCAACAATAAAAAAGAATTATGGTACAGTTATGGAAAAGTGTTCCCACACCTCCTGTCATATCCCGTGTCTCCAAACAAGACCAAGATTATACTATTTTCTTCAATCCAAGTTACCAACTAAAAACACTTCTTGCTATCAGATAAGTGCCACTTGATTCACATCTTCCCTGTTCCTGTCCCTAGGTACTAACAACAAAGCACACACACAAACATCAAAGGAATGCATGCAATTTTACAACTATATCCCCCATTTGTTTTATCTTTAACAAAGTTCTCTGCCTTTATACCACACTTTAAATTAATTTTCACATGTTTTAAGCAAAAACCTGAGTAGATTTCTTTCATTTTACAAAATACAGCCCTCCAAAGAAACATGCTAATCAATGTATCAGTACCACTTTTTATCTTAAAGTTACAGCAAGTCCCTACCAATTTTACTTGAAACACTCTTTAAGACTACATGTAAAGTATCTTTCCTAATAAATTGAATACAAAATATGCACATTCCACACCTTCACTGTTATAAAACAATACTCTGTACAGTACTATACATTATTATTAACAGGGAAATTACAATATTAATTAGTGGAAAGGCATTTCAGCTTTAAGTGTACATTCTCTACTGCATCATTTTTAATGTTTTACAGTAAACAATCTGAGTAAGTGTAGAAGAATAAAGCATTATTTACAACTGCCAAAAGTAAAAACATCCAACCCTTGTACAATTAATTTGGGCTTAGCTTTCTTTGACACTTTAACCTACAAAGTACCAGTCACAATCATAATTACAGTGTATATCTAAGGTTTATATTTACAATATGTATTTCAAAATGACGTTATTTTTCATAGCTCTCCCATATTTTTAAACATCTTGGAACTGCTTCTCTTGAACTTTAAATCTAATTTCTACAAAAGTCACAGGAGGGGTGCCCTCAAGATTCAGCTGTGCATACCAATTTCTATGCCATTGACCATCAGATAAGGTCACCACGGTAGCCATTTCAATACAAGTTTCTTACCACCTTTCTCCTAAATTATCAAATTGATCACCACAGGAAAGACTTCCTCAAAATGTAGTAGTGCATATCACATTTTCAATGCCACAGGTCATCCAATATGGTCACCAATTTGACAATTGTCTCATCACTTCTAATCTTTCATTCTAATTTTGACAAATATTTATAGATACAATCCTCTTTATATCTAATAATCTAATCGGTATTTCAAAATTACAAAACCTTATTCAAAATGCTACGGCCACATTGAAATGTTCTTTATACCGTACTGCATATTTTTCTCCTAAAATATTATTCCAGTATACCCATTAAACAGCAAATAGCAGAGTTCCTACAAGATTTCCGACTCTAGGGAATTTATTGCAAAGCTCATAACAAAAATAACTTAGAATAATACCCGAGTAAAATTACACTGCTCACCAATTCTGCCTCGTCCTCTTCCTCTGCCTCTCCCACGAATAGATATTGTTAAACGTGGTATTGGTTCATAGTTCTGGGGAGGCTGATCATCATCATCATGGACATCTGCATCAGAATCCACTTCATGATCCATCTCCTCTTCTTGCTCCTCGGGTTCCATTTCGGGTTCTGGCTCCGGCTCAGGTTCAACGGGGGGCTAATAGTGCACAGAAAAACAAACAAAATATAAATTTACAGAATGACTAAACAAGTGACTTACAACATACTGTACATGTTTCTCGGACCAACAACTTTAAAAACTGATTACTGTACTGTACATGTACTCTTAAAAGATTTCACAGAGGCCTTATCCTAGTGAAAGATCTACTGTACTATCATCTATCTTTTATGAAGAAGAAGAAAAAAAAAAAACATTAAAAGTTTTATGGATAAATATACAAGACACTACCATCCTTTAATATCTTTGCAACTCATCAATGGGTAAAAAGAGATACTACAGTAGGGTAAAAATATGTCATACAAGTTGATGACCCTCTCTTATCCAGCAGCCTTGGGGCCAGTGCTGTATCAGATGAGAGAAATTACCACAGTAAACACCCTGATATAACGGACTAATTGGGAGGAAGGCCGGTCTGGAAGATGAAAGTCTGTTATATTCGCATCAGGAATAATAATGAACTCGGTCCATTATATACTAACATAGTCCAAAGTGACCAAGTAGGTCACTCATCACCAACACCACTCACCACCACCACCAACACTCACCACCACCACCAATCCTTAACACCACCACCAACACTCCCCACCACCACCAACAATCAACACCACTACCAACACTCCTTACCAACACTCACTACCACTCACCAACACCAACATTCGCCACCACCAATACTCACCAGAACCACCACCAATACTAACCACAACCACCACCAAAGCTCACCAACACTCACCACCACCAACACTCACTACCACCAACACTAACCACAACCACTTATCATCACCACTAGTTTTCACCACCACCAACTGGTGTTTACAGGATGTGAATGCATTCAAACTGTGGCAATGGAGTGGCAGCCTGCAGGCTAGCAGAATAAACAGTCACTCTACAGGTTAGTAACATGTGCCATACTGTACTGATTGGTTGTTGGTGGGGTGGGGTGATGCATATCATTGACCGCTACATTACCAGGTACAAGTCAACATCTGATTTGTACGTATTATGGATTTTCATCTTTTTTTAATTTCTAGTAAAATGTAACTTGGGTCGTAAATATTCACTATATACGTACTGTATTACTGTGTATGTGGAAATCAGTCATATAAAGAGCAAGTGTGTCAAATAAGTTGAATGCTATCAGGAATTTTTTTTACAAAAGGAGGAGAGCGCCGATTGGCTGCGAGCATACATGGGTATGTCGCTCTCATTGGTGGACAGATTGTAAATAAGCATGGCTGCTGTCGGCGAGTCCAGGGTGTTCCGTCTTGTAACTTCTGCCTTTGTATTATGGATTTTCAAAAATTATTGTTTTTGTTTTCCAAGTAAAAAATAACTCCAGGAGAGGACCAAAGAGCTCTATAACGTCATGCAGGGTCGGGCAAAATGGGGTATTACTGTACTAAATTTATTTGTGATAATTTGGATACGAATGGCCCGTTATTTTTTACTTTTATGAACCCGAGTCCATAAATACCATTAATAATAATAATAATTAACGGATATATCGGGGGTTTACTGTACAATAAAAGGTTGATAATTAATGGTACATCGGCCTAAGCTACACTTTGCCTAATACCTGTAATGTCATGGATTTCTTTGTACACAAATTGGAAGAACATTATAGTGAATAAATTTAACCCTTTTGGCTGTGAAAAGCCAGGAGACGTCTGCAATAGAGGCTGTGACAAGTTAGCAGGCTGTCAAGATTTAGGCATAGATTTTTAAAATTGTGTGCTAAAAGATGTTAATAGACTGTGTCCCATTATTCCATAGGCCTCCAGATCCCCACTGCCTTTTCTATAACAATGCCAATAATTGGGAATTGCTAGTTAATGGAATGCCAGATGAATTAGGGTCAACCTGTATAATAATTATACAGCATGCCCTTAAAATTTGCAGGGGTTTGGGGGTCAAAATGGCCGCAAATTGCCAAATCCACGAATATCATTTGCTGACTTGGGGGAGGAGGGGTACATTTTTACTCATGCAAAGAAATGGATATTCCCTTTATGTGTTTGCCTTAGGATAATTATTTCTTTTACCTGTACTCTATGTGTGTGTTCTCTCTCTCTCTCTCTCTCTCTCTCACTCACACACGCACGCACACACTACTTTCCTGTTACTCAGAATCGAGTATGACGATCATCCAACTGTGATAAAATGATACGAGTTATGAAGGATGTCACCTTTGTTGGTGAGCTCTGAGGTGACTAGAGAGGCCGATACGTGACTGGCAGGGTCGTCCACAGATGTTGCACATGTGGGGGTCTACATCTAGTGCGGGAGGGTGGTGGCTGCATATTTCTGGCGTTGGCGCTTATCTGCCTCGGTTTGCAGTCAGACTAACTCGAAAGTATTGTCACCTTCTCATGTGGTGCTCCTCCAGGCGTTACCGTGATTTGGCAGTCTACTGTCGTCCATGTGGGTAACGTAACCAGTCCAACTTAATTGTTCTTGGATAATGGTAGCCTCGATGCTCCTACGGTTGGTGTCAGCGAGAATACTGGCATTTGTTCTCTTGTCATCTCAGCGAACAAGGAGGATGGAATGTAGACAGAGTTGGTGAAAGTTTTCAAGTGCCTTGAGGTGCCTCCTGTATGTGAACCATATCTCGCTGCCATATAGCAGGGTGGGGGACCACTGCTCAATATACATGCAACCTTGTAAATAATTTCAGCTCCCTACAGCTGAACACATGGGTATGGAGTCTGGCAAAGGCTTGAGGTGCACATCTGATCCGATGTTGAATCTCTTCATCGACGTCTGCGGTGGTGAACAGGTGGGAGCCGAGATACTGAAAGTGGATAACATTAGGGAGGGTAGTACAGTTAAGCTGGGTGGATGGTGGAGGTGTCGCTGAACCAGGGGCAAGCTGAAAGAGAATTTGAGTCTTACTTACATTCACCTCAAGGCCGAAGTGTGCATATGCATCTGCGGATAGGTTGTGTTCAGTGTGAGCGACAAGGGTGAGGTCGTATGCATTTTGAAGTTCAGTAATGGAAGCTGCCGACACCTTTGTTCCTGCCTGGAACTGTCTTGTATTGAAAAGACCCTTCATCCGGTACTGGATGTACACCCCGCCAGCTAAACTGGCGCGAGTAAGGAAGGCAGCCAAGAAAATGAAAGAGAGAGAGTTGGTGGCAGTATACATCCTTGTTTTACCCCCGCTTGGATGGGGAAGAACTCTGACTGGGTGCCATTGTGCAAGACACTCACTGCCCTTACCCGCTCCAGTTGCCAGGCATACACATGGGAGAAATACATGTCCTTCTTTTCTCTCTTCACTTGTTTGGGCACCTTCCCACAGCTGGATGAAGGTGGTTGAGGATGTATGAGAGCCATCACAAGCACAAGGAGCACAGTTGTTAAGAGAGCAGAGGAGCACAAGCACGAAATGGACAAGTACAGTATTTAACCTGGAATGAGGCGGAGTGAGCAGGCATGGCCCAGCTGCCTGGGACAAGAGACACCTTGTGGTACACCATAAAACTTACGGACTCCCACATCCCGGTGTGAAAATGCTGCCAACTTTAAAACTACCCACAGACATTCTTGAGTACATCCAGGGTGTCATCCGTGAATAATCGAAGGCCGTGAATAAAAAATCCACAAATTGTAAGGACATGCTGTATTAGACTTTAGACTAAATTACCATACCTGAGGAGTTTGTTCCTGTTGATACTGAGAAGTTTGTTGTGGTGGCTGGCTATAGTGGGATTGATAGGCAGGCTGTTGCTGCTGTTGCGGCTGTTGTTGGTAGACTTGCTGTTGTTGCTGTTGCTGCTGCTGCTGTTGTTCAAAATCTTGGTGTGCATAGACTGGATGCTGCTGCTGTTGTTGCTGCTGTTGTTGTTGTTGCTGTTGCTGCTGCTGTGGTGCTTGAGGAGGCTGTTGATGATGTGGTGGCTGGTCATATGATGGTTGGTTGTAGCCCATCTGATAGTCAGGGCTGAAAACAATGAAAACAGGTTGATGAACTCTTTCACTTAAGCCATTATTCTGAGTCTGATAAAAAGAGATGCAACATTCTGCAATATCCCCAATCATGTCAAAAATACTCATTTCCTCCTTATTTTTTTCTTGGCAATGACAAAGCAAAGGAATTCCTGGTGTTTATCATAAAGATGTACATTAACAAAAAGGATAAGATTAAAAAACAAAATGCTAAGTGCTACTTTCCATACAATTGACGGCAAAGGATACAGTGGTTCTCCACAAACATAATTCCCAAACTCATATTTCACAAACTTTTGAGATTAAATTTGCTCCTTTTTTCAATAATGTACAATGGCCTTGCAAATTTTAACTTGTACCAAGCCTTAGTAAAAAGTTGTAGAGAATGGTGTTTTTGAATACTGTATCAAGAAAAAGGTAGAAATGTCGACCACCTTACCAAGACAGTTGATACAAATATGGCACTGCCCATCTCTACAACATTACTGAGAATACTAAGGCTGAAATCCATCAAACTTTGGGAGCACAAGTGTAAGAGCGATTGAAATTCCCTCCTGCCTCCCATTCTCTTAAAATTCATCCTTCTCACCCGAGCTAGGCATGCTCAGTACCAGTCGCCTGTGTCCACAGGCATTATTTTGAAGTGCTCCAAGAACTATAATTATAAACTACTTTTGTAGCCATCAGTTCCAAACCAAAGTAAGGTGGTGTAGTGGCTAAAAGGAAGTGTAGTAGCTCTGGGATGGAAGTCAAATTAGAAGTTATATGGTGTAAGAAAGGTGGTGAGTGTTTAAAATAAACCACTTTCATTGGAGGTACTACCGCCTGAGAAGATATTGGAAGCATAATGTGTTGTCTAATGGTAGACCCTGCTGCCATATGGCATCACGAATATTGTGACAAGTCCCAGGTTGCTGATCTGTCTTTCTGCCTCATTTACACACAATTGCAGGATCTCAATTGTTTCTCGTACTATTGACAACACAACATACAATACATATAGCATTTCTCACTATTGATTATTGTTTTTCTTTTCTTTATTATCATTATTACAGTGTTGTTATTATTATTTTATTTTACTTCTTATTATAAATTTTATTTACTATGAATTACTATTATTATTAAATTTTTGCCCCCCAGGCCCCGATGTGGGTCAGTGACCTGTGCCCGGGTGGGCTAATCCCCATTAAAAAAAGAAAAGAAAAGTGAATATGTGAGTGTGGTTAAGTAGCCTGCGTCACATGAACACACTGAACACAAAGAACTTTAAGGACCTTATATAAGTTATAAAGTAAAATAATTATATAAAATAATGTGTAATCAATTGTTAAACAAATGTTTTTAAGGTAAATATAGAAATGTTAAAAGATATCAATCAAACTAATGAGTGTCACTAACAATATGATGGTCCTGATTAGACCCTATTCCTATTAATTCTTATAAGTGGTTTCATTATCAGTGGCTTTTTTCTGGTCCCCATTAACAATTTATAACGAGAACCCCTGTACTGTACGTACAGTATAGTCTCGGTTTACGCGGTCAATTAAACCCATGGAGGACCGCGTAAAACAAGAAACGAGTAAACGAAATAACAGAACATATGGGGTTAATTGAAATAGAGACTGGGCCGACCTCCAGACTACCCTTTTTCCGACACAATACGTACGTTGTAGTAAAAATAACATCTTAATTTTATGATGGTATGCACACACAATTAATATTTAAGAGAAATATCAATAATATTAGGTTTTTTAACACTTACGTTAGTAGAAGGGATGGCTGGGCACACGGGGATGAGGGGTTGGTTCCGAGGCAGAGGGCAGATTATTGGCCCTCACCTGTATCACTATCCACCACAGAGGCTAGCAGGGCCTCCTTGTCAAACCCCTCAAAGTCCATATCCTCACTGTCAATATCACTGACTTGGGCTGGCTGTGGTGGGTGGCGGGTAAAGAACTCGGTAATGTTTTGTTGACTGGGCGACCTAGTGTGCACCCTGCCCGCACCGCTTCCCGCGTAAATGATGGAATGTACCGCGTAACTAATAATTGCCGCGTAAATGACGAACCGCGTAAAGGAAATCCGAGTAAATCGAGACTATACTGTATATGTATATTATGTTAATTTTCGGTATTTTATACACTAATGTATTAAAAATGAATCTTAGCATTTATTTTTGTATAAAACACTGATCTAATGAATGAGGTTAGATTTATTTTCAAGCTTTAAAGACCTGACTCCCAAACTTAGTTTTCCATAATTCACACGATTTGCAGATATTTTCATTCCAACCTTAAAATTTTGTAGGGGACGTATGTACTGCAAGATTAATATCCACTCCCATTTATTAAGGAAATGTTAACACTCATTTGAGACAACAAGTGTTGCAGGTACCCAGTGCCAGGGTTCTCAAATGTTACTGCGGTAGAAGACATCCTCGTGTACAGCACTGTAAGCATGTAAGTAACACAAGTTCATGGTGAATGCACAACCAAAAGGTTGAAGATGGGGTGACAATACAAGAGGAGTACAGTACACTATACAGTATCTCTCTCACTGAAAATGTAGTGATAAAGAAGCAGGTTAGACACCCAAGAGGTTATTTCCTCTATGAGTATCCTAATTCTGTTTTTCTACTTCTAAACATTTATATACTGTACAATGCCCATTCAATAGTGATACTCTGTTCCCAGAGCCTTTCAAGATCTATGGGCACCTTGTTAAAAATAGCAATACAGGCAGAAAAGAGAAAGTATGGACTAAAACATTAAATAGCTGTGCATTTATTTTTTTGTAGATTTACCAATATACTGATTAGTAACTAAGCCTAAGCAAAGGCACTGTCTGTATGCCTCCATGGTCATATACATTGTATACCTGCACTGTTTATATACATATTAAACTTTATTGTATAATGTATAGAGTACAAGCATAGTCTATATAAGCTGAAGCAATGTAAAATTTGATTATAAAAAATTAAATAAATAATCGTTTGAATAATATGAAAGTTAAATGGATAACTTACAAGTAAATTATTCTAGTTCTGTACTGTATAAGGTAACACATTTATAGTAACTCATTTACTTCTCTTAATACTGTATATAGATCAGGCAAATGACTGCACTAATTTAACAATTTATAACACTGTAATGTATTGTATTCCTTAAAGCCAATTATCAGAGTACTGTACTTAAGACACAAGTCCTATGGCAAAAAGATGAAAAAAAGAAAAATACATAATCAATAACCCAAATATCGTTTTTGTTAATCCCAAAGCATGTTGAACTTAGGTTTACTAAGCACAAGCCAGAGATAAGGCAACATGTTGGAACAATTTTGGCATCTTGCCCAATACTATTTGGGTTGCCAAGTACAGTACTGCATTTGTTTTTTCTTTAACAAAAGTTCTTTACAATAAAATATAAAAACATCAAACTGCATCATGATTTCAATATGAAATCTAATTCAAACTAAACAAATCGGATAACAAATCATATTACTACTTCTCACAAAGCTAATGTAATAATTAACTGGCAGTATCCATCACCCAAGAGCAACACTCAGGTCTTGAGGGTGTACACTGTCAGCATTACAAGCTGTTAAAACAACAGTCAGGTATCTGCAGACTTTACTATTATTCTGTTAATGATTTATATTTTCACTTTTAATAAAACAAATGTAACAAGGGCACACATATACTGTATATGTACTGTATATGATAGTCTGAATACACAAAAATGCATTTAATCTGATCTCTTAACTGTCTTGTCAATGAACCAGTACTTACTGCATATGAAAGCTTGTTTAAACATAAGACAGTGACAAAAAGTCATATACTGGAGACAAAATGAGTGTCATACTCAGAGACAAAATGCACTTTGAGGACCTATTCTAACTTTGGTTGCTAATGAAAATGGCACTGTATATCATATGAGATACCCTCGCACTGACAATCTACAAACTTTTAATTGGTAACAATATTTTCTTTAACTACAGCAACACTACCCAAACCAAAATGAAGTCTTCTTTGGTATGTGTCAGTGACTATGAAGCAGAGGCACACAAAAGTTTGCCTCGCAATGCTCTAGACTATTACCGGTCTGGAGCCATGCAAGAAACTACTCTTCATGAAAACAAAGAAGCAATTAGCCGGTACGTTCACTATGCATCAATAATTTAACCTGTGTATAATACCACCAGGTATATGATTTAAAGTTCAAAGTGCTGGGGTACACTAACAGAAATAAAAATGCAAGCTCTTTTGTAGGTGGTACATTCGCCCAAGGTTCCTGAGAGATATGTCCATAAGGAGTCTTGCTACTACTATATTAGGACACAGAGTCAAAGTGCCATATGGCATAGCACCAACAGCTATGCAAAGAATGGCTCATCCAGATGGGGAAGTTGCTAATGCACGAGGTAAGCTGATACAGTACACATCCCACCCACATAATTTAAGCACAAACATAGATTATCCAGGGATTGCTGAATACTTTTTTAAGTCGAGCATGAAAATTTTTGGTTTTGTTTTACATCAACAAATCTTTAATCCTTTACAATTAACCTTTTCACCAGCCGATGAAGCTATTTGCATCAACGCAGACAGTTAAAAGTGAGATGTCTCCCATGACCTGAGTGCATTCATTTTTAGCCATCCCATATCATTTATACAGTACAACAATTTTGTTCTTTTATCACTTAGTCAGACAGTCTACTTTTATAACTCCCAGCCAGGAAATTTCCGAAAACCTGAACACATGAAGTATGCACAACAATACACTTAACACTCCCAAAGACAATGTTTATGGAGATTTAAAAAAAACTGTTTGAAGTAGAGAAAAATATTACTTTACACTTGCATCCAATATAAAAGAAATCTCGGCAGCTGTTAAAACATTGATGCTTTCTATGGACAAATAGACTGGCAAGTGAACACATGAACAGATAAATATGGTCAAACCTAACTTCTTTTCTGGTTATTGGTAGGAAATAATAATTTTTTTTTTACATTCTCAAAAACAGTTGACGTGATTAAGTCCCACATTATTTGGACGAATTAAAACCAGTTACCATAATCCACAAACTTTAATCTATCTCACCCCTCTCTCAAGAAATAATGTACTGACTCAAAATACAATTCAGTACAGTGCTGGTACTGTATTATAGAATGTCCCTCATATATATAAAGTAACACTGAGGTCCAAAAAATAGGTTAATAACATTATTTTGGAAATTATTTTAGTCAAGTGTCTTCAATTACTTTCTCTAACATGACAGCAGCTGGAAGAATTGGAACAGCCTTCACCCTCAGCACCATTGCAACAGCTAGTGTTGAAGAGATAGCTGAACATGCATCTGATACACTTCGGTTTTTCCAGCTGTACATATTCAAAGACAGGTAAAAGACTACGATGGGTAATGTTTGGAACTGCAGTATAATGAAATTTTTGTGTTGTTATCTACTCCAACAAAAAGGCCTAATATTGATGCTGGTGTTGCCTAAATGGCTGAGCCCTCACAAGACAAAATCTAAGCTAGGTAAGCCCCACCCAAGTCCCGTTTATTATTCATAACACAATATCGAAAGTATTTCTTCCTAAACACTGATCTAACTTCATTACATGCTTTATGTTATATCCAATAAAATTATCCAGCTACTTATGCCATCTGAACAATAAATTTTTGTAACCTAATTTAACCCCCTCCACCCCAAGTCAACCACACAACGGCTTTTTTATTTGATCTTCCCACATGTGATTTGGTTTGTACGTGTATTAAATGTGAAATTATTTCCAAGATTTCCCACATTTAACTTTGAAAATAGAAAAATAGTTTCCTTTACTTATTCCAGAGAGGTAACAGCAAACCTTGTACATAGGGCTGAAGCTGCTGGTTTCTCAGCCCTGGTTCTCACAGTTGATGCACCACATTTTGGGATCCGGCGAGCAGACATAAGAAATAAATTTGCTCTACCTCCAAACCTCAGGTATAACAATATATCTGTACCAGTATTTCACATGACCATATGGTATTACCTCAACTATTTATATTCCACAAGCTCCCCCCTATTACTGTACATAGCATGTAGCTTCATGCATAACATCCAACAGAACTTTATAACAACAAGTCTTGAAAAATTTTCAGCTATCAATCAATCACATAACTATGTACTGTATACTTGCTTATTTTGCCTTTTATCAAACCCTTTAACTCTTCCCCAATGCCTACTCCAATTTACCTCCCTCATTTCTCACCATTAGTCCCTCCACACATACCATGTCAATGCCTATGGGTACGTTTGCTTCAGGGATGCAACTACAGGGAGTCCCCGGGTTACGAACGGGTTCCATTCCTAAGGACGTTCTTAAGTCAGAACACATGCTATGTGCAGACCGTACTTACAAAACAATGTTTAAAATCCCACTACAGCTCCTCCCCGACTTACGACCTACTCGATTTACGACCACCTGCATTTACGACCTGCTTCAGTTGTACCAAAATTTTGTCAAATTACATGTTTTCGAGTCCCAACGTCAGTACACAGACAAAATTTTCGTTTGTAATTCACTTTAAAATGGCTGGCAAGCTTAAAAGTGAGAGTTTTGTGGTGCTGAGAAGAAAAAGAGACACCCATTTTAGATTTTCTAAGTATTATTTAAGCATTTTCGACTTACGACCGGGATTTGGGTCCCTAACCCCGTCGTAAGTCGGGGAGGAGCTGTATATCCTTATATACACCTAAAATGACTTAATTTAAAAGAAATAGACTGACAAAATACAGCAAATAAAAGTAAAAAAAAATAAGTCATCAGGTAAGTAAAATACTGTACAGTACCCGTATACTGTAAATTTAGTTTAACCTTCGTTTAGCTTCATTGTACACTAACACCATCTCTGTTTTTCATCCTGAAGCTGCCTCCTTATTTCATTATTTTATTCTTCAGCATACCATATCCCACTTTCACTTCTATTATTTCAAGTTAATAAAAGCTCCATTTTTTTCATTACCATTTCAGTCTATAAAGTATTATTATTCAATTCCAGAATGGCCAATTTTCAGACAGATGATGAAAAATCCAGTCTGTTAAACACATCTGCAGGAGGTTCTGGTATTACTGAGTATGTCAAGTCTCTCTTTGATCCATCTTTAAGCTGGGATGATGTTGCCTGGCTTACTAGGTATGCACTTGAGTTAAAGTACTGTTGCTTTGAAAACAACAATCAACCAAACCATTATATTTGCCCAGTAAAATAGACACGTCTGTGTCACTTGTATATAAACATCTTTTACACACACTTCTGTACTGTACTACAAAGTACTGTAGTAGTATACATATGTTTGCTATGGGGAGATAAATTGCTCTCTCTTACTAAGTATATTTTATTGAAATGTAATAATCTGTCTGACTCTGGTATATAAAAGGTATATTTGTCTACTAAAATTACTCCTACGGTAGTTTAATTTACTGATACATTACAGAATTACAAAGATGCCTATAGTGCTAAAGGGCATCTTGACAGCTGAGGATGCTATTTTAGGAATAGAGGCTGGTGCTGCTGGAATATGGGTGTCAAACCATGGAGCACGTCAAATTGATGGAGTACCTCCAACGGTCTGTACACTCTTGAAACTTTTGTACAACTCAATTATCTCTTACATACACAATTGAACATTAATTATTCTATCCAAACAGTTTTTGAAAGATCCGGTTTGTATAACTACAAAATATTATACACATAATACAGTAAGTCCCCGACTTACGAATGTCCGCCGGTACAAATGGGGTTAAACTTGAAATTTATAGTACAGTGATCCCTCGGTTAATGAACGCCTCGGTTAACGAAATTTCTCAGTTGATAAGTCCAAGAAAACTTTCTTTTAACGTGCCTTTAGGGATAACATAGCGTGCGGTACTAACCTCAGTAGGAAGTTTGTCAGAAAATGCAATATTTGCCAATTATCACCAGAAATTTTGGATCTTGATCACATATTTACAGCTACTGGAGAGGAACCGTAAAACATGTTTACTTATTTTTTTCAGTATTTAGATTTGACACAATCTTCATTGTTATATCAGGATAGGTGGGGAATTATGCCTTTATTACATGTCTGGAAAAAAAGATCCGGGGCTAATCATAAAAAAAACAGAAATTAGGCCCCGGAAGCCCGAGTTTAACGACGCCATTATCGCCAACCACAATCAGCACATCACCTTACCTCTCCCCCTACTGGGACAACCTTTGAGTTGTGTTGTTGTTACTTTTCACCTCATAATTTCGAGTAGATGTACAGTATATACTTTTATTCCATTTCTTTTACTTTGTTACATGCATACACAATTGTTCATACAAAATGTGCAAAAAAAAAAAAAAAAAGTATTGATCATTACGTCAAAACAGATACAGTGGTTCCTCGATTAACGAACGGTTCAATTAACGAAATTTCGGTTAACGAATTAGCTTCCATAAGGATTTTCAGATCCATTAACGAACAAACTTCAATTAATGACAGCCTTATGAGAAACACGCTTTGTTGTGCGCATCAACTGATCGGCTAGTCCGCCAATACAGTAATCGGTTCTATGTTTACATTCGTTTCTAGTGGAGTAAATATCAAGAAAGTTGGGCTCTTGAATATTTTTGCACTTTTTAATTAAAATTATTGGTCATTCTAAAATTTAGTTAACATATTGATCATATATACAATACAGGAAATAGTTTTTGTGCGCCCATCAGCTGATCGAATCACCCACCACGTCATCATCGACTGCCTCTATAATCAGCCGTTTGATATGTAAACAAAGCTCCGGGAATACCCACACTCGCGATATATCCCAACCCTACTGTACTTTGCTTTCCTTAAATTTTTATTCAAAATTTAAAAGAATTCCGCCTCACTATCATTTATTGGTGTATAAACCTGTATTAATACCAAATCCATGGGTTTACCATTAAACTTGACTAACAAAACTACTGCATATCTGAGTGCCCTGTATCCCTTTAGACTACTGTACAGTACTACTCAACTTCTGGTTTACAAGAATACCAACACATCACTCATGCTTTTCACCACCTGAATATATGAAGTAAAAATATTCACCGCTAATGCTATTTGAACTTGTCCATCTTACTTCGCTTAATCCCAAAATATTCTACCGCAATCTTTTCATTTCCCTACAAGCATCTGCATACTTACCAGTCTTATATAATGTCCTCACATTCCATGCAATAGATATAAATGTCAAAGGCTTTTCTGCTGTTTTTGCCAACATCCCTATCATTTGTACTTTTCTTTCAGAATTAACAGATCTAGGTACAGTACTATAGGTGGAAAATTGGCTGCTTTAATAAGCACCCCACCAAAATATCCAAAGCATGCCACTATCATGGGGATAAGTAAGCAATAAATCACAAACCATCTAGAGTGTCATGATCATAAGGATATCTTCAGTGTAAAATCTGTACCTACCATCCTACAGTAATTACTATAAATAAACCATGAAAGGAGTACCAGGAGTAAATGGAAATTTTCTAAACACCGTTCACAATACAAAACTGCACTCACTCACATTTGCACACAAACACTGCTCTACCGCAAGGTTCATAGCTACCTTGAAGTTAAAAACAAAAAAACAAACAAAAAAAACATACATATAAATTGTCTATTACAATACTAACCTAATATTCCTTTGTTAGATTGAGGCTCTACCTGAGGTAGTGAAAGCAGTCAAGGGTCAGTGTGAGGTCTATATTGATGGAGGCTTTTCTCAAGGAAATGATATCTTCAAAGCTTTAGCGCTTGGGGCACAGATGGTAAGTAAAATTAACAATTAAACTAAAATATATTTTCAAAAATTATTAATGAAAAAATACAATATAATTCACAGAAACTCAGTCTACTTTCAAATTTACACAACAGCTCCTTTTCAGTGTACAGTATAATACTGCAAACTTATAGAACATATAATTGACATACACAACACATTTAAAATCAAATGAAAATTTCAATACTTTACCATAAATAATGAAATAAAAAATCATAGTACTGTATATAAAATACTGTACTGCATGCAAAACTAAACCAACAAAAGGTGTTTAATTTTAAAATACTGTACAGCATGTCCTGACAATTCGCGGTCCTCGATTATTCACGGATGACACTCTGGATGCGCCCAAGAATGTCCGTGGGTAGTTTTAAAGTTGCTGGCATTTTTGCGGCCTAGACAGGGAGCCATTGGTTCTAAGACACAGTAATTTTTACGAGGGAAAAATTGCCATATGGCAACCCATCCAACTCAACTTTAATAACAAAGCACAGAGTTGACTTGAGGGTAGACTCACATTTTTTCTACATTTAAATTTTTTATTATTTTTTTTTTATGTGTGTGTGTGTGTGTTTGTGTCTACACCCACACATACATACAATACAGGTAAAATAAATAATTGTCCTAAGGGCAAAATCATAAATGGAATATACATTTCTTTGCACATGAGTAAAAATGTAACCCCTCCCCAGTCAGCAAATGATATTCGCGGATTGGGGCTATTCACGGCCATTTTGAGACCCAAAACCCCGCGAATTTTAAGGCATGCTGTACTGTGTTATAACTCCTACCCAGCTCCTGGTAATATAACGCCAGTCTATCACAACATTCTTTGGTGACTTAGTTAACATAGGCACTATATTGGATCATATTTACCTCAACTACAAGTACTGAGACAATAGCTTGAAACAAGAGCCATACCTCATTTTGGTACCTAAACTTGATATCATTCTGGTGTCCCCAAAGAATATTGATATTGAAACAGTTTATTTTGCCAGAAAAACACTGATACCGAGTGAACAATAATAACAATAATGACATGGCTGAACCAATTGAGAGCCTGAGCTCTCTTAGTGGCACATTTATCTCAAGGAATTATTGGTTAGTGTTTGTTTCCCCAGTAACCAAACCAATAGGCAGAATTCATCAAATGATAATGGCTACTTCAAATTCATTTTGATTTCTGCAGCATCAATCTATTGTAAATACAAGCTGCTGCATAAATGAAGAAGATAATAAACTCTCCTGACTTCTCACAGGTGTTTCTTGGCCGCCCTATGCTGTGGGGTCTGGCATGTGGAGGAGAGGAGGGAGCATATAGTGTGCTAGACATACTGAAAACTGAGCTCGACTCAGTCATGGCTTTATCAGGTATGCTACTCAACTTTTTAAGTATGATATAAAATATAATCTATTCTGCTTTGAGATTTTCGAGATGTACTGGTACACCAACTACAGTACGATTATATCACCATAATGCACCACCTATTATACTTAATTCACAGGTATTATTAACAAAACATTTATTGCACAATATTACATAAAATTTTCATACAAATAAACTCAAATTTAGTCAGTAACCATAAAATTCTTCCTTCAAGCTTAAGCTCCTTAATTACTCCAGCTCTGGATTCTTACTGGTAAATTAAATAAAAACTTTACCTCTTATCGGACCCCTAAAAATATGTGTATCCTATTTAATGAGGAAAAACTGTGGATATTTCTGTTGGTGGTTGAAAACTCCAATGGAACTGCTTCTAAAATGTTTTCAAACTATTAAGAAGTGTTTACTGTCTCACACCAGCCATGACTGGCATCTGAAGTGCAGTGACTCCCAAACCTGCTCCAAATGCTACCACGAGCGGCCGGGAAAAGGGATAATTAATTTGTAAAACCTCAGTGAGAGAAAAAAAGTATCATTCAACATTTTCTTCCCACAGGATGTGCAACAATAAAGGACATTACCAAGGAGATGGTCATCCGTAAGGAGTACTATGCACGACTCTAACTGGCTTTGAAAATCATGAAGACTACTGCTGGTGACATGTACTGCAAATGCATATATAACTCAAAAAATTTCAGAGGGCAACAATTACAGTTGCTAAAACAACTATCTGTGCAGGTGGGGGTCGATATGCTCCAAAATATTACGTGTGACTAGTGACAACCCTAATATACCAAAATATATCGTCCATGGTCTCATATTGTTCCCCACAAAGTATGCACAGATAGCTGTTTTAGCTACTGCGCATAGCTATGAACATAGTACTGTACTATATTTTGGACATAAAATACAGAATTATTTCCACATAGAAGAGTCTGAATGTGAACCCAAATCTGGCATGTCCGTTTACAATGAAATTACTCCTTTTTTTTTTTTGATGTCCCTCTTCCATGGTCTATGAAGTATCATATTTTACGACATATGACTCACCCCTATTTTAGCAGGGAGTATTTAAGAATTTTTTTTATGTATTTTCCTCCTGTAGCCGTAGTTTTCTTAAATTAATATATACAGTACCAGTATAGCCTCGAATAATGACGGTAATGTGTCCTCCAATATTGCATTGTAAGGTGAATCATCGTATTGTGAATCATTAATTACTATTAATTAAAGCAATAATAATGAGATGTGTTCCCAAGTGTGACCTTTTCATATCTTTTGTGTGGCTTTTTACCCTCTTTTCCCCCAAAACAATGCAATTAATGAAAAATGCAAACTAAATTCTTTAAATTTTTCTGAATGCACCTTATACAATATAAATGAATAATAATATGGTCACACAAGAGGAGTTGGGACGCCATTGTTTTCATTAGTCTTTACACTCGGGACGATGGTTCTACATAAGAAAATTAAGAAAATAAGACCCTGGTTGTAGCTGAACTAAAATTAATGTAAAAAATGAATATATATGTTTTCAGTAATGTTATTTAATGTTAATAAATGGAACGACAGAAGTAGCTAACCACCAATGGCAAAGAAAAAAGCGAGATGGATTGGGAAAGCCAAAATATACGTGCCTATTCAAGGAAACAGCGTCATTTATCTTATTAAGAATATGTACAAAAGATTCATTATTGTTTATTGCTGAATATGTATTTGATTGAATAAATCTTTATACAGTGACCCCTCCGTTAACGAACTCAATCCGTTCCAGAAGGTCTTACTTTGAGGTGTGTATGTAGAAGGCTCCTGGATGATGATGATGGGATTTAGAATGGGGGTGGAGGAGAAGGAAGAAGAGAAGGTATTGGGGTGGAAGAGAAGTCACCCCATGGCGCCATTTCACCCATAAAATTTTAGCTCTCTTGGTGTAATTCAAGATTATTTTCTTTAAATCAACACTGCACTGCATTATATATTGTCAATATGTAAAATATATTTCAAAATGACCAATAATTTGCTTGGAAACACAGAAAAAAAGCGTTAAGTTGAAGAGAGTCTCAAGCAAGATGTTACCTCCAGTGAAAACAGAGAGAGACTAACTCCTGTTTGCTGTGTTAAGAGGCTGGATGCCGCGCATTAAACTAGTCGCTTTACCTTCAATTATGTTCAATAATTGTTAAAATGACTAAAAAATTGAATATTAAACTTTTAAAATTATTGAATAGTATAAACTTCTTGATATTTACTAAAATAGTAAGGAATTTAAGCCCTAGAACCGATTAATGTATTGGCGGACTGATACTAAAGCTGGTTGCCCGGTCAGTGCAAGCGAAAACATGTTGAGGTCGGTTCGTAAGAACTTCGTTAACCGAATTTTTTTTTCGTTAACCGAATTGAAGATCCTTATGGAAGGCAGTTCGTTAATCGAAATTACGTTAACCGAGGTGTTCGTTAAACGAGGGGTCACTGTATATGTGAAATGAACAATACAATTCATTCATGATACATAGAATATTAAAACACTTAAAGAGGAGAAGAGACGGCATTGTTGTTGTCAGTGCTTACACCCATAAAGTCAGTTATCCACATGAAACTGAAGAAAATAAGACCCTGGTTGTTGTTGTAGTAAAATTAATGTAAAAAATATGTATATTTTAATTAATATTATTTAATGTACAGTAGAAGTAACCACTGATATTAAAGAAAAAAGTGAGACTGATAGTGGAATGCCAATGTATATGTGCGCACTGAAGGAACCATTGTCATTTATCTTAAGAATATGTACAAATTCATTATTGTTTATTGCTGAATATTTATTTGATTGAATTTATGTTTATATATGTGAAATGAACAATACAATTCATTAATAATACGTAGAATATTAAAACACACAAGAGGAGACGAGATGGCATTGTTTTCGTGAGTGATGATGGTTCTACTGAAGAAAATAAGACCCTAGTTGTAGCTGTAATGAACTTAATGTAAAGACAATGAGTACCTGTATGTATATTTTAAATAATGTTATTTAATGTTAATAAATGCGAAACAGTAGTAAAGAAAATAGGAAGAAGGATTGGGAACTCCAACGTATGTAAGTGCGTACATGTGAAAACATATCGTCATTTCTCTACCTAAGAATATGAAAGCAACACTTATCACTGCTCATATGTTTTAAATAATACTTATACACTTTTTTTCACTTTCGAATCAGCACTACCATCACTTGCTCTCTTGCTCATGTTGAATAGGAACCCAAAAATGCCGTAAGAAATATGAGAACGTTTTTCTCCTTTTCCTGTTCAGATGCGTGAACACAAAAGGCCTGCCAGCTGCGACTGTTTATACTAGCGATGCTGGCGTCACCACTCACAAGTCCTGCAGCCTCTGTGTGCAAGGCGTGTTTTTTATTTATTTGTATAATACATATCGGGATTTAATTATTTATACGTATTAAAATTTAATTAATTTTTTATTTTCTATTCCATTTTCGTCATAAATATGAAGAAATTAATGATATAAATTGAATTGAGTCCTAAAATAACCAGGGACTTAAATATGACTAGTCGTGAGTAGAACTGTCGTTATCGGAGGCTTTCCTGTACCAGTAAATGTGAGGAATACAGTATAGTCTGCATTTATGCGGTCAATTGATCCTGTAGAGGCTCGCATAAATGAAATGACAGAACATATGGGATTAATTGAAATAAAGACTGGGCCGACCCCCAAACTCCACTTTTAACGGCACAATACTTACCTTGTAGTAAAAATAACATCTTAATTTTATGATGGTATGCACACACAAATAATAATTAAGAGAAATATCAATATTAGGTTCTTTAACACTTACGTTAGTAGAAAAGCTGGGTCGGCACACGTGGATGGCGGCTGGTTCCAAGGCAGATTAGTTGCCCTCCGGTGAATCACTTTCACTACTCGCAGAGGTTTGCAGGGCCTCCCAGACAAACCTCTCAAAGTCCATATCCTCACTGTCAATATCACTAGCATTGATGTTGTCGAGATAGATCTGGATATACGGCTCCATAACTTTCGTCAGATGGTTATTAGACGCTTCATACCGATGCTTGTCTGGGTCGTTGTCAAGGATGAGCTTAAGTTTCTCCCCAACTCGATGATTTCCTTCACACAATCATGGCTTGGTCCAGGTAATTCAATGTTTTTCTCTGGTGGTGGGGGTCCCGCGGAAGCCATTGTGAGTTTGTGAGGGGAATAGCGGGCACAAGAGAGAACTGTATACGCGGACTGAGAACAATGAGACAGACCCTGCTAGGTCAGCAACTTCTACCCTCTGGTGGCAGGGCACGTCATGTTACAGTTACAGTTCTTGATAACCAGTAATATCTCTTGAAAGATAAAGCTTAGACTTAACATTATCATGTAGCTATAATTCCCCACACCTTCCAGGCTTACTTCTACCCTTCATATTTATCACATTTATCATATTTTATTACCCTCATTTTAAAACTTTGCTCATCAAATTTCACCCTCCATAAAAAAAAAAAAAAATCCTATTGTTCGTAGTAGTATACAGTATTTTTTAGGCTCTTAATTCATAAATTAGGGTTCACACAGTCATATAATAGTCTAGCCTTAAAGTACACAACACTGTACAACAAAATAATTTAATGGTTACTTTAGTAAACAAACAACTTCTCCATATCACTTACTGGTGAAGAGGAGTTTCCGCTGCTGGTGTGTATGGAGTATATGGAGTATACGGCTCCTGTAAATCTGAGGCTGCCGGGGTCATAGGTGTCATGGGTGGAGCATCATACTCAGGTGGAGGTTCATCCATACGGATGCGCTTCCCTCCTCGGCGTAACATTTTGAAATCTGAAAAATTTAAGAGGGTACAGTACTACAGTATTTTGGAGGAAAACTTTATGAAATCTGAAACTGTTAAACCAATGGACATGCAGATCTCTGGATAATAAAAAGATCACCTCCAATTCAAATAATTTCAGTGTTAATGTAGGTCCCTTCTACAAAATGGGTGAGAGAAAACAAACAATATCTATACAGTACCCGGTATGTAAAATTAATTCCAACACAAAGCCTGAGTGACATCATTAGACGTGCTTGTCAACAACAAGAAAAAATCACTGTATGCATACTTAATAAATAAATAGTCTACTTATAAAATGATTGGCCAGCCAAGCCACATGACGTGATACTTGGTTGTCATGTCAAGAAGGAGGAGGAGGGGAGGAGACAAGTGATGCTGGCAACATGATGGATACAGAAATACAGGGGGATATATGTGTAGAAATTTGTGAGATACTCCGTTAATACTGATTTGCGAAAGAAATGATATGAAGTCGTATGTTTTGTTTTTCTAGTCTTTGCGTCTGTAATATTGAAATTTGGGTTAATATTAACAACAAACCCGTGGACTAGTTACAGCATGCCCTTCAAATTCGCGGGGGTTAGGTTCTTAAAATGGCCGCGAATCGCCAAATCCGCAAATAACATTTGCTGACAGAGTGGGGGGGGGGGGGTTACATTTTTACTTGTGTACAAAGAAATGAATACAGGTATTCATTTTATATGTTTGCCCTTGGGACAATTATTTCTTTTACCTGTATTGTATATGCATGTGTGTGTAGACACACACAATTTTTTTTTCTTTAAGAAAATATGGTGTATTGCCAAATATAGTTGTTTGTCCTAAGTGTAATAACCAGTGTACACTGCGTGAAGAACAGCACATTTGGCAGAGTCACAATAGTTTTACAGATTAAGGTAAGATGTGGGGATATGAAGAACAGGCGGAGAGGTTAGGTTTTTTTGGTTGGTTAGTATTTTATATATGTGATTTATTCAAAAAAGAAAGAAAATCCACTTTTTCCGTTGTGATTGTTAGGTGGGGGTATCTAAAAAACAAGTGATTTCCGACGGAAAACATTTCTGATATCCAAAGAAAGAACGGTGCTTTTCTATAAATTTACCCAATGGTCTACACCATTTATTCCAGCTGAAAACTCATATATGTATTAGTTTCTGTCAATTTCTGAAGCAGAATTGGTAGCAAGGTTTAAACCCACAAGATGACGCCCCTATATTGTAAAAAAAATAGAAACACACACTTCTATAGACACTAAAGCTATGCAAATATCATTTGGCTTATTCTCTTTAAAGGCAAATTTACTCAATAACAGAAGCACAGCCCGGCATATATTGATCGTTTGTCCGCGGGTGGAGGGACGCCTTGGGTAATCAATTGGTTGCACCATATTTATGATTTAAATGAATATAACATAAACTAAACCATACACAAATAACAGTCAGAGTTTCTCATTACCTTAGTAAATCTTCTCACACAACTAAGGAAGATTTCTCAATATTATTCCTTCACTTCACAGTTGGCCATGACAGGCGGCCGCCACACAAACAATCTCTGACGTCACGCAGATACATTTACGCGGGAACCTTGTTCAGTCATTTCATTATATATTAATAATATACTTTAAGAGAATTATAAGGTACTGAAATAAGAGATTTTTAACAACAGTAAAAGTGGTTTTTTTATTCCCAAATCTTGCGTGTGGTGGCAATGGCTGTTAACATTTCCAAAGAATTTATCCAATACACTCTGGAATAGATAAAATGTAAACAAATTTTACCCGGGGGGCAAAAATTTAATAATAATAATAATTCATAGTACATAAAATTTATAATAAAAAGTTGTAGCGTACAGTATGTGGCCAGTTGTCAATTATCTCAGTATGGGCACACAAACGTCCGTACATGTAGATATCTCACACTCAGGAATGAGGTAGAATAGAAACTCACAATGCGCTCTCTGTATATATATATATATTGTTGTACAGTGCAGTGCTTAGGAGTGACTAGGTGGAGAAGCTCGCTCAGAAGTCCTGTAGGGCGAGGAGGTTTCTGAGGAAGCTGGGTGGTGAGGAGCTGTGAGAGATGTTGCTGGTCCGGTAGCCGAGTGTAGAATGGTTATAATATGAAAGTAATATGCACTTATGATAATTTTTTAATTTGTGTGTGTCATACTGATAAAATCATAAGTAAGTTTATATGATAATTTTTTCATTTACCGAATGTGAGAGAGTTCAATAGTGTACCCTGATTTTATGGACACTTTATAGGTTCGTCTCCCCTAGTGATCGGTGACGTCATAATAACCTGAGATTGTTTTGTAACCGATGTAAACGTCTGGTCCTACCTGACTATGAACTTCACTATTGTTCTATAATTAAGAAAAGAAGTTCATTGATATTATAATAGGACGAAGAATTACAACATTTTAAAATGATCATGGATAATTCACCACTAATTATTGTACGTATAATGCTTGTAATGAACCTGTAGCTGTGTACTGACGACCGAGTCAAACTTATAGTGTTAAGGAAACTCTAGAATAAATTAGGCTTTTTGACATTTAGTATTACATAACCAAAACTTTGGATGTATTTACTTTGAACCTTCGATTTTCTATATTATTTCATTAACATAGCAAATGGGTTAATGCTTTACAATAAACTGACCACATGAAGATTAGCCCCCAGCTTACCGTAATTAGAACTGTATTTACGGATTCCAGTAGTTTATTCTCGAGGAAAACATCTCTGGCACCCAGAAACGTTTTGTGGGAGTGGGCAATTGTGTGACTGTGCAAGAAGGCTAGTTTAGACACTCGGAAACTTTTCCCAGTAACCGGAAAAGGTTCCGGGGAAAAGAAATTTTTCCAGGTTTGAGAAAGTTGCCTTGTTATCCGGAAATTTCTCATCCCCGGAAGTGCTCTGCAGCAATTGTTCCGGCTAACGGGGATATCATTGTATTACTTCTGTAATACTTTTTATTTTATCCTCGGGAAATGTTTATATTGTATATGTATGCCTGTACTTTATGATTGTTTTCTAAATAAATTCAAATAAAATCATATCATATTTAAAGAGTCTTATTCTTACATAAATTTCAGTTGGTAGAGATCTTTCGAATGAGCTGCGCTTTAGGGTGATCTATGTACTATGTTAATTTGAAGGAATTTTCCTTTTCATGGTACATCTTCATTCTGTAATCCTGAAAATGGATTTCAAAATAACATGTACCTGTATTGTGCAGTGCAGTATTTTATTTAAGTTTGTTTTTTGTATTTTTAACAGGAGACAGATGATCTGCAGTATGAAGAGGAACTACTTCGTAACCCTTTTTCAGTAAAGCACTGGCAACGTTATATAGAACATCAGAAGGATGCTTCTCCAGAAAAACTCAATAAAGTCTATGAGAGATCATTACTTCAGATGCCGGGAAGTTACAAGCTATGGCACCAGTATCTTAGGTAGGGATGATATTTATACTATTACCAACTGGTATTATATAGAAAGGCTATTTCTTTTTATAAGTACAAAATTCTTATGTGTCGTACCATGTAGTAGAAGAAAGAAAATCAGTCAAATTTAAGGACAGTACTGTACAACCCTTACTACCTGCATATAGTACATCTGTTCTTTGCTTTATTCACATGCTGTAGTTGATTTTGATGGATAGTTGGGTTCCATTCCAACCTAAGAACTAAAATACCAAATAAGGTACAGTTGACATTAATTTATTGAAATCATAAATTAAGTGTAGACAGCTATGTTATGTACAGTCCCTCAAAAAAGAATTATTTGCCATGAGGTCAATGAAATTCGAGGTTTTCTGAGCAATGTTACTTGACCTGTTTCTGAATAGTTGGTCGTTCTACATCGTCAATCTTTGAGCATGAATTAGTATATGCATTTTTGAACGATGTGATCACTCCAAAGCTTCAGATCATATACAGCAAGGTCTCATATTCCGCATTTTTTAATTTCGCGAGCACTACCTAATGTAACCAAGTCTTCTATTTGGCGTTAAATATCCTGAATTTAGCGGGATCCAGCCAGCTGAACGTGGGATCCAGCCAGCTGAACGCGGGATCCAGCCAGCTGAACGCGGGATCCAGCCAGCTGAACGCGGGATCCAGCCAGCTGAACGCGGGATCCAACCAGCTGAACGCGGGATCCAGCCAGCTGAATGCTGACCACCGTCTTGAATGACATCACAGCCCTCATACCAGTTACAGTCATTTCTGCTACAACGCGTGTTTTGTCAACGCGAATTGGTTACAACGTGATTGATGAATAGGGGAACGCTGTTTGTAAAATGCGAACTTTTGCATATGAATGTTGGCTATAGCTCGATTCCATCCTCAATGTTTTGATTCCACGTTTTAAGCGTGGCGCGGGGTTATGCAATGTTTACAGTTCACGTTCGACAACACATGTTCAATTGATTTGTGTCTTGTTTGTGAAGTGTTTTTTGAGAGGTACTCTATAAATTTCGTTTTTTTTTTTTTTTTTTTCAAATTTAGCAGTTACCCATAAATACTGTATGAAAAGAATAAGTAAAAAAAAATGTTTCGCAGTGAGGACTAATTACGGTTTACACCAGCACACTCTGTTTGCATCACGTGATCAGTTGAATCGCGCGATTTCTGTCAATTACTCCGTGATTTTTGCTATTTTCTCCAATTTTATTGTATTAGCGATGAATACAGAAAGACAAGGTAAGAAGAATATTTCCAAGAAGCGTTCTGGTGATCGACTTGCTGGTGGTGAATGTAAAAGAGGTTTACAAGAATGCAACTATCACGTTGTAGCCCGCGCCATCCTAGCAACCGCCCGGACTGTTATTATGTGCCTCTACCTCTACTGGGGGTCCTACTGGTGCTGGTGAGGGTGGGACAGACTCACCTAAGCGGCCAAATAAGGAAAAGGAGAAGCGGGACTATCATAAGGGAGTTAAATTTGCCAAGTACTTGATGCAGAATAAGCAGCGTGTGATTAAATTACTTGAGGAATGCCTAAAAACTAGTTTCCGGAAAGCACAATCAAGTCAATTAAGGCAGAATTTGTATCATTTGGAGGTTATAAATGGGAAAATCAGAGATTGACGTAGAGTGGCCAGTCTACAGCTCCTCCCCGACTTACGACCACCCGCACTTACGACCTGCCTCAGCCGTACCAAAATTTTGTCTAATTACATATTTTCGAGTCCCAATGTCAGTGATTGGGATGTGTACTGACAAAATTTTCGTTTGTAATTCACTTTAAGATGGCTGGCAAGCTAAAAAGTGAGAGTTTTGTGGTCTTGAGAAGAAAAAAGACACCCATTTTAGATTTTCTATGTATTATTTAAGCATTTTCGACTTACGACCTGGATTTGGGTCCCTAACCCTGTTATAAGTCGGGGAGGAGCTATTGTTATTTTTCCCATTAGTTTATGTATTTGCATTTGGCGAATTTGAATTTGGCGCAATTTTTTCAGTCTATATTACTTGCGAAATACAAGATCTTACTGTATAACATGACTTGGAGTGGATGCCAACGCCTTGCCAGTCATCCACGTGATCTTACATCAAATGGAGCGAGGAATTATTGGGGAGACATCGCAAGATGTGAGAGGTCCTATCATTACCCTTCATAACTAGGGTGAACGAACCCACAGTATCATGATGGGTTAGGCGCCATGAACCACTGGTGGCACACTGAAACTTACAACCACAAATGTCTTACTATAGGTGGATGCAGGGTTCTGTTACCTGCAAGTTGTCTTGATTTGAAACCTGATTTTGGTGTTAAATCAATGCAAATTACTTATCAGTAACAGGGCAGATCTCATGTAATTGCTTGCTTACATATACCTTGCTTCTCCCCAGCACGAGACTTAGATTAATATAGATGTTACTGATATGGCGAGCAGGCATACCAATTTATGATGATGCATTGGGGATCATATCAAAGCTTTTCGTCCAGTCGCTAGACGAAATGCTTTGATATGAAACGCTAGACTCTCGTGTTTCAAATTGTAATGGAAAAAAATCTAAATATTTTTATCGGGAACTGTACATGTCTTTTATGTGAGCATATACTCTACAAGTCACCAAGTGACTTGTAGAGTATACATGTACTGTACAGTTTACCCTTGCTAGTCACAGAGGTTAGGTTCCATGGACCTGTGAATTGTAAAAATCCACGATTAGTCTTAGCAGCCACAGTAATGTATGTTTGAGATACTGTACAGTACTTGAGTCACCCATGAATACAACTGTACTGTTATTGTATATCAGTATAATTATTTTAAACACACATACAATTTTTAAAAACATTAAAAATGTAATGAAATCATACAATGTATGGCACAGTAATTTTAAAATAAGAGAAAATAAGTGGAAAGGGGATTGTTTGCGACAGAGTATGGCAGGTGGCTGGGCTGGATTCAACTGAAATTTCCCACCCTTTTACAACAACAGTATGCAATTCTACATAATTCCCATATTATTTTGGTTCATTTAGGTGCCAGTTTAGTTAAACATTGTAAATTAATAAATTTTCCTGAGGAAAAAAGATCCCACACTCAACCTGAGATGAGTTTTTGAGTTTGGTTAAATATGGCTGCGAACAGGTGACCAGCCAGCAAGCCCTAGTGTCTCATATGGTATTTATTTACTTACAGTATTTATTTATTTAGTGGTGTCACCCTGAGGAGCTACTATATTTATGTAATGTGGAACTACTTTTATGTACAGTATCTCCAAGCAATATTTTTTTCTTCTTATTTTATTTATTTATTTTTATTTTTTTAGGGAATTAGCTGCGAATAGTCAAAACCACGAACCATCAAACTACGAATGGCAAGGGTCTATTGTGATTTACTGTATTTTTGTTGTAATGTACTTACTGTACTGTATCCAAACTATATTTCCTATTTCTCAGAAGGCGATAATTTTGCTAATGATGATGTTTTTCAGATTGCGTATGCAGCAGGTGAAAGGTCGATGTATCACAGACCCAGAGTTTGAAAGTGTGAACAACACTTTTGAACGTGGCTTGGTATTCATGCACAAAATGCCTCGTGTGTGGATAGATTATTGCCAATCTTTAATGAACCAGAGAAAGATAACAAGAACTCGGAAGGTAAGTTTGTTTTCTAATGTACTTTTACAGTTTAGGGCAGTGGTGTATATATAGGGGCCCCCAAATTCGCAGGGGTTAGGTTCTCAAAATGGCCACGAATAACATTTGCGGATTGGGGGGGGTTACAATTTTACTTGTGTACAAAGAAATGTATATTCCATTTATGTGTTTGCCCTTAGACAAATAATCAGAAACAAATTTATTAAAAATGTGACAGTCTACCCTCAAGTCTGTCTTTATTACAGTACTTTATTAATAGAGCACGGACTTGAGGGTAGAATGTGACATTTTTAATAAATTTGTTTCTGATTACTGTACAGTGGTCCCTCGGTTAACGAGTGGTTCGGTTCACGAAATTTCGGTTAACGAATTACCTTCCATAAGAATCTTCAATCCGGTTAACGAACAAAAATTTGATTAACGAAATCCTTACGAACATCACGTTTTGTTGTGAGCATCAGCTGATGGGCTAGTCTGCCAATTCAGTAATTCAGTAATCTGCTCTATGTTTACCCGGTACATTCGTTTCCAGTGGAGTAAATATCAAGAAAATTGTGTTCTTTAATATTTGTGCATTTTTTATATTAAAATTGATGGTCATTCTAAAATTTAGCCATCCAAGCTCTGTCTACATAAAGTTTTTCAACTATTATTTTTGGCTCGATATATGTAACTTTATTCATATTGAAACTCATTTACATGCACACACATTGCCCTAAGGGCAAAGGTGTACTGTACATGTAATCAAAATAATATACAAAATTATTACTAAAATTTTTGTCAAATGCAAACTATAGCATCTTTACATTCAAATTAACCACAAACTTTTAAGAATTCCAGCAATGTAAATTATATTCTCCCCGGTCACATCTATGACATTTTATAAGCAAAAAACAAAAACTCGATCTAAAGGACATAAATAAACAAATAAATACTTCACTAGACCTTCAGGACAGCTGTCAAACATGTCAATGTCACCCCTCCTTCCCTCACAACAAAACGTGTTTGTCGTAAAGATTTCATTTTCGAAGTTTTGTTCGCTAACCGAATTAAAGATCCTTATGGGAGCTAATTCGTTAATCGAACCGTTCGTTAACCGAGGGACCACTGAATTACTATACTGTAATAACAATCGACTTTTCAGAACCTCTCGGTTATTTCAGATTCATCCAAATTCAAATTGTTTAATTCAGTTTAAAAAAAAAAAACATGAATGTAGCCAAAATCTAAATTTTAATGATTTGAATTATAATAGACTGTACAGTACTTAGAATACTTGTTCCTTTGTGATTTTTGTATTCAGTCGTATCCCTTTTCTATTTATACAGGGAACTGTACCTCCTCTCGACCATACATTTGATGCTTTTTATCATGCATGACCAATCCAGTCTTATCATCCATTTTACCATTTTTCTGCTTCATGTCTATAACATTTCCACCTTGGTTCTATCTTCAAGGTGTCTTTCCAGTTTATTTCGAATGCTTTTCATTTCATTCTGTTGTAGCAATATAAATTCATTGAAAATCATCAATGCATTTATGGGGGGAAAATTTTATTTAATTCAGACTTATATCTGATACTCATCTTAGTTCTTCCCTTGCAGACATTTGACCGTGCCCTCTGTGCTCTACCAATCACACAGCATAACCGCATATGGCCTCTGTATCTCAAGTTTGTTATGACTCACCCTATTCCAGAAACAGCTGTTAGAGTATGGAGGAGATACCTGAAGGTAAATATTAATTTTACTAATTTTTCGAAAGATTTGCCCATAAGTGTGTTTTAATATATATTGGTTTAATACAAACTATAGTACAAGCAGTCTCCGAGTTTACGAATTTATTGTTCCTCAAAATGTGTTTGTAACTGGATAAGAAATCCCATTGAAACAATAATACACTAAAAATAATTGTATTATTGGTCCCGCAGACCAATATATATATATATATATATATATATATATTTAAATCTGAAAAAAAAAATAGATATTCACATCCTGTACATATAAAAGAGTTTAGGATGGTTATCAACACATTTGATTGGTTTGTTTTGTCAGCTGTGCCCAGAGGACACAGAGGATTATATCACTTACCTCATATCTATTGGCCGGTTGGAAGAAGCAGCCAAGAAATATGAATGGTGTGTTAACACAGATTCATTTACTTCAAAGTATGGCAAATCCAAGCATCAGTTGTGGTCTGAACTCTGTGAGCTCATCTCTAAAAACCCCCAAGTAAGTCAGAACAAAGAGTATACTGTACAGTGTTGTTAATTTATCTGTATAACTGATGTCATGATCTTTTGGTTGTTGTAAGTTACCTTATACCACAAAATGCCCCTCTGTGCCCTTCAGAGTAGTCATAAACTGTAATTTAGTGGGAGGTACATTATCCAAGCTGGCAGAAGTTTTCACCTAGTTGATTACAGATCATCAGGTTACAGGAACCTATAGTTGACTTGAGGTCCAGTGTGGATTCAGGTTGACCATGTTAAATAGTTCAACTGTGGTTCACTAACTCGTGTATTTCTAACCATCTTCAGCCATAAAATAAAGTTCATACTTGTGTCTCTTTCGTTATCTGCCAGATTCCAAGCAGTCATTTAACCTTTCCTCCTGATCTGTCACCTAAGAATCTAATGACTACTGTGCAAGAGGATAAGTGGGAGTTAACCAATGAATTACAACAAATATAAGAAGCCAAAAAACAAAGTTAATAGCGACAGAATTAACTTTTTGCATGCATCTTCCATGACTGCTGAGCTGACCACACTTGGCCACATAACAGAGACACTCTGGTTTCCAAGTGATATACAGTATTTCTACAAAACTTATATTTTATGAAAAATTAAGAGTTCATTATTATGATTAATTACCATTTTTGAAGTCATTGCTTTTAATATACTGTATGCAATTTTACAAGAATCAAATTGGAGCTTCAATCATTAAAGATCATGGCATGTAGCATTAACCAAGGTGTTTAGAAAATATTGGTATCTAGAACAGTAGAATCTCTAGTTGTGAATAACTATAACTTATAGAATGATATAATAGCACAGTACAATATATTGTATAACTAATGTGTAGAACACCATGTGTAGAACACCATACATGAACCTTCTAAATTGTCCAGGAAACGAGCCTGAAAAATGCAGAAGCCATCATACGTCATGGCCTCCAACGTTACACTGATCAAGTGGGTATGCTGTGGAACTCTCTGGCTGAATTCTATATCATCAGTGCTCTTTTTGAAAGAGTAAGTACCCATCTTTTTGGGCATTCATTGATTGTTTTACTGTGAGTTTTAGAATATAAATATGTGCAACTGCTTTTCTATTTAATGTTAATAATGAATGAGAGCAGAATGCAGAAGAAATGTAAAGAATACAGTTTCGGATTTAAAAGTAAGTTAAGTCAAAGGAAAATATTGGATCATCATTCACTGCCTGGTTTGTAGTTCATGTAACAAGACTAAGGTACTCCTGTTTATACCCATCACGTTTAGGGGTTGTAGCCCTGGGATAACCCCTGACATTGACAGCTAGCAATGTGAAATCTCTCAGCCCGCTCCCTTAAGTGGGAACCCTCATACTGAATGTCTCCTTTGTTAGAATCCAATATTAAATGGAATTCATTACATTCCAGTCAACAAGATAGATCCTAGGACCTGGATTTGCACCTGTTAGACTTCTTTAGTTATATGGAGTTACAGAATTCAGTCCCAGCTAAGTTATAAAATAGGATTTCAGGAACAAACACTCCTCTATTTCCATTGTTGTTGTTAGTAAATAAATATACTCTGGGTAACGAGATGACTCTCAAAGCTGGAAAAAAATCCCTCATCCCTGGAATTTTCCAGAATTTTCCGGGTAAGGTAAAAATCTTCTCGAAAGTTACAGAAATTGCCCACTACATTATCTCTCGAACCCGGAAAAATATCCCTCATCCCAGGGATTTTCCGGGTAATGGAAAAATTTTCTCGGAAATTCTCGAAATTGCCCTTTACATCATCTCTCGAACCCGGAAAAATAAGCCCTCGTCCCCGGAAATTTCTGGGTAACAGAAAAATTTCCTCAGAATTTCAGGAAAATGTGCCCCTCAGAAAATGTTTCCCAAAGTCGGAATTTTACGGAAAATTCCGGCTTTGGGGACAATTTTCAGAGAAATTTTCAATTCCAGCTATCGGAGAATTCCGGGTTTGAGGGATTCCGGCTAACGGAAATATTACTATAATATGAACAATTGTCCAAGGAAGGTATGTAATAAACTACAGTATAGTACAGTACTTGAGTCAATTTGGATATGTTGTTACTTTCTTCAAATATCTGTACACTAACATACTTCTTAAATCTCTAAAACTCGCTAGTTATTAAATTTACAAATAAGCTTTCATTGTATCACCAGTTTCCTACAATCACCATATAAATTATTTCTCAAAGTCACATGAAGACAAGTAGACTTATCACTCACAACATCATGCACACAGTCACTAAGTCAGTGGCTTGGTTGTTTAATTTTTCTTCATTTACTCTCACGTATTACCTGTGTGGGGGAAATAAAATAAAATAAATCTAGTCTATATTTCTTAAGAAACATATGTAGAATACTCAGATCTTTTGTAAAATAGATTTTTGGTTGACATATAACTTTAATGTATTACTGTATACATGTTCGGAATTCTGAACGAGTCTTAGAGTACAGTACAGTAAAACCTCGATAACTCGGCACGTATAGGGCTCTGTCCTTGCCAAATTATCCCAAATTCCGATTTATCGAGGCACCTCTCCTCCCCCCCACCACACACACACACACTCAAATTATGACAATAAAAATTTATCAACTCGTATAGTACATGAAATTATTCAGTTTCAAAGAGTAACGCTTACCAGCACTGCAGGCAAAGAATGGAGCATTATAGTCGGCGAGAGGCATGGTAGGTGTCACAGAGGCATGGTAGGTAATGCAGGGGAATGGTTGGTGCTGCAGGGGAATGGTAGGTGATGCAGCTGATGGAGGGGAAACGCTACATAAACAGTAACAGCGTGGCACTTTTGTATGCTAATGTAATTTGGTCACTTATACAAAAAAAATACAATTTAACAAAATTAATTGTTTTCTCTACATATAATTCAAGTCTGTAAATAAACAGGTAACCTATATCTCTAAGGATATTATAGTCCACCCAAGTAAAACCGGTTTCTTTATTACAGAGCAAAACGTCAAATTAAAATGCTCTTAATGTGCCTTAGAAATAAAGAAAATATAATATAACACTATAAAATAAGAAAAATGACGAGCATAGGTGTGTGTGTGGGAGGGGAACATATGTGAAGTCCACTCAGTGAGCTGTACTGCTTGGCTGACTCACCTGCCTTCATCCCTCTCATGTGACATCACGGCAGACACACACACGTCTCAGTCAGCTGGTCGACTGCCTGGCTGAACTGTGGCATTGCTTAGATGATGGTTTGAGTTTGGAAGGAACCATTTTTTGTACATAAAATATGTACTATTCTATTTTATGATATGCTATGTATCAATTTTATTGTTTATCACAAATTTTTTTTTATAAAAGAGGTTATAGCGCTACAGATGTAGGACACGCGAATAAATTACTTCAGTTCCTTTCAGATAGTTGGACTAAATTATAAATTTTACTAAAGGGGACAAAGTTGGGATACCTGGAAGATTCAAATACTGTAGTTGGAATTTGGATAAAATGAATTGCACTGTAAATTAAATAAAATCTATGGCATTGGAATTACTGTAATAGTGGAGATGTTCTGTGTACAGTGGCTGGCCTGACATGAATGGGGGAGGTTGTTGGGTGTTAATGGGTTAATTTTGCAGGAACCAAATTTTACCAGGGTGCTGAATATTAATTCTGGTGCCCTAGATACTCTGTGGTGCAATGTATAGCACCTTATACCCAAAATATTGGGTTGCTACAGCATCCCGAATTATTTTTATAATAAATTCCGCGATAATTTTCGTGCCAAATTATATGAAATTCCAAGGTTGCAAATGCTGACTTATCAAGGGTTTACTGTAATTTGAATTTTTGACGTTCTGTATGCAGTATCTAAAAATGTATAGGGTGTTCTGTATACTGTAAATGATACTATAAAAAGTAGGATTAGTGATCAGTTAGGATTAGGAATAATAGAAACTGTTTATTTATACATAGTGAATTTTCAAAACAACATATGAAAATTTTATCTTATTTCCTAATCCTCGCTAACCTTACCCGCTTTGGTTCCATTGATATGAAACACCCTGTAGAATATAGTAGAATACTGTATGTAGTAGCTTTAATGACAAGATAAACATTTTAAATGTTTTTTCATGTTAATTTCAACAGGCTCGAGATGTGTTTGAAGAAGGACTGAGAAGTGTGATGACAGTGCGAGATTTTACACAGGTTTTTGATGCTTATGCCCAGTTTGAAGAATTAATGCTGAAGAAACGTATGGAAGAAGTAGGAGTTGAGGTTGATGAAGAGGAAGAAATTGATCTGGAATTAAGGTGCAGTATTTGCTCTCTGTTCCTCACATTAATGTTGCTTTAAATTCTAGTTGGGCAGATGCAAACCAAAGGTTTTAAAGGTACTGGAAGAATAAAAAAATCCTTTTCAGGACCTGTGAAAGTTATTTTTATTTTTGTGAGTTTAAGTTTATACAGGTATGCAGATGTGCAGATAAGGTCCTTCCCCAAATTAATGGAAGAGTTACAAATTAACTTTTACAGAGCGGTTATACGAACAGGGCTAAACATGAAATTTACAGTACGGTGATATCCCCTTTAGCCGGAAGAATTGGTGCAAAGCACTTCCAGGGATAAGAGATTTCCGGCTAACCAGACGACCTTCTCAAACCTGGAAAAATTTCTTATCCCCAGAATCTTTTCCGGTTACAGGAGTGGGAAAAGGTAGGCCCTCTCGTACGTCACTAAGGTTGAAATTTTAAAGAAATTCGAAGCTGGGACGAGGATATGCGACCTAGCATGCCATTATAAAGTCAACAAATCTACCGTCAGAACTGTCAGGAAATACCGGGAAAAAATATTGTCTGCTGTCCACACCACCTACCCGGAGATTCAGAAGTCTGTGCTTGTTACCCAAAGTCGTTCAAGAGTAAAGGTCTGGCGAGTCCAATACGATATAGCGATTTTAACTTACAGTATGTTAAATGGCACTGCTTGCATGGATTTCTGATGCGTGGATGTGTACCAGTACGATATTCCTGTGCAAAATGAGACCCCACTACAGTATTCATTGTAGTTGTCATACAAGTAACAGATTGGTTCAACATATGCATGCATACATTAAGTTGGTTTAACTTAGGATTTTTTATCTTAGGGAGGTACTGTATTTCTTTAATGATAGTGAGTTAGTTATCCTCTCTTATTTCTTCTTTCTTATTTTATGAGTACTGTAACAAAAAATTTTCAATTCAGGTTGGCAAGATATGAAGATTTGATGCAACGGCGACCACTTTTACTTAACTCAGTCATGTTGCGGCAAAACCCACACAATTGTTTGGAGTGGCAGAAGAGAGTGACGCTTTATGAAGGAAAACCTAAGATGGTAAGTTTTTAATGTATTTTACTTACTTAAGAAAAATATGAAAATAACAGATATGTAGTAAGAGAAATGATACATTATTTTCTCAATTTAACGAATTAATTCAAGCCACACCTGTTCATTAAATCCAAATTTCTGCTAAATCGACCTCTCGGTCAACTAAGTACTGTATACATTGCAGCACCTTAGCTTTTGTCTTTATTCAAGACATATTTGAAGGCAACTGAATTTACAGGGATGGAATGTCAGGTCACCCTTTCTTGGGTGGGAGAGTAGTGGGTTTCGTGAACCTGAAGATGTCTTGAAAAAAGTCACTCTGTAACATTCGATACCATAATATCCGGACCACTGGGGCTAGTTATACAGACTTTTCCCTATGAAAAAGCCATAATTTAGTGCAAAATTACTGTACTCACTTTTTACTCAAATGTACTTGGCTAAAGGGCTAAAAAATTTCTCTCGCAAACTATGTGATGTTTATAACTCAAATTAATTGCGATCTTGTAAGGATTCCAGCAATTCAAGTTATATTTTGCTAAGACAAGTCAGTGACATTTTATAAGCAAAAACACACATAAATTATCACAACCCGTACTCAAATGTACTAAGTTAATTACTAAAAATTTTATGTCTAGTGGAAACAATGTGATGTTTATACTCAAATTAATTGCTATCTTACAAGGATATCTTTAAGAGTGAGGTGCTTCCCCACCTGGAGTATTGTCACCCCATCTCATCCCCAAGGTATGCTAGAGACTGTCAATTGATTGAAAATGTCCAAAGTAGGTCCATCAGACTGGTGCCTGCTCTCCGAAACTTCAGATACCCATAGAGATTGGAGCGCCTGCAACTACCTAGCTTATACTACAGACGGCCGAGGGCGACCTAATCGAAGTGTATAAACATCTCAGGGGGCACTACTCGGTCGAATGTACAGTCAGCCATAGATCCAGCGACCCCACCCTGGGTCTCATACTGGCAATTTTACCTGGCAATACTTGGTAAAGTAAGGCTGTATGTAAAGGTGATTGTGATTGGTGGATCTATTTTCGACTGCATCGTTGTCAGGATAAATATTAAACAATCGAAAGATTTATTTTTTATTATCATAAACTATTAATCATTATTATAGATCGTGAGAAGTTTTCAAATGTTCTTATATTTCCTTAAATAATGAAGAAATTATATTAATGAATTGGCAACTCAACTGCAACGAGTTCTGCCACAAGATTCTCAGATTAAATTTTCTTAGTTATTTACACAAATACACGAACATTTGGAAACTTTTCATGATCTTAAATAACATTGAATAGATTATTAATACAGAAGTCTACCTTTGGATTGTTTAATATACACCTGTATATCCTGACAGTGATGCAGCCAAAAATAGATCCACCAATCACAATCACCTTTACATACAGCCTTACTTTACCAAGTATTGCCAGGTAAAATTGCCAGTACGAGACCTAGGGTGGGGTCGCTGGATCTATGGTTGACTGTACATACCTGGAGCCAGCGGACGTCCACCCAACAAGGGGTCGCAGCTCCAGGTTGAAGAAGTCACATGTCCAGAAAACTGTGAGGGCAAATTTTTTCAGAGTGAGAATTGTGAACTCATGGAAAAATCTGCCAGAGAGCATTTTGACAGCACCAAGTGTGAGCTCACTAAAAATACCTAACTTTTTCATATAGTACTGTTCAGTATACCAACAATATTCAGTATTGGACGAGTTTTTCGGATTCATTTTATACCGAAAACCCCCCTATACCGAACTGAATACTGTACAGTACTCACAAATTATTTTGGTATAGAGAGGTAATACTGCAGTGTAAATGCATCTGCACATCCTGTGGCCATCTTAACCATGTGACAGGTAAGAGTTTACATTCTTTAGAGACAAACGTGTGTCAAAATGTGATTGTTACTTGCTAAAACAAATTTTTCCCTTTGTATTAATAAAAAGGTGTCAAAATGTAACTTTTGTTGAATTTTTTTTTGTTTATTGGGCAGATGTATATCGGGATACCTTTATGCAAAATATAATAGTTTACTTGCCTGTTAATTGTCACCTTGTAGTGAAGAGTTGCACTGTTGCTGACCCCCAGTGATGTACTTTATGTGTAGTGTATAGACAAAAACTTTAATTTCAGTCACTGATGTACTGTATTAACTCCAATATTGTACACTCCTTGGGGTGTTGAGACTTATGGGGATTATTGAAAGCCTTGGCTCACTAAATCAGGGCAAGTTTTAACACAGTAGATAATCCAAACACTTTGTGCACAGTACTGCTACTGATGCCATGTGGGCGACTGACTGTTTTATCCTGAGACGCTTTGTATGATGGTCACACAATGTTCCGGTAATGTAATAATTCTTCTCTTATATTAAGTTATATATATTATTGAAATAATATTTAGATATTGGAATAACTTTTCCACAAAATCCAAATTTCGTTGGCACTGACTGTCTATCGTTACCTTGCTCGTCATACAGTCCTTGTTTTGTTTACACATACACCCCACATTTTTTTTTTAAATCTATGTTCATGTGTATCAGTGAATTTTTATATTTTTCATATTTAACCTCTTAAAGTACTGAGCAGTATACACTATGGAAGGAAAATTGTCCTCCTTCCTCTTCATAAAAATGCATCGCTCATTATATAAAGGAAGTCATGTGGGTTTATTTTGAAGTTTTTGGTCTGATTTTATTTATTTTTTAATAAATCACAAAATCTTCTCACTAATTCTACTTTGACAAAAATATTGAATTATCCTGATGTATCAAATTGTGAATGTTGACTTATTGAGTGGTGTGTGCACAGTATAGAGTACTGTATTTAGACAGAAAAGGTATACTGTATATAGAAAATGAACATGTCATAAAATTTTCTTGGAGGCAATGTTATTGTTCTTCATGATTTTTTTTTTTTTGTATTCTCTTCATTCACAGATTGTTGCTACATACATGGAAGCTGTCAAAACAATTGACCCAAAACAGGCAACAGGAAAGCTGTTTTCACTTTGGGTTAACTTTGCCAAGTTTTATGAAGAGAATAACCAAATTGTAGATGCACGAATAATATTCCAGCGAGCCACTGAAGTTGCTTATGTAAAGGTTGATGATCTTGCTAGTGTTTGGTGTGAATGGGCAGAGATGGAGATCAGACATGAGTGAGTACTTTTCACTGTATAGCATGCCCTTCAAATTCGCGGAGTTAGGTTCTCAAAATGGCCGCGAATAGCCAAATCCACAAATAACATTTGCTGCTGGGGGGGGAGGCGTCACATTTTTACTTGTGTGCAAAGAAATGTATATTCTTTTTATGTGTTTGCCCTTAGGACAATAATTTATTTTCCTGTATTGTATATATGTGTGTATGTGTTTTGTGTGTGTGTGTATCTACACACACACACACACACACACACACATATATATATATATATATATATATATATATATATATATATATATATATATATATATATATATATATATATATATATATATATATATATATATATATATATATATACAAGAAATTACTGTCTAGAACAAATGGCTCCCTGTCCCAGCCATGAAAATGTCAGCAACTTTAAAGGGACCCATAGATGTTCTTGGGTACATCCAGGGTGTCATCCGCGAATAATCGAGGTCTGTGAATTGTAAGGGCATGCTGTATTTACTTTTTGTTCGTAAATGAAAGTGAAAGGGAATTATGATATTGAACTGTCCTTCCTTCACTCCATATATAGGAGCTGAGTTTTCTTATAAATATCCTTAACAGATTCCCAATTATTGTTCAATATTAACATGGATAAGGTAATATTATGAATAATAGGTACTGTATTTAATGCATTGATTTTTGATGAAGGTATCGAAAAGGGTGAAATTTAGGAACAATGTTTCATTGTTTTACTCATTTATTCTCTCACATATTCTCTCCATACCTAGTACAACATGCCCTTAAAATTAGCGGGGTTTGGGTCTCAAAATATCCGCGAATATCATTTGCTGACTCGTGGGGGGTGCATTTTTTGTACGTAAAAAACAAATCTGAAATTTTTTCTCATTATTTTAAATACTGTACATAAAAAAATAGAGTAACACTCACCATTCCACACTGGCTGTTTATGTAGAGCCCATTTTCCTCTCTCTCCTGCCACTGATGAATATCATGATGTAAAGGGTGAATATGATGGTTGGTGATGAAGATGAAGGCAGGGGTTACAAGTGCTCCTTATCTGCCTTGTTAGCATTGAAAACCTGCTCCGGCTTGTATCCCTTCTCTCGGATTATCTCGGCAAAGATTGCAGGATACTCCCTTTGCTGCTACTCATCCGCCAAGGCTGACTCACCAGTGGTCCTCAAGTTGTGCAGGTTGAAGCACTTCTTGAAGTTCTCTAACTACCCCATACTGGCCTTAAAACCTTTCTTTATGGTATCACCAGCACTAGCAACCACCTTCACCACTCACTTCACTACTGCCATACTCCTGGCCACACACAGCAAAACTCTGGCCACTCCTAAGTTTGTCCAGCAGTTGTATCTTCTCCACTAGGGTCATGACCTTCTTTTCTCTCTTTGCTTGTTTGGGCACCTTCCCACGGCTGGATGAAGATGGTTGGGGGCATTTGGGAGCCATCATAAGCATGAGCAGCACAGTTGTCAAGAGAGCAGAGTAGCACACACACATATGAGACAGATGAGTGTTTATCCCAGACTGAGGTAGAGTGCTCACATGGCCCAGCTGCCTGGGACAACAGAAACACCCGGGACACCACCAATCTCTCATGCTCCCTGTCCCGGCTGCGAACATGCCGCCAACTTTAAAAATACCCATAGACATTCTTGGGTACATCCAGGGTGTCATCTGCGAATAATATAATCGAAGACCACGAATTAAAAACCCGGGAATTGTAAGGGCATGCTGTACCCACTATTTATATTTTCCTTTGAATAATGGTCAGTAAATCTTAGAAATACAGTATTCCATTTAATTTTACTGAATTTATGAATCATTGTTCTGCTTTGGATGATACTGTAACAAGAATACTGGATCATTTGTTTGTTCTTCAGTTATTTGATGATGCCTTCTTCACATTTAACATTACTTCAGAGCATCTATCTTTCATTGAATTTCAAACTTTTATTACCTTTAAAATTTCAGCAATGAAGAAGAAGCTCTGAAGCTTATGAAGCGAGCTACAGCACCACCACCCCACAAAGTTGCCTATAATGATGAATCAGAACCTGTTCAGCGGCGGGTATACAAGTCTCTTAAGTTATGGTCAATGTATGCTGACCTTGAGGAGTGTTTAGGCACCTTTAAGTCCTGTAAAGCCGTGTATGATAGAATCATCGACCTACGGATTGCTACACCACAAATCATCATAAATTATGGAATGTTTTTGCAGGTTTGTAGTACTTTGAGGATAATTTATCTGTACAGTGCTGTATATCTTCTTTGCAGAATATTCAGTGACTTCTAAGTGCAGCCTTTAGTAAAATTTACTCTTCCAGATTTGATCTTAAGCCATTCACCCAAATCATACATAGACATATGCCTGTTATGCATTTATAGATAATACATAAATGAAATGTGTTTGATATTTGGAATTATTCTTTTTTTATAGGAAAACAACTATTTTGAAGAAGCATTTAAAGCATATGAAAAGGGCATCTCCCTCTTCAAGTGGCCATATGTTTATGATATATGGAACACCTACCTCACCAAGTTCCTTGAGCGCTACATGGGAACCAAGATAGAGCGGGCTCGAGATCTCTTTGAACAGGTTAGCAGTACAGTACACTAGCATTAACCTTCTCCCAAGTAAGTACAGTACAGGTATATAATTTTCTGTCTCAAGAAAGCATAGAAACTACCTGTAAATATATTTACAGCTCTTTTTACCTGCCATAATTCATTAGTGGATTCAAATGTCACTGGAGATAGACAGCCTAGGCCACTGGACATAATTTTTTCTGGTCATATTTTGCCTGTTACCCATTGCTCAGTACATACAGTACCACTCATGTTGTTTAGGCTCAAGTTATTACTGAGTTAGAGAAGTACTGTATCCTGAGATAAGAGGAGATTGACAGTTGGAAAAAGACTGGGGGAATAATGAAGAAGGTAGAATTACTATATTAGTATTAGAGTGTGTTGAATGATAGAAGAATGGACGTGATTAATTGTTATGATATTTGGCAGTGGATTTGTTAGCAAATGAAACGTTGAATGATTAATTAAACCAGTGAGTAGCAGAGGGAAAGAAAGTAACAGGCACATTGAAAAACATATTGAGAGAATGAACTTTAATAATGGAGACAGATATGGGAAAATACAGGGAAGTCATTAATCTGACTTATACAAATGTAAAATATGGACTTTGGATGGAAGAGGAAAGATCATATCAGAATTTATAGAAATGGTGACCTTGAGAGTGTGTCAGTATGAGGCAAGATTAAACATATCTAAATTGATCAAAGGTAATACAGTAGGCCCTTCAAATTCGCGGGGGTTAGGTTCTCAAAATGGCTGCGAATCGCCAAATCTCCGAATATCATTTTCTGACCGGGGGTACATTTTTACTTATGTACAAAGAAATGTATGTTCCCTTTATATGTTTACCCTTCGGACAGTTATTTCTTTTACCTGTATTGTATATGAGTGTGTGTACACACACACACACACACACACACACACACACACACAAACAAACAAACACATGCTATAAGAACAGCCCAGTCCCAACCATTATATAAATTATCAACAACTTGTAATCAACCTGTTTATGTATTTACTCTCAGCCAATCTTACCTTTTTGCACTGTCACTATGTTGAAAAGCCCTGTAGTATAACCTTCTCCCCACCTACTTTTTATATATCATATTTGAATCACTTATGTTATTTGTTATTTGTCAATCAAGTGACCCATTCCCCAATTATGTAACTGTATATTTTCAGCCTTCCGGCTTCCATGCTCTTTCAAAAAACCGTTAATTATTATTATTATTATTAAAATGGATACAAATAAATAATAATGTGGAAATCCTTTCACAAATACTGTGATAAGAAACACTACAACAAAATGTAATGTAGAAAAATTGCGAGTCTACCCTCAAGTCAACTCCGTGCTTTGTTATTACAGTCGAGTTGGTCGAGTTGCCATACTGCGCCAGCTGGGTTGATACGTAGATCAAAATTACAGAATTTCTTTCGTAGCCATCTAGCCAACCCAACATGAAGGATATAGGTAATTGTGGTGTAATACTGTGTATACTGTGTAGGATGGTGTGTGCATGTAAATGAGTAAAAATAAATGAAGAAGGTTATGTATATCTACCGAAAAATACGAGGTGAAAAAAACATAACACCTCAAAGCTTGGCCCAGTAGCCTGGTGGTTACAATGATGAGCTAACCTAGCTACAATAACATGATCAATCACTGTTAAGCACTATTCTATCAGTAAACACAATTAATAACAGTAAATCCGGTGAAATATGGCAGGGACCGAGGGGAGTTAAAACTGCAGACGATGTGCTAACTAGCAGTCACTCACTCTCCTTACCCGCTCCTGTTGCCAGGCGTACATATGGGAGAAAAACATATTTTGTAGTCTACTGTTATAAAGAAATACTGTAGATAAACTTTAACCATTACATGCTGGCTGTTTGTGTAGAGCCTGTTTTCCTCTCCCCTGCCACTGATGAATATCATGGTGAAAATGATGAATAAGATGATGATGATGGTGAAGGTGGTTGAGGGCGTTTGAGAGCCATAACAAGCTTGGGGAGCATAGTTGTTACGAAAGGAGAGTAGCACACACGCGAGACGTACAAATGTTTAGCCCGGACTGAGGCGGAGGAAGCGGGACGCCACAAAACTCTCTCGCTCCCCATACCAGCTGCAAAAATGCCGGTAACTTTAAAACTACCTGCAGACATTCTTGGGTACATCCAAGGTGTCATCAGCGAATAATAGAGGACCATGAAATAAAAATCCACAAATTTTCCGGGCGTACTTTACTGTACTGTACAATAATTTCAGACTAGCTTTCTTTAAGCCAGAGTCCTTGGCTTTTGGACTTGGTAAAGCACTATACAAAATTTGTCAACAAGTTTTTCAAATATTGTCAAGAGAACTGCTTATAAAACAGCTAATTCCAAAGATATTAGATAACTCAATTGTTTTAAAAGTATTTATGGTTGGCTAACTCGTTACATTTTTTCTAAACGTTGTTTGCAGAAATGGATGCTATTTATTAAACTTTATTACAGTGTCTGGAGAAATGTCCCCCCAGCTATGCTAGGAACCTGTACCTCTTATATGCCAAGATGGAGGAAGATCATGGACTGGCCAGACATGCTATGCAGGTGTACAGTCGTGCCACTAAGGCTGTACCACCTGAGGAGAAACTGGCTATATACAATATCTACCTACAACACGCACAACAGATTTATGGTGTTACAAGAACGAGGGAAATTTATCAGGTGAGGAATGTTTTGATGTTGTCTTGGCCAGGTTATTTTTTCAAGTCATTCCCTCATCCAGTATCAAATCATTTGCGAAGTCTCCTCCAAGTACCCAGTTCAGTGTTATTGTGTGTGTGTGTGTGTGTGTGTGTGTGTGTGTGTGTGTGTGCGTGTGTGCGTGCATGTGTGGTTTTTTTTTTTCTTTTTCCTCAAGCCTTTTCCTAATTTGCTGCTGAATCAAGAGTAACATTTGATTCTTCTTACACCCACTGTTATCTGTTCCTAACTGCTGTGACATCCTCATAAATCACATGACAACATTGTCTTACATGAAAAAAGTTAAATATATTTTTTATGGCTTTTTATACATGGCAGGCAAATGGATTTAGTAAATTTAGTAAACATTTGGGAATTAGTTTTGTAAGTTTTTATTAATACGTACTGTACTACTGTATTTTTTTTTTCCCACAGGAGGCAATTGACGACCTTCCTGATGAAGGTGCTCGTGAAATGTGTTTACGGTTTTCGGAGATGGAGAGGAAGCTCGGTGAAATTGACCGTGCTCGGGAAATTTATGCCTATTGCAGTCAGATATGTGATCCTCGCATTACTGCCGAGTTCTGGGCCAAGTGGACTGATTTTGAAGTGGCTCATGGCAATGAAGACACCATGAAGGAACTACTTCGTATCAAGCGATCAATGCAAGCCAAATACAATACACAGGTATGAATATTATTATACAGTACAGTATTCTGAACATATATACTGCATGATGTTTGAAACTAAAGAGCTGGGAGAAAACACTGATTTTGTTGTAATGAGAAGATGGAAATTTTCTTTTACAATATTAATTGTACAGTAGCTAAAACAACTATCTGTGCAGGTTGGGGTCGATATGCTCCAAAATTTTACGTGTGACTAGTGACAGCCCTCATGTACCAAAATTTATCGCCCATGGTCTCATATTGTTTCCCACAAAGTATGCACAGATAGTTGTTTTAGCTACTGTACAGTAGAGTCTCTATACACTGGAATTTGTTTTTTCAGTCTCTGAGATGCTCCAGACCTCCCCCTTAATCACCAGAAATATTTTAAAAATCCAGAAAATCCAGCATAATTCTGGACGATTTGTGTGTTCTTACATGCTGTTGAACGTCTATGTGTGGGTGTAGTGTGACACTGACACGTGTCTCAGTCCTGCCTTCATATGTATTGTTTCAGTGTGCTGCACCTCGATACCTACACTCATTGACATAACATTTTATGTAGATTCTTTAATGAGGATACTTGAGGGTTTTAAGAAATCTGTAAAAAAAATAATTAAAAAATCACATTCAATGACCAACACCTGCTCACTGAAAACTACACAGTCATCTAATCAGATTTGCTGTATGCCTAACGAGAGCTAAGAAACTGCATCTGTAAACAGGCTGAGGGCTGCAGGAGGGGAGGGGGTTGTGTTCAGGCATTGCCACATTCACCAAGTTTATTTATTGATTCAGTATTATTTTCTTCTATGATGAGCCTCTTATGGTGTGTGATTACAGGTATAGTAGGGTCGGGATATATTGCAAGATAGGGTCCAAGGATCTTCGCCATATAATAAATCACAATACTGTATATAATTACATGTAATCAATGGGGAAAATAGGGTTAGGTTCTGGAGGCCAATAATAGTGACTAAACTTGACTTAACAAGTTTATTTTCTTATTAACTAAAGCACCAATGAACACTAGACTCTGGAACACCACCCTTGGCCCCATTGTGGGTCGATTACCTGTGCCCGGGTGGGCTGTTCCCTGTAAAAAAAAAAAAAAAGAAGGAATGCCAGACTCGGCAGCTGACGCCACACTGCCACCCTCACTTGACAATCCCACACCTACATAAACGAACAAACCAAAAATATTAGTTACAGTAGTATTAAATCTTTTCCATTAAGCTTTCCATTATCTTCACTTCACTTTCACGTCACTAGCAACCCATTTACATTCACCTTAGAAGTCGGAATCTGCAGCAGAATTGGCTGCTGACTCATCACTCAAGCCGCTTGACTCAGCCAGTCTCTTTCTGCTTTCATTAAATATGTCTTCTTTGGCATCTTTTTCCAGTTTATTTCTGTCTCATCACAATTCCAGATTTGATCTGAAGTATAGCCATCTTCCTCAACCACTTTTATTCCAATCTATCTTAACTTTTTCTGCTGCAGCTCTGCAGCCGATGCAGCTTCCCCTAACAGAGACACGTAGCATAATTTAGCTCTGTTGATGAAGCTGTGAAGCCAGCCTTGGCTAGCTGTGAATTTACATTCACTTGCTGGCTTTCCTTTTCGCTGAAGCAGACGTGTCTGTATTTCCATTGCTTCATTCTTTATCATTGGACCCGATATAGCAACTTTACGCTGTTGCATGTTTTCAAGAGCTGAATCAGAAAGACTGTGTGGGCGAGTGTGAATGCGTGAGTGAGCAGCCACGGTGGTGCCTTTGATGAGCAAATAACTCATTTGTTTGCCATGGCGGTACATTTGAAATATTTCCTGCCTGATTTCCCCCGCGAAATAAATAGAATTATCGCTATATATTGGAAAATGTCGATAATTTTGGTAGTTGCGATATAAAAAAATTGCTATAGTATAACCCGACCCTACTGTATCATAATTAATATAACATCTTCAATAATAAAAAGAAAATCAATATTCAGTGTTGATCAATACACTACAGTACTATTTACTAAGTGCTGAAAGCAGATGTGATAAGCATGAGTGGAAGGTAGCAAGGATGAGTGGCTGTTTGTGCTTTGTAAATATACACAATGACTCATGGTATTGAGTGTAGGATTCTCTTTTCGGAAAACATGATTATTTTACGATAATATTTTATCAACCGGCACCAAATTAACCTAAATATTAGATAATTATGGTGAAATTGTGTAGAGACGTGTCAATGGAATCCTGGGGTAGGGTGTCACCCACCCATGCACTCAAATCACTCTTATCTTCTATGTATATTACAGTATACCCCTACACATATTTTTACCTTTATAGTACTGTACAGTATACTCTACATTTTCTCTAAAGTCATAAAACAAATTCTGTGATTACTTACATATAACACTTTACAGTACAAACCAATCTTCTCAGTGAAAACAGTTATCGGCAACCTTGAAGACCTTAGTTGTTGAAGCACAGATATAACATAATAAAACAACTGAATTATTTTTTTTTTTAAATAGTCCAGTCTGCCCCAATTAGTCTTAGTGTGTCGAGATATTTCTGTATATTATTTCAGTACTGTATCCAATTTAAGGAAGATTTTTTTATTTTAAATGAAGTATCATAAAGCAAGTACAAATATTTGGTGAACTACTTACAGTATTTCATTGAGACATTTCACTTTTGTTTTGCAGGTGAACATGATGTCAGCACAGATGTTAGCATCTGCAGACACGGTCGCTGGCACTGTCTCTGACCTTGCACCAGGAGCAAAGGATGGTATGCGTATGTTGGAAGCACGTGCTGTAGCCATGAACCAATTAGAGGAACAAAATGCTCCGACGACACATGCTCCTCCTGCAGGTACAATACTACATATTTATGTGCTCCTCCTGCTAGAATGGTATTACATACAATCTTTCCTTCCTTTACACAGGTTCAGTTTACAGAACCTGTACACGGGGGGTGGTTTTTACACACAGTACAATACATGGAATGAATGAACAAGGTTTCTGAAATTTCTCTCGGCTGATTTTACCAGCAGCAGAGGTTATGGTCACTTAATATTTCTTTCCTAAGTCTTTGAGGTGTGTGTGTGTCTCTTGATCCACTCTATCCAACAGGGAATTATAAATTAAAAGGTTAAGAGATTAAGAAAAAACTTGGTTAAAATTTAAAAAATTGGAAGATTTGTCAGAAAATGTCGGGATTACCAAAATGTAATTGCATTACATACATTATTTTCACAGCAGGGATTAGGCATCAGATATTCATTTTTAAAGTTACTGTAATTTAGAAAGAGAGGTACTGTATTTACCAGGGATTCAGGAAAGGAATGGGAGGAAAACTATGAATATGATATGATATTTTTATCTTTGCTAAGAATGATCAGCACAAACTAAAGAAATATAACCCTTTGAAAATAACATTATTTGTTAAGATAGTTGGTACAGTGAGTTTAATAGACTCGCAACTTACGCGGGGGTTATGTTCCTGGGACCCCACATAAAGCTAAAAACTGCGTAAAATCAGAAACACTCCTAAAAATCCCCTAAATCGCCCTTAAATCACTATATATACGTACATATACACTAGAACTCGTAAATCATTACTGTAATGTACTGTAACAAGTGCATAACAGCATTAATAGAACACAGACATTATGTAGACAGACATGTGTTTTTGTTTTGAGATTATTCATCCCCTTCCCACATCACCATGGGAGGATCATCAGGGTCAGATAATGATGCAGGGGAGGATGTGGGCAGCTTAAGGTCACTGCGAGAAGTTGAGGGCATTGCTGATCTGCTGACTATGTTGATGTTGAGATTTTCTTAAAGAACATGGTGATGGGAAGCTGTCATTTTGTTTCCTAAGCTGCTGGAACATATTCTTATACTGAGCCATAAGACTTGTAAGACCTCGTGAGAAGTTGGAAATTGTAACCTAACCCCCGGGGTAATCCGTGTATAGTTTAAGAGTTCCTCCATACATAACCCTCCATAAATAAAAGAAAAAAAAAGATGATAATGGACTGCATGTGTTATTCTAAAAATGTCGTAAAACAAACTCGCATAGATCAAGAAGTGCCTGTATTAAGTTCTGAAATATAGCTTTAATGAGAAGGCTGGTAGTGAACTGGAAGGACTGAGTGAAGGAGTATATATTTTAAAAGGATTTCATTGTTCAAATATTATGATGTTTGAAGGTGCATAAACTAAGCATTATCCCTTTGTGTAATAGGTTTAGCTTATTGGAGTATAATGGTTACTAGAAGTGTACAGGGTATTTAGGAAACTTGTTTCATAACCATACAAAGTTAATGCTAAGGTGTAAGGAAACAACTCAGCTGCTAAGATTATTCATTCTTTAGTGTTAGCTCAAAGCAACTATAATTTTTAATTTTCATATTCCCCTTATTATAGGTGGCTCCAAAATTATGTTTGTGCGAGGTACAACCACCAAGAGGGAAGATGAGGTTGCAGATACAGCTCGTACCACAAATCCAGATGAAATTGACATTGATGATGAGGATGAAAATGATGATGATGATGATGAGGAGGAGGAGGATGATGATGATGGTAAGTTGTTTTTGACATTTATGAAGAGGATGATAATAATTATGAAGATGGTAAGTTGTTTTCTGGTATTGTTTGAAGGTATTATCATAGTTTATTGATAGCTTAAGTGACTCTGTCATCTCATTCTATGTTTTTTCAACAGCATCTTTGGACCTTTCTAGATGCTGAATGTGATTTTCTCTTTTCTCTCAAGCCTTTTTTTTATTACTGTCATTCAGTTGCTCTTACTGCTATAAAAGGTGGAAAATTATATGATACTAGATACCCCATAATTTTAAACTTTCTGCCAACTTGGGATCTTTCTAGTGTTCTATATTTAGAATTTTACTCTTTAAGGCCTTATTCCATCTAGTTTTAATTTGGATCTTTGATAATTCGTTCTTATCTCATGCAGTTTGATTAATTTTAAAAATTTGATTATAACAAACTACACAATCCAATGGTGAAAACAAGTTGTCTGAGACACAGCTGCTATGAATTATGCAAGCCAAATGAGGATCTAACTTGGTAATCCAAGTGGCTCTACATCCTTGATAATTACATGTAGTATGGTCCCCTTGGGTCATGGAAGGATAACAGTTGTCACTGAAACTGTTTGCATAAATATTTTGTCAGCCATTGTGGGTGTCTTCTCATAATTAATGCATAATCAGTGTCAAAAACATGGCATTTTTAAAATTTGTATTCTTAATTTTCCTGCAACGTTCACTTTCTGACCTGATAGTAACCTAAGGTTGATTTTGACCATCACTCAGTGACCCAAGGACCCCCTCCCCCCTGAGCCCCCCCTCCCTTACCATGCCACTGAGGCACAGTAAGCCAGTACCTTTGACAATTTGTGTGTGTGAAAACTACATTGTTATTGGCAAGTTGATTGGTGATAAATGGCAGCTGCCCTAGCTGACTCAGGTATTACTGTTATGATGTTGAGATAATGGAGGAACAGTATAAGCCTTGTGTTAGGTCATTATGAGATTGTGTAACCATAAATATTTGCTCCTACTGCCATGGAAAATATTGGAAGCAATAAGCATGGTTAAAAATTTGCTACACAAAATTCATGCAGTATACTAATACTGTACAGTAGAATCCCAGTTCACCGGTATTCGGGTAACTGGTAAATTCAACTAACCGGCACCAAAATGAAATGATAATAGTAAAAATATAAATTCTTCTAAAATCAGCTAGTACTGTATCATACGTTTGAACACCACATGCAACGAGGATGAGCTGCCATATTTATTGCTCTGATAAACAATAAAATTGATACATAGTATATAATAACCATAATAGCACATATTTTATGAACAAAAAACTCCTCCCACACTCAGAACATTCTCTGGGCAATGCTACCCACTTCAGTCAAGCACTTAACCAGCTTATTTCTAAGGCATGTTAGAGTATTGTAATGATTTTTCAACAAGTTTTTTAGTTTCATTACATCTAACAATAAACATGGTGGCTGGAGTGGCGATTCAGCTATGTAGTCATTCCCCACCACCTACACACACACACACACACACACACACGTTCATTTCCCACAAATACTGTACACACCTATGCTCTTCATTTTCCTTATTTTATAGTTTTTTATTATATTTTATTTATTTCTAAGCCACATCATTTATATAGAGTGGAATAAGTGTTAAAGAAATCCGTTTTTCTGTGAATTTGTGAGGTCATCCTATAGCACTGTGCATTGTAGGATTTATTGGGGGGATCCTAAGAATGATTTTCAACTAACTGAAAAAACTGTTTATCCAGCACCTCTCAATCCTGAGGATTCTACTGTACCAGGCATGCCACTCGTTAAACCAAGTTGTGGTGGAAATTTGAGAAATGTATTTAATAGGATGTGATTTATTAATATACGTACTGTATACAGTAATGCCACGATACCGTATATTGTGTTGTCTATCTGTGGAAGTCGTGTACAGTACTGTACAGTACAGGTGTATTGTCAGTTAACAACTGCCTTTGATTTTATTACTTTACTTGCTAATGGTATTTTTATTTTTTTTTATTTTTTATTTATTTATTTTTTTTCAATGCCAAATTTTGACTTTTTTCTTTGTGACTCATGAAATCCTGGATCCTTCCTGGAGAGACACTTATTGAAGTACAGTAGCTGTTTAAAGCTGTGGAAATGCAGCTAATAATTAATTACACAAACAGATCAATTATTAATGCTCTATTATTTTTCAGATCTTCCTCAACAACGAGAAGTGCCATCAGCAGTGTTTGGTCAGTTGAAAAAAGATTAAACTGCAGTTTGAAATTAATATTTTAAAATAAATTTAATATTGACATGGAGTTTTGATTTACTCTTTTTATCACATGCCAAGAGAAGAGGACATAGTAATCCTTTGACTTATCTCAAACAAATAAAAGAGTCCTGCAGGGTTAATCCTTACAAACATAAAATTGTATCTAATTGTAATTTGGCTCTCCCAATTATGTACAGTGATTTCAAAACAATTGGCATTTAGATGAAGAAAGCACTTCCTTAATCATCACACCTGAATTCGATGAACAGTCCACCTCAGAGAAGTTTAATTTAAATCTACTGGGTATTTCTCCCTTGGTAAGAATTTGGTCCATGAAACAATTACAGTACAAAGTTCCGTTCTTTCACCTACTCTCTTACTTCTTTTTATCAATGATTTACTTCACACTACAACTAATTCTATCCATTATTACGCTGATGATTCTACTCTTCACTCTTCTCATTTTCCCTTCCCCCTAATTCTCAAACTAGATCTTTTTCTAGAGTTGATATCATTACATTTATCAATGGAGATCTGTGCAGCATATCCGAATGGGGAGGTAGAAACTTGGTTAAATTCAATAGTAATAAAACACAGTACGTGTATTTACCAATTACACTTTCCAAATTAGATGATCTCCCACCAATCACATCTCAGGATGCAATCATTCTGCCAAATTCTAAAACAGATATGCTAGGCCTAACCATTTCCTCTAATATGCCATAAAAGCCACACATCCACAACATTGCTAAAGCTGCCTCCCGAAAGCTGGGAATGCTGTACAGATGCTGTAGCTACTTCACTCCTGAGCAGTTACTAGGTAACTAGGCAGTTCAGGCATTCTAATCTCAAAGGGTGGCTGAGGTGTCGAAGTGCCAGCACCAGTCTGGTGGCCCTCCTTTGGACATTTTCAATCATCTGACAGTCCCTAGCATATCTCGGGGACCAGACAGGGTGACAATACTCCAGACGGGTAAGCACCTCACTCTTGAAGAACATTACAACCTTCTTATAAGACCTAATATTTTAGTTGCTTGGTTCACCTTCTCACAATGGCCCAAGAACTTCAGTTCATTGACAACATATACACCTAGGTCCTTTTCGCATTCAGTCTCAATTAATGCAGTTTCTTCGCCCCGTTGGGACATATGATACGCCTCCTTACCGTTGGTACGTCCCAGGTGCAGCCTCATACACTTCGTGACATTGAATCTTAGCAGCCATTTCTTCAACCATTCTTGAAGCTCACAGAGATCTTTCTGCAGCTCTTCACAGTTTGGTTGGTTCTTAATTTCCAGAAATAACTTGGTATCATCCACACACATTTATATGGAGAAGTGTACAGCTTCTTGCATATCATTTATGAAGCAAACAAACAACTGTTAAGAAGAAAACCCAGAAATTCGAGGCGTGGGTTAGGTCAAACGATGAGCAGGACAGGAGGTTGTATGCAAGATCCAGTAACCAAGTAAAGTCAGAGTGTAGAAGGGCTGAAAAGTAGTTCCAGAGGCTGGTTGCAAGCGAGGTCAAGTCAAACTGTCATGGATTGCGTTAGGCTTACCCACACAACCAACTCCAAAGTTTGTTTTACTAGAGATAAGGCACCTGGCAAGCCATGACTGCAAAATATTTTTTCCATTAGTGGTATGTTAGCCAGCCAAGAGGGGGAGGCCATTGAGACAGTGTTGTACTGTTCATCGCCTCATGCCCCAAAACCACATTTTATAGTAGTATCCCCTAGGTCATGGGTTAGTTAAGACGTCCACCTTCTCCTCCTGAAGGGAATGGGACACCACACAGAGTCCTCCACCGCCACCCCGTCCTGTGACCGTCAGTGACACGAGAATAAGTGCGCTAACCTAGGCTGTTATCCCCGGGGAAATATCACGTGTGGATGCCTGGTTGCAACAAGCAATCCAGGCTGGCCTATCAAACCTACAGTAAATGGTTAATCAATTCATGCTTGCAGAGTTCTCCTGCGTGACACCCGTCTACAGTGACCGTGATCGACACGAGATTAAGTGTGTTAACCTAGGTTTGTATTCCCTGTGGAAAAATCACGTGTGGAAGCCTGGTTGCCACGGTGTTCACAAGAGAGGATGCAAACAATCTTGCTGCGTTTGAGGACAGACGGTTCGACACAGCGCTGACCTACATTGTGTTCACAGAAGAGGTCATAAGAAATAAATTGCCAAAGCTAAAGGTTCAAAGAGTCCCAGCCCTGACATAGTGCATCCTAGAGTGCTAAGAGAGTTGTGCAACTAGCTTGCTGAGTCCCTGAAGATCCTATTCTGTAAATACCTGGATGAACAAAATGTCCCCAGTGATTAGAAAGTGGCTTATGTGAGTCCTATCTTCAAGAAGGGCGATCGTCACTCCACGAACAACTATAGACCGGTAAGCCTGACCAGCATAATATGTAAAGTACTTGAGAGTATTATCAGAGATGCCGCAGTGGAACATCTACGAAACAACCTTGTAAATGATTGCAACACGGTTTTATGCCGGGGCGCTCCTGCGTGGGTAGAAGACTTTCTACATGAGCGCAAGCAGTGTGTGGTGATTAATGGCACGAAATCATCATCCGTACCTTTCACAAGTGGGGTACCAAAGGGCAGCGTATTGGGCCCGCTGTTGTTTGTTTGTTTCATAAATGACATGCCTGACGTTGAACACTCCTCCATAGAAATGTTTGCCGATGACGCCAAGTTATTTCGGGAAATCAAGAACCAAGTGGACTGTGAAGAGCTGCAGAAGGACCTCTGTGGGCTCCAAGAATGGTTGAAAAAATGGCTGCTGAGATTCAATGTCACGAAGTGTAAGAGGATGCACCTGGGGCGTACCAACGGTAAGGAGGCGTATCATATGTCCCAACGGGATGAAGAAACTGCATTATTTGAGACAATGTGAAAAGGACCTAGGTGTGTATGTTGACAATGAGCTGAAGTTCTCGGGCCATTGCGAGAAGAAGGTAAATCAGGCAAATTTATTATTGGGTCTTATAAGAAGGTCGTTCAGATATCTAAACGGTCTGTCCCTCGTAACGATCTTCAAGAGTGAAGTGCTTCCCCATCTGGAGTACTGTCACCCCGCCTGGTCCCCGAGATATGCTAGGGACTGTCAGTTGGTTGAAAATGTTCAAAGGAGGGCCACCAGGCTGGTGCCTGCACTTCGGCACCTCAGCTACCCTGAGAGATTGGAGCGCCTGAACTTGCCTAGCTTATATTACAGACGGGCAAGGGGCGACCTAGTTGAGGTGTATAAGCATCTCAGGGGGCACTACTCAGTCGAGTGTCCTTACTTGGAGCTGGCGGACGCTCGCCCCACAAGGGGTCACAGCTCAAGATTGAAGAAGCCGCAAGTCCAGAAAACTGTGAAGAGGATAAAAGAAAAGGAAAAGTAATCAGAGACGTGACCGATAGCCCAAGTGGCTAACGAGCCGATCAGTGGTGAAGAGGATAAAAGTAAAGTAAAGTAACAATATAGGTATGCTATACATGGTGTTTCTCAAGTTATTCACTTTCCATCTGTTTTTTTTCTCAAATACTGTTGTTAGTAAGGTAGAGAAAAATATTGTCAACCAGATTGAACGGATATATGCGTCAAAATTAAGGATCCCTTTAAAAAAATAACCTACAGTACAATAAGACAGTTATTGAATAATTTATAATTCATTAATTAGTTTGTAAAAAATCTGATTTGAATAATAATATCTTATAATAAAAAATTGACATTTATATATATTACCTGAAATAATCATTTATACCCATACTCCCTTAAATAAATCGGCGGGAAAACAAAGGCAGAGACCCACCAGGAGGAAGGAGACACCTGCCTTAGGAGAAATGGATCTAGCAACATACAGTGATAAAAACTGGGTCAATACATTCGTCGATTCTACTATCCCTGACATATGCAAGGAAGAACCATGTGTGTTAGGTGTAGATGAAGCTGGCAGGGGCCCAGTACTAGGTGAGAACATACCACTACTGTGTGTTATCCTCGTCTATTGTATACCTATACTGTGTAAATCTTGACCAAACAAATAAAATCGATGAAGGTGGAGGAGACAGTTATCACCAGAATGAACTTTTGGTGGTAAATTATAGTAGTTCACACAACTCTGTAAGAAAGTCAAAACTGCCTTGTGTTTTAGTTATCGCCCCCAGGATTTTGGGTAGAGAGAAACAATCGTTTTCGACAAAAATCTTGGCCAAGTGAATGCAAAATACACCATAAAGCTCTAGAAAAACATAAACCTAACTTTTTTTGGATGACCTAACCAATCCTAACCCGATCAAACATAACCTGACCTATCCTAACCGACCCTATCCTAACCTAACCTGACTTAACCTGACTCAGTGTTTTTACATAACCAGACTCTCACCATATGAGGGAATCACTGTTATTTTTACTTTATTCCGAATACGAATCCAAAATTCGAGTGGGCTTGGGAGGTGGAGAAAACCATGAGATCTAAAAAAATGCTATTGTTTGTTCGTTTTTTCACAAAAACGCGCAATCAACTCCATATAATTGATGTGGCACCCATCGCAGACTTTCATGGCCGGAAATGAATTTGAATTTCGATGCATGAGACCCAATATCACAATCGGGAATTCTAAAAGCAAAAACCACAATTCATTTTAATTGGTGGCAAAAAAAGAAAGCTTTTGATTGTCCAAGTTACCTGTACGGGAACGCATGCTCCCGACAATTTATGCGACCTGTGGTGTAATGGTCAGCATGCTCGCCTCGCAAGCTAGCGGACCTGAGTTTGATCCTCGAGCAGGGTGAAACTATGGTCAAGTTTCTTTATGCCATTTGCCTCTGTCTACCCAGCAGTAATTGGGAACCTGGATGTTAATTGATTTGCTGATTGTATTCCGGGGTAATGGTTAGCCAGTGCAGTTGGCGAGCTATCCACTCTTCTCGGACTATAGCTCCTCCCCGACTTACGACCACCCGGACATAAAACCGCCTCAGTTGTACCAAAATTTTGTCAAATTACGTATTTTCGAGTCCCAACGGCAGTGATTGCACTGTGTACTGAAAATTCTTTTGGTGTGTAATTCACTTTAAAATGGCTGGCAAGCTTAAAAGTGAGAGTTTTGGGGTGCTGAGAAGAAAAAGAGACACCCATTTAGGTTTTCTATGTATTATTTAAGCATTTTCGACTTACGACCATTTCGACTTATGACCTGGATTTGGGTCCCTAACCCCGTCGTAAGTCGGGGAGAAGCTGTATTCCGTGACACTGGGTCATGCAGCTCATTAACTTGGGGTGTGGTTGTTGTGTTGGCGACAGCTTCTACACCTTAAAAAAAAATCGTGCCTAGGAGGCCCTTGGGCTGGCCATCCTCGATTTCGAGGGGCTTCCATTATATTATATATGAAGGGAACACGCTGAGTGGGAGGTCGGGTAGGCGATAATTGCTGAAGATTAATGGAATTAAGGAGAGAAAGATATGGTATGCGCCATCTCCGTTATCATTTGCTTTTGACGGTCATGTAATAAAAGAAAATTATCTTAAAATTAGACGTCTTTTTCGAATATAATTAAAGATTTTGGGTAGGAATGCTGTGTGAACTACTATAAAAATACCCTTATGAAATTGCACCAAGATTTCTGGAGTTAATTGCAGGATTGTTGATATTTATCCAGTTGTCTGTTGGGTATTTTTTTAGACTAATACCAGGAGTTGATAGAATTAGGTGAAACTTTGTTGTGATTCATTTGAATTAGACCATTTCTATCGCAAATAACTTGTTTCCGAGTTATGACCCCCTACCCCATGACAATAGTGAGGGGGGGGGGAGTAAGGTGGAAATGGTTTATATTTGCAATATAAATGAAGGTTAAATTGAAATGAATCACAACAAAAAAGGCTAATATTGACGACTATACTGCTGATGTGTTATTTGTTTTGATGTTTGAGGTATAGTCACCAATATTAGCTGGTTAAGGTTAGGTTAGTTTAAGGTTTGGTGAAGTTAGGTTAAGTTGGGTTAGGTTAGGTTAAGTTGAACTTTTAAATAAACACTTTCACACATTTGCCTTAACTGCGACAGTGTCCACTATAAAACAGTGAAATTGTGGCATTTTTAAATTTGCAAACTTAACCCAACAATCCTAACCTAGCCTAACTGCGAGGACCCAGTTGCTAACTTACGTGCACCCAGTGTTGCTTCAAGCGCCCTCCTGATCTCATCTGCTCCCGCCCAAGGGAAATAATTAAAAAATCCAAACCAAAAACCAAATTCGTTATTATTCATTTATGACAATATTACATATAAGGGAAAAGTTGCAGATTGGTAAGAAATGTTGATGCACCAAACCTATTAGAACTTGAACCTATCCTAAAGTAACCTTCCTAACCCTACCTTACTTACCAGAAAAACCTTTTAAAACATACCTAACAATGCTTAATGGATTCTTGTTTCAATTTATGTATTAACTCCTTTGGTATTAGTCTAAACAAATTACCTAACCGACAACCAGCCAAAAGTTAAAAAACAAAACAATGATTTCGGAACTATATCATCTCGATTATGCAAGTAGACTTAGGGCCTTAGGACTTACAACCCTTCAGCCAAGCAAAATAGGGCAGATGTAATTGAAACATTCAAAATCCTTAAAGGGATGGAAAACACCAACCCGGGATATTTCTTTGTGATGTCGCGCACCACCAACTTGAGAGGACATACCGGTAGCTCCAAGCTAACCAAGTTATTATGCAGAAGGATTATATGTACTGTATAGGGAAATACTTTTTCACACAGGGGTTGGTAGACCTATGGAACAGTACCAGCCCAAGCTGTGGAATCAGAACAGTAGTGGGCTTCAAAATAGCCTTTGACAGAATTACCAAGAACACTGGAGGGATCCTATATAAGCTACCGCCCTCCTTGCCTTGGCATGGCCGCCTCTAGAGGGTTGACATTTGGTAAATAAGGTACTACCGAGAGAAGTACCATGAATGGGATCAAAACGAATTATTTTTTTTTATTGGGTGCTCATTCCTGCTAATATCAGATGTTTCATGATGGTGTCTCAGTTTACCAAAGCACCAAAGGATTGAAGACCACGGCCTATTTGCTTTTTTATAGAAGTAAACACCCAAATGACATAATGGAACTGACATATATAAGAAAAGTTAAAAAACAAAACAATTATTTGGTGTGCTAGATAACTTATATTTTCTTTATCGCCAATGTCACAGGTCCTATGGTGTATGGGATTTGCTTCTGTCCAGTTAGCAAACATGAAGACCTCAAAGCTGCAGGCGTGGCTGATTCTAAGACACTGTCAGAGGAGCAGAGAGAGAAGATATTTAGTATAATGCATGAAAACAGTGATTACATTGGTTGGTCACTCGAAGTCATATCACCATTAAATATATCCAACAGCATGTACAAAAGGTAAGACCAATGAATCTGCCTTAATGGTGTACCCTGAGATGGTAAATGCAAAGTACGGTAATCAGCTCAGGCAGTTACAAGAATTATTTTTTATCATTCTCTAACATTAACGTACAGTATTCAAAACTTAACACTATAACTTTCCACAATCATTTATCAAGATCCTTGTTGTTGTAGGATTATTTACTAGTGTATAACTACATGTGCAAAACCCCATTGAATATGTTACTACTACTATATGTAAGTATGAACCCCTTTGTCTCAACCCGTATACTGTATTTAGATTCAGTTTTTATTAATATTGTATGTACTGAATTTCCAAAGACTACAGTCAACAACAAAAAAATTCTACGCCTTTTCAGTGTTAAACAATATGACACACCAAGCCAATAATTCTGAACAACATTCATTTACTAGGGTGATTCTTGTTAATTTCTCCATATTAACTATACACGTACTGTATACCCCAAAACCAATTTCCCATTAGGAAAAGTTTGGAAAAATTATGAAAAGTTAAATAAGAATTTCAGTACTTATTGTATACAGATACTGTACTGTCTATCACATCTTTTCAGACCAAAAGTATCACTGAATGAGGTATCGCACAATGCAGCCATTGGCCTAATTAAGCGTGCTATTGCAGCTGGGGTGAAGGTGTCTGAAGTCTATGTTGATACTGTGGGTCCTCCAGAGAAATATCAGGTTGGTATTTTTAATTCGAGTGATGTACTGCATTAGTCTAAAGAACTACAGCCAATGGAAGGATATCCTTGACATCTGTCAAGGTTGTGTTGCTGTGGGTAGTCATGCTAATTTGTACAATATACTATATGTTGTTGCTCCAGTACTACAGTGCAATATTTATATTGTGTGAAATGTAGGATAATCTGTGTTTTAAACAGTAATGGGTCTTTTTTCATAGGGAGAACTTTTGTCTGGGAATTATTGAGTTTGCCATCCAGTGGTGGGGAATGCATCTGCTTAAGGGGGGATCCAATCATTTGAGGAGGCTGACTTTAAAGTGAACAGCAACATACCTAATTTGTTTTTATTATCATGGATTTGTGCCATTTCATCTTGCTTATCCACCCCCTCCTGTGTAATACAATTAACTAGTCATAGGTTGCAGAGTTATAAGAATTATTCAAAGTGGCACTCAATTCTAATTGGTATTTTACTATCCCATCCTCAGGCTAAGCTCCAAGATGTCTTTCCTACTATTAAGGTGATCGTTGAAAAGAAAGCTGATGCTTTATTTCCCTGTGTTTCAGGGGCAAGTATTTGTGCAAAGGTGAGCATTAATGGCTGTTTATTGACAAATATCAAAGTTTAGCACTTCAGCACAGTAGTGCCTTGATTTGTGGAAATTTAAGAAGGAAGAGTGAGGAAATTAAAAAAGTTCCTTGAAATTTTCAAAGTTGCCCCCTTCTGCCTCAGTGCAGAGATCTGTGAATAAATGATTACAAAAACCTACTGGGGTTTCACTTCAAATTCACTCTCATTAATACAACATCTTAAATGTATTGTCACATGGAAACTATGCAGATTCTGACATTTTACCATAGAGACATTGTGGTTTAGAATTATCCAAAGATTTCATCCTCCAATTTAATGTACTCTTTGCTGAATCACCCTGTATATATATATATATATATATATATATATATATATATATATATATATATATATATATATATATATATATATATATATATATATATATATATATATATATATATATATATATATATATATATATATATATATATATATATATATATATATATATATATATATATATATATATATATATATATATGAAGTACCCTCTCCTGAATTATATACTGTATGCAGTATGTATTGTTCATTCCTTTTTACTTGACTTCTCTCCTTCCAACAATTCCTATTGTTTTATTTTTCAATTTTGGTGTTCATTTTCTATTATGAAGGAGTGTGGCCAGGCAGGTGTTTATCCCAGCTCTTATCATTCAGTAACTCCCAGGTTTTTTTTTCTTATTCCCTTCACAGGATAAGATTCAACTGAGGGTTGCCTCTTCTTATCATTTAGTTCACCTGAACATGTACCTGTACTGCAGCTACTGTATTCAATTTATTGCAAATATTCTTCAATAACTTTTATGTTTGCTTGTTGAAATTCTAGGTAGCTCGTGACAGAGCTTTGAAAAAATGGGAGTTTCCTGAAGGGACAGAAGTAGACAACTGGGGTAGTGGATACCCAGGAGGTGAGGCAAACCGATACATTACAGTATGTGTACTGTACTGTACTTATTTTAATAGCCTGAAAGCACATTGTTAACCCTGTGTATACTGTAGCATGTGTCATAAAGTTAAAAATGCAGACCAAACTCTCAGTGCTAACCAAAGGTATTACAGTACTGTATAATGTTACTGTGACATTAATGAGCCTTTATTAATAAGTACTATAGTATACAGTATTGGGGGGATGCTGGAGGGGTTTTAGACTGTATGTAATATGTAACTGTATGCCATAATGTGAGTCAAATGAAAGCAGTTAAAATTATAGAGTTATGTATCCTGATAAAATCATCCTGAGTGTTAAACATGCTTTCTGGTAGAGATATACCGTCCTGAATGGTCAAAATGTTTAATGAAAGTTCATACACAAAAGTGCACCAGGATGGAATAATAAACATTAAAAGATACAGTAAGACCCCCCTAAGGCACACTATATGGGGCTCAAGCTAATCTGACTTATGTAGACCCCTGACCCCCTGTAATTTAGACCACCATTTTGCTGAAAAATCATATCCAAAAACAAAATTCAAGTTAAAATACTTATTTACAGTATACAGTACTTACATTGTAGCAGAGGAATTTTAAGGTTATTGCAGCAGATAAATCTTGATGAATCTTGAGTTAGAGGACAAGGGGGGCCACATAAACTTTACTGTAGCTTCACTTATACAGTAGAACATCGATATGACAGAGATAGGCTCCAAGAGAGGTCGCTTTAAACCGAATTCGCACTAAATCAAAGTGTTGTTTCAATGGAATAATTTAGTTTGGTACTTGAGAGAAACACAAAAGACTAAAAAGACTGAGAGTCTACCCAGATGCACCTCAGCCCATCTCTCCTAGAATAACATAATTTTTTTTTTTTTAATATTATGTTAAAACAAACACTCATAAATCAACACAGCTAATATTAAGGGATGCAAAATGGTCTGTTTACTGGCTGGGAAGATGTATAGTAATTCTTGCCCATGGTTCCCCAGATGCAGTAACAAAGAACTTCCTTATGAACTCCATTGACCGGGTGTTTGGCTTTCCTGGTATAGTACGGTTTTCATGGTCCACAGCGGAGAAGATCATTGATGAAAAATGTGTTCCTGTGACTTGGTGAGTTAATTCTCTATTAGTCAGTAGATCTATATTCTATAAAGACTGAATATGTAATCTAGAGAAGAAGTGAAATTTATGTATTAGTAGGTAGTAGGCAGTTATCAAACAGGGAGGTACTACCACCTATTGCATAGTGGTACAAAGCCGTTGGGTTTGACTTGACCTCATTAACAATCTGCCTCTGGAACTCTTTTTTTTTCAGCCCTTCAACACTCTGACTTTGCTTGGTTAGCGTCCATCAACAACACTCAGCTCATAATACCCACACTGTGCTACACACACCAACACCACCCACACATCACACGTACACCCTTACATCACACACAAACACACCTTCCAACACCACCCACACACCTCTACATCACCCACACACCTCTACATCACTCACACACACCCCCAACATTACACCTACTACTACTTACTTTGCTGTCATTCGGAATCTAGTATGACGATCATCCAGCTGTGGTAAAATGATATGGGTTATTAGGGATGTCACCTAGGTTAGTGAGTTTTGAGGTGACTAAAAAGCCCGATATGGGACTGGCAGCGTCGTCCACATTCGTTGCACATGTGGAGGGCTCCGTGTACTGTGGGAGGGGCAGTAACATTACACACACACACACACTCCCACAACCACACACACCCGCTAAAAACCACACTCACACACCCCAACATCACAACTCCACACACACACATTCCAACACCACTCATACACCCCCAACAAGGGAATTAAGATGGCATTCTTGAGGAGTGAGAGTCTTATGTATGACACATCTGCGTGTGTGTGACTGCATGGTAGCGAGTTAAATATTAACTGTTTAGGAGCGCTTGGTAACACTCATTTCCACTCCATCTCTCTAATTACCCACACCTTTCTGCTTTCTCACTCCATATTTTAAAATGTTATGTAACGTAATGTTGAGGGGATACAACTTTGCTTATTTATACTTATACTTAACACAATCTCTTAAAAAATACTTTAGGTTGGCAGTCAAAACGGCTGAGGGTCCACCAGAGGGCTTCCGTTAGGGCAGCAAAGATCATGTTAGTGGTGCCATGTAATGGCCTAAAGCCACACTGAGATTCTGGTAGGAAGTTTTCTGCCTCAGGAAGAAGTCTGCTTAGGAGGACTCGGGCGAAAATCTTGCCAGCCACGGACAGTAGCGAGATCCCGCGGTGGTTGCCACAGTCTGACCGGTCTCCCTTGTTCTTATAAATATTGATGATGGAGGCATCTCTAAGAGCTTGGGGGATTTCCTCCTTTGCCCATATATTCTCCAGGAGAGAGTGGAGACGGTTAGTAAGCAGAGGTCTTCCTGCTTTATACAGCTCGGCTGGGATTCCATCAGGCCCTGAGGCTTTGTTATTTTTCATCTGTTTGATGGCAGTAGCTACCTCATCCAGGGATGGAGGATCGCTGAGATGGGTCAGCTCTGGTTGCTGAGGGACCTGCTGGGTAGTCAGGACATCCACATCAGTGTTTCGGTTGAGCAGCAAATGATAGTGCTCTTTCCAGCGCTGATGGATGCCTTCTTCATTGTTAATTTGGGAGTTACTGTCGGATGAGTGGAGGGAGGGCTGTGCCATGAGTGATCGGCCCATAAATTTTTTTTAGTGCAAATGAAAAATTTACGCATTTCCTGATTACTCTCAAGATTTCACTTTGTGTACCGACGCTTCAGGACTAGGAATCGGAGCTGTACTCATGCAGTTGGACTCAAGAGGAAAATTTAGAGTGATTGCTTTTGCAAGTCGTAAACTTAATGATGCCGAAACAAATTATTCAGTAACACATTTAGAGACGTTAGCTGTTGTTTGGGCACTAAAAAGTTTAAAGACATCATTTTTGGTTATAAAATAACTGTTTTTACGGATCATGCGGCAGTAACAGAACTGTTCCATGGTAGAAATATATCAGGCAGATTAGCACGCTGGTATTTGACCATTCAAGAATTCAACTCCGAGTTTAGGTATTTACCAGGAAGAGCGAATGTGGTCGCCGACTCCTTGTCTAGAAATATTGCACCAGTGCTGCCTGTATCTATGATCACTCTTTCACAATTAGAGGATGAACAACGACGCGATCCCTTGTGGTCTGCAGTCATTTTTGCTTTAGAGTCGGGAGAGGAAGTTAAGCTTCCAAAATTGATTCTTCCGCTCAGTCAGTTTGAATTACGACATAACATACTCCATCGATCCAAGAAGACGTCTGAGGGTATAGTTACGCAAATAGTCGTACCTGACACGTTGTGTGAAACGATTATAACATTGTTCCACGATGTTCCTCAAGCAGGTCACCAAGGATGCGACAAATGCCTTGCGGACATTAGGAAAAATATTTTTGGAAAACTATGAAGAAAGACATAGAATTGCATATTGCTAAGTGTTTGTCATGTGCTCAACATAAGTGTACTACAAAGTCACCGGCTCCAATTCTACAATATCCTACACCAGAACGTCCGTTTGACACAGTCGGGATAGACTTGTTACAACTTCCGAGAAGTCATCAGGGATCCTCGTACGTCCTAGTGTTTGTGGATCATTTTTATAGATTTGTGATTTTAGTTTCACTGAAGGATAAAACAGCCGAATCTTGTGCCTATGCCTTAGTGATGAATCTTATACAGTGATCCCTCAGTTAACGAACACAATTCGTTCCACAGAGTCGTTCGTTAACCGAAAATTTCGTAAGCCGAATCCATTGTTTCAATGGGATATTGGGTAATTGGTTCCAGCTCACAGAAAAGTACATACTACAAAGTAAAAAATAAAAATGCAGTAAAGTGCACTTACTTTGAGGTGTGTATGTAGAAGGTTCCTGGTTGATGATGATGGGAATTAGAAGTGGGGGTGGAGGAGAAGGGAGAAGAGAAGGAAGTGGGGATGGAGGAGAAATCACCTTTCAGGGGACCCGTGCTTGATGCAGTCATTTCACCAATAAAATTTTAAGTTCACTAGGTGTAATTCAAGATTATTTTATTTAAATCAACACTGCACTGTGCTATATATTATCAATATGTTAACTAAATTTCAGAATGACCAATAATTTTAATGTAAAAATGCAAAAATATTCAAGACACCAACAAAATCAATGTTCTCTCCACTGTCAACAAAGCCAAACTGGTGGGTGAGTCAAGCGGCTGATGGGCGCACAAAAACCTAGTTCCCTGTACTCCATATATTATCAATATGTTAACTAAATTTTAAAATGACGAATAATTTTACTATAAAAAATGCCAAAATATTAAAGAGCACAACTTTCTTGATATTTGCTCCACTGGAAACGAATGTAAACATAGAACAGATTACTGAATTGGCAGACTAGCCCATCAACTGATGGGCTAGTTTGCATCATGGGCCTTTATCAAAAACCTTTGTTCTTGGTATCATTTTGTTTCGCACAAGAATTGTAAAGCTACTTTTTTTTCCCAAGTGTACTCAACCATGTTCCTAATGTTTAAGCAGGGTTGCAGTGTCACTTGAAGTGAATAATTTTGAATAAAATTGAATCATTAAAGTCCTCTGAATTTTTTGAAAAAATATCAAAATGTGGGAAGAGATTTAAAGGATTTTTTTTTATGATTATCTGCTTTTGCAAATGTATAATCATTGACAGGAAAGCTGCAATTAAAATCTTTCAAAAGTACTGTACAGGTATATCCACTTACCATCAAGTGTTAAAAATGTGAGGAGAAGCTTGAAACATTGTCAAAAGTTTCCTAAAGTCAGCACATTGACAACATACTTCTTTATGGATATGGAACCAACATAGAAGATGTAAAAGACCTGTAGTAATTCCATCTGCAAATTCTTTCTACTGTTTAAACTGTTCAGTCAATTTATATAATTTGTTGAAATTTGGTGTACAGTGTACTGTATTTTTTCATTAACATCTATATAAAGTATATAAATGATATGAGGGCATAGTGTTGAATGTTTTTAAGGGATAACAGCAAATGAAGGGAATCTACCAGTAATTGCTCTTGACTGTAACCCCCTGTAGTACAGCAGGAAAGGGCCTGAAAAAAAGTGATATTATGGTACTGCTTATCCATTGCATTTTATTTTTACAGGAATGATGAAGATGAAGAAGATGAGAAAGACAAGACACCTTCTGTCTTGCAGTTCTTTGCCAGAAAGCATAAATCCTCAGATGGTGGGTCAGCAGCCCCTCCACCACCCAAGAAGCGACATCACTTCTTTACAGAACGCTGCCTGAAGTCTGTGGAGAGCTTCTGAAATTTAAATTTTTATAAGAGTTTTTCATGGGATAATTAAGATTAGGCAAAGGTTACAAGTATCTCAGGTTGGCAGTTCTTCCGCTTTCTTGTACCTGTCTTCAAATTTTTTTATCTTGACCCATTTGCTTCTGTTTACAAAAACATCACTTGTTTACTTTTGATGGGATGAATTCTTGGAAGAGTTTTCAACAGGGTCATTATAACATACCTGATATGGAGATCCATACATAAGAGTGTTATTTCTTACTTATGAGCAGAGTTGTAAAAAGTACTGGACTTTGTTACTTTAGTAAAAGTATTGTTACATTGGCAAAATGTTACTCAAGTAGATGTAAAAGTATCGATAGATCAATGTACTCAAGCAGAAATAAAAAAATATCTCATTCATAAAGTACTCAAGTACTGAAAGTAAAAAGTAACAACAAAATTATTAATTGCTTCAAATATTAAATCCACAGTAAATTATAAAAAACTACTTAACTAAAGATAAAAATAAAAGACACAGCATTACACATGCTTTTTTGCAAATCTTTCTATTGAGATTAATCAATAACTGGTTCTCAAAATTATGGCTGACCAATCAGGATCTTTTAGGCCTAAATATAAACCCAGCATGACCTACCGAAAGAGAATATGTTCTGCTGCTCTTCTCCCTATAAGCCATCGCAGGGATAGTGAACAGTGTTGTATTGTTCATCGTGTCTCACGTCCCCAAAATCACATTTTAGCCAATAGGCCCTAGACCATGGTTTAGTCAGGACATGTCCTGTGGACTGTCAGTGAGATTGTTTGTGTTCTAACTCAAGTCACCTTATTAGTTCTCTGCAACACCATGTACAATGACTGTCAGTGACACGAGACTATGTGTACCAACCCAAGGTTTTGTTATTTTCCGTGGAAAGAAGATCACGTGTGAAGGCCTGGTTGCAGCAAGAGCGATCCAGTCTGTAAGTGAATGTATCACTTGAGGAATTAAGGCTCTCTGAAGTCATACCCGGAGTAGTGTAATTAAATATGCGTCCCCAGGTGGAAAATTCCCTCTTTACAAGATTAATTTTATTACGGCATGAATGTGAGTGACTCATATATCCATGCAAATTGTAAATCAGTGTATGGAAGCTTGCCAAATAAATGTAACTGCAATTTTACATGGGGATTAGCCCACCCGGGCACAGGTCACTGACTCACATCAGGGCCTGGGGGCAAAATAACAATAATAATATCTATTATTATTATTACAACAATTAATAGCACATTAATACAAATACAAGAAAAAAAAAAATATCCATAAATAAATACAAAAACGAAAAAATAAATCAAGAGTGAGAAACGATACACATGTACAGTAGAAGTCCAAAAATCCGGACTGCTTGGGGACGTAACAGAGAAGTAAAGTAAAGTGACTGATCACCCAAGCGGCTAACGAGCCGGGGCCACATACTCAAAAGCATTTATGGGACTGTATGTCTTTGTTTGCCCCGTAACTGGAGTTAGTCTCCAATTGGTATACTCAAAACAAATATTTGTCAGTGGACTCCGTAAGCGAGTTTGCAACTTACAGGACCTCTTTATTTGCTGTAACACGCTCAACCCGGATATAGCAAGTTGCTATTTCCCGATTGTATAAAAAATAATAATATATGTTGTAATAAAGCTTGTAAGACTTGTTTCATCATCGAATAATGAAGAAAATGTATTGAACATCAACATACAGTACTAAAATACGAAATTACAGTTTGTCTTTTTTATGTGAAAAGGCTCGAGTATGTTTCTTTTTGTTGCGGAATGAAAGAGACTCATTTTTTGTCATCTTACAACTTATCAAGTATGTACCTAATTTGTACTAAAATAGAAGATTTGTATTGTCCATATTTATGGTACAAATAATTTTTATGAGTGAATAAATATGCAGATAGACCAATTGTGGTAAAACCATAGATACCCGTCAGTAATGAAAGCCAAATACGAGGTCAAGTGAAAACTTTTGCCTAGACTCCGCCTTCTTGGTATGACCAGGACCAAGTTATAACAAGCTATTCTGCCAAGTATCCAAGAAATAACCATGACTCAAAGTTAAATAATACCTAACCCAATCTAAGATCATCAAACCTAATAAGAAAGTGGATAGAAATTAATGGTGGTATAGGAGCTGAGAACGTCACTGCTGTCTCGACACAGATCAGACACTACCCAGCTAGCACCATCGCTGCACTTCCCGACTGCTCGTTCAAATTCTGGTTGTGTTTCTCTTCTGATGTGTCCTGGGGCTCGTGGGCTGATTCCCCAGACCTTCACCGGTCACCTGCTCCAGCTACTACCTCAGCTGCCACATCAACACCACTTCCTTCACACCCTCTCCATCGTCCGTGCCCTGGCCATTTTTCCTGTGTAGCAAGACATCGCCCACCTCAAGTGAGGAAGCTGACTTGACCTTCTCCCTGAGAGCAGATCACTGCTTTCCAGAACCTCCCCCAGGGCCGCCGCTGTAAGAAATATTTGTTAATTGTTTGATTCTCTTAATTGTTTGATTCCATTAATTGTTGACTCCCTTAATCGTTTGACTCCCGTTAATTATTTGATTCTCTTAATTGTTGACTCCATTAATTGTTTGATTCCCTTAATTGTTTGACTCCACAACATCTACAAGAACCCAAGGGGCTCACTGGAAGTGACTCAATTATTCGCTTCAGCCGCTGACCACGCCACACTCATAGGGGGGGATTTCAATGCACATCATCCCTTCCTAAGCTCGGTAAGCCCCACAAATGAAGACGGCCTACACCTATACACCACTTTTCAAGACACACCCGAGATCACCCTTCTAAACACCGGAGAGCCCACCCACGTCAGGGGAGGAAGGCTAGATCTAACCTTCGTCTCCAGTGCACTACAGCCTTCGGCCTCCTGGCAGCTACACCCCACGCTGACCAGCGACCACTTTGCCACCCTAACAACACTGAAGGTGAACAAACTCCCCAGTTCACCCCTGCCGAGATGGAGATAAAATACCCAAAAGGCAGACTGGGAACTCTATAGGAAATACCTGGCGAAGTGGCGCGCCAAATCACAGCCGACTGGTGCAGCACCCGTGGACGAGACAACCCCCCACCAACAAGATCGAGGCGTTTCACCAAGCGGCAGAAGAGGCTATTCCAAAAAGCAAAACCTACCTTCATGGCTAGGCTGAGGAGTATTTATGCGATTCTGCAGGATCAGAGGAAAGAGGTGTGAAGTGAGCGGCGCTGTGAATGGCGGAGGTGAAAGCGGTAACAGGCCAATCACATTGCAGTCCGGGAGTGAAGTCTGTGGAACTCGCTGCTGATTGGCTGGTATCGGACGGCAAGTGATCAGTTGGCAGTTGCAGGGGAGAGTATCCGTAAGGGGCGCTTGTGGTAGAAGCGGTACCGCTCTTGCCTAACAAGCAAGATGTCACGGGTTCGATTCCCCGGCAGGCGGAAGTTGTTTGGACACTTCCTAGCCCACTTGGTCCCTGTTCACCTAGCAGTAAGTAGGTACCTGTTGTAAATCGAAAGGTTGCGAATTCGTGTTCAGGGAAAGTTGTTGGAGCTTCTAAACTTGAACTGACACAATCCGGAGGAGTGGTGACCCGGGGATCACACACCAAAACACAGACAAAAAACCAAATACGTGCGCTATGTGCTAACCAAATAAACGCAGTCGTGTAAAGCCACGGCACTATCTCTCCCACTACAATTCCCTTCCTAACCTCCTGCTCCTTCCTCTGTCATCTTCCCCGCTCTGCCTTTCGCTACCAACAACTTTGGAGCTTCTAAACTTGGAAAACAATACACACTACAGGTACTACTGTCTAGGAAGATATTGGAAGCATAATGTATTGTCCAGTGTAGGGGTAGGCAAAGTATGGCCCACTGGCCACATTTGGCCCGCCAAATTATCTCTGTGGCCCGCCACTGCATTTGGCAATCGGAAAAAAAATCTTATTAATTACAGAAAGGACAATATTGGAAGTTGGGTGGACATAGCAGCAATACTGGCTCGTCCCTGTTAACCTGATAGTGAGAACACCTGCATTAGGTACCGGTGTGGTATGGGAATCCATTAATTATGACTATTAGGTCAAGGGAGACCAAACCTTTTGCCTGAGAACCCATCCTTGACCTCATGGGAATTCTCAACATGTCTTTCTTCCCCGGAGGAACTGGGACAGATGCACCCACCATTCATGAAGTGGGCCCTCCATCAAAAATAATTGCCCACCCTTGGTCTAATGGTAGACCCTGCTGCTACATGGCATCACAAAAATTGTGACCAAGTCCCAGGTTGCTGATCTGACTTTCTATTTACATACAATTGCATAAAGAGAGCAGTATTATTTGATTGTGAATCACGAAAAAGTACGCCATCAAATGTTTAGAACTGTAAGTATTATAAATAGATACACTGAGTACTATATGATAAGTCAAATGTTAAAATTGTATCAAACTGCTTTCCAAGGAGATTTTTCTCTAATGTCAATGTTTGATGACGAGGAAAAGACTTCGGCCATATTTACATTTAAGCATATCTCGATTTACTCTCTTGAGTCTTGAGTGCTATCAACGACTTTTCATTGCTGAGTTCGGATATGATATTCATTTCGTGGGCAAATGCTTCGTTTGGTAGATAATTAGGCCCTTAGGCTCGCACTAGCGGCACTACTTCGTCTTTCAGGGCGGGAAAACCTAGCTTGATATCGTGTTCCGCTCAGACGGGTTCAGTGAGTCAGTGACCTGGTGTGTGGTAACGAGCGGCTCACTACGACCGTCCGAGCTGCTTCTCTCACCTCCACACACACACACACAAAATTACATCATATCAAAGTAAGTTCTTTCTTTTTAATACTCCGGGAGATCCAGGGGGAGGAGCGGTAATTACTGACGGTGACCGGTAATAAAGTCACAGGAAAAGAAGGCACAGAAAAAAGTCACAATTTTGGCTAGGAAAAAAAGTCAGGAAAAAAGTCACATTTAAGGTAATAAAACTAAAAATATTTTAAAACAGTTATTAACTTACAATACATGACTTTTACATATTGACAACAATTTATATATGATGCACGTAGGTTAGGTTAGGTTGGGTTAGGTGACTTTTCTGTGACTTTTCCTGTGACTTTTTCTGACTTTATCTGATTTTTTTTCCTGTGACTTTTTTTTACCTGGATTCATTACTGACGACATACCGTCGCCGAAGTTATATGAAGTTAAGGAGGTTTCTTTGTTAGGTTGGTGCAGTCTTCTAACAACTCTTCGGCCGCTTGTGTTTCCTTTCAAGTAAGTTTAGGTTAGGTTTAATTTACATATAACCCCATTTTAACACATTTTCAAAACATTGAAATTGCACCTAGTTTAAATTTTTTATGATAATTCGGAGATGGGTATGTCGATAATTACTAGAATGTAGGGAAATAGAACGAAAGTTAAATATTATTGTCTGTTGCTAGTTTGGCGGACATTTTTGGTCTCATTTTGCTCAATATTTGATGCTTAATGCAATGGAGAGTCATTTTTTTTACCTAACCTAACCTTAGTACGCAGTAAAGTCAGAGTGGATGACCAGAAATATTTGTTGCTTTTCAGTGGAAAACGGTCATAGTAATGGAAAAACAAACGCGATTTTTTTACTTCGTGATTCTCAACTCGGAAGTTGGAAAAAACATAGTAACGTTTCCACAAATACTATTTCCATTGCATTAAACATCAGATATTGAGCAAAATGAGACCAAATTTGTCTGCCAAACTTGCAACAGTTGAGCAAGGTCCAAATATTAACCGAACAAAAATTAATAGTATTCTTATAGCATTTTCGTTGGGAACTTACATTTTCTAGTTATTTTGATTTTTCTATTTCATTTAAGAAAGCACAATCAGTCATATTAGCGGGTGTGACACTCCTGCTATGCTAAAAAATCAGACTTAAGTGTTGGAATTTCTAAGTCGCAAGATGTTTCTCTCTGTGAAGGTGCTTTTTCTCAGAGTTGCAAACCATTTAACGTGTTTTTGTAAATAACGCCGCCCTGTGCATTTGACATTTTCAAGTCCAATGGTGTTATGAAAAAATGCAGACAGCCATTATCGTGAAGTTAACACGTTTGGTTTATCACGAAACTAAGCAAAATCCCCAAGACTTTGGTAAAGTTTGGTTAGGTCAGGTGTCGGTAGGTTTGGTCTGGTCAGATATTTTGACCCCACAATTTTCTCTACTTTAAATCCCTGACCATTTTGTGTAGTCAAAATTGCACTTTCTTAAGTGAAACAAATCAAAATAACTCGAAAAATAAGGTATATAGTTTAGTATACTGTATACGACAAAGACGCTAGTGTATATATATATATATATATATATATATATATATATATATATATATATATATATATATATATATATATATATATATATATATATATATATAACCATTAATGTAAGGATAACAACGGTAATTACAACTGAAACAACAGATAAAACAAGGAAGAGGAACAAATGACAGACGCCGTCTTTAATGCAAAAGGAGGATCAACGGTAATTGCCGCCGTAACAGGAGTAAACCAGTGATGACTGACGTTGCTCTGAGGGGAGGAGGGGGGTAGGGGAGTGCCAAGCGGATTGTGGTGTGGTGTAGGTAGTGAGGCAAAGTGAGCTTCAGTGTGTGTTATGCCGTGGTGCTGAGCGGTCGGGTTTGGATGGTGCGCGCGACGCCGTCTCTCACTGAACGCGGCCGGTCTTGTATTTAGTAAAAAAAACGGGCAGAGTGATCAGATTCCGTCGGTGTGTATCTGCAGGAGATAGTATCAGAGAATTGAGTGTCTCTCTCAACCCCCAACAGTTTAACTAGCGTATACGAAGGTTTCATAGGATTTACTTTTGAGTACATTTTGCACTTGTCAGAAACACAGTCTGGGGGACATGAAGTGTTTTCCTTGTCGATAAAATGTATTAAATAAGACACTCCTCGTAAATCTGACATAATTAGCTGTTAGTTAGGGGGCGTGAGTCCCGAGATTTTTTTTTGTTTAGTTTTCTATGACAACTTAAGCTGATGAGATGCGAATGAATTTGTGGTCCAAAAGAACTTAACGACAGAGTCCTTAATAATTCTCTGTATGTTAAATGATGAACGAATAAGAAGCATACGAAATACATTAAAAATTTAGCTCACCATTCTCTTATTGATAAATGTTCTACATCAGTTTATCATGATGGGAAAATAAAGAAAGGTGATAGAAATAAACCACTGGACAGAAGGCATATGACTAAATCATCAGAAAACCCCCAGATATTTAAAGAGACAAACAAACAGAAAAGTGGCACCCATTTTAGGTTATGGATCTTTTTCAACAGAATGTCTTGTATTCATCAGCATTATGAGTGCACCAATCTATATATTTTTACACCAGATAAACGAACATTATTGTAATTCCCTCACATTCAGGATCTTTCGTATTTTGGGTGTCATCAAGGGACACACAAAAATCGTAGTAATTTTTATAGATAAAAAAAAACACCGTCTGCAGCATAAAAATAAGGTCAGTTAAGTTTCCGGGTCCGTATATCAATACAAATATGGTTCAGTTTCACCCAAATGATAAACAATACGAGTCTTGTTGACGTTACTAGGGTAGGTAATATTTCTTTAAGTAATTTGACTGGTAAGGATATATGTGATGGATGTTTTAAGCAAGACTTGATAGGAAGTGAACTAGTGACTGTAACACACTTGTTCTGAGAGATTAAAGTGAATGGTGAGTGTTCGTGAGGCACTTAACATGATAGAAGTGACTGGTGAATGTTCAAGAGACTTTCCATGATGTTAGTGACGTGAATGTTCAAGAGACACTTCCCATGATGTTAGTGACTGGTGAATGTTCAAGAGACACTTTCCATGATGTTAGTGACTGGTGAATGTTCAAGAGACACTTTCCATGATGTTAGTGACTGCTGAATGTTCAAGAGACACTTTCCATGATGCTAGTGACTGGTGAATGTTCAAGAGACACTTCCCGTGATGGTAGTGACTGCTGAATGTTCAAGAGACACTTTCCATGATGTTTGTTACTGATGAATGTTCAAGAGACACTTCCCATGATGTTAGTGACTGGTGAATGTTCAAGAGACACTTTCCATGATGTTAGTGACTGGTGACCTTTCATGTAACAATCATGTGAGAGTCAAGAGAAACTGGCTTCTGAGTACGATGAACTAACCCCTGAGTACAGTGATTTAACCCCCCTGAGTACGATAACTTAACCCGAGTACGATTAATTAACTCCTGAGTACGATAACAACCCTACAGTAGTACGATTAAACTAACCCCTGAGTACGGTCAATTAATTCCTGAGTACGATAACTTAACCTGAGTACGATAAATTAACCCTTGAATACGATCAATTAATCACTGAGTACGATTAATTAACCCCCTGAGTACACAATTAATTTATACCCTGAGTACGATAAGTAACCTCTTGAGTACAATAAATTAACCCCCTGAGTACAATGAGTTAATTCCCTGAGTACGATAAAGTCACCTCCTGATTACAATAAAGTAACCCCTGAGTACAAGGATTAAATTCCCTGAGTACGATAAATTAACCTGAGTACAATATCATGTTTCTCAAAGGAATAAGTCAACCTATTCAGGGTATTAAGACTTTATACTCAAGGGGTTAAGTAAATTTACCTCAGGGGTTAAATAATTTTGCTCAATGGATTAAGCAATCGTACTCAAAGGGCTAAATACTCTTACTCAGAATTTGTCCTCGTACTAAGGGGATAAATCATAGTACTCAAGAAATTTAAACTTGTATTCACGGGGATAGGTCATGGTACTCAAAGCGGTTTATTATGTTACTGGGCTAAACTCATTGTACTCAGTTTGGCATCGTACTCAAGGGGTTAAAAAGACTACTCAGACAGGAAACGACTAAACGACTAACGACTGCTCCTGAGACATATTTCATGAAGGTATTAAATAGCAACTGCTCTCGAAACACCCTTGGCCGTGCCACTCAATATAAACAATACATACATACATACATACATATATACGTATCAAAAGACAGGAGTGAAAAAGGCTCAGTGGAAGGAGTCTAAACACTAGATTCTAAATTTAGGAATGTTAGACACGTTGTAGATGTGCAATATGGTTGACGAGTCACACTACAATCATGCTTGTTTACATACGCGAGATACTTCATCTCACTGTCACGTCAGATTTAATTGAAGTTGACACGACTACGTTGAATAAATTACAGGTGTTAGTATTAGTTTATTTTCTCGAAAGGTTAAGAGGTTTTCATCGGGTAATTGACGGCAGGTAGTACATCATCTCGGCAGAAACATTCCGCTGGTAGTCGTAAGTGACGTTTGGTGAGAGGATTTAGCTTGATATAATGTCCAAGTCTGTCAAATGAATATGAAGGACATAATCACCTGAAGATTAATCCCCACCAGTTTATTTAACCTAAAAGTAATCATTATAACCACAACTTTAATCTAACCTGACCTAATTTAGTCTAATATAATATAAAACCTTATTTAACGTAATATATCCTTAACTTAACCAATTGTAGCCTAACCTAATATTTTATAACCTAACTCCCTCAGGTAGCGTAAAAGTGGTTAATCTTAATTAAAAGTGAATTAAACTGGGGGGGCTAATCTTCAGGTCTTTAAGAACAATAACAGACATAGATCTAACGTGTTTTATGAATGTAAAATAGATATGTTGAATATTTTCATATCTTTTGGTGGTGATTTAGAAGTTATTTGTGATAAAGTTTTTAGCTCCAACCAACCATAGGGATGTAAGTTTCCATGGCCCAGTTTATCGGTGTTACATAAGGGGTCTTGTAGCTAATGTTGTGCTGTATTAAGTGAGGGATATGTTGTACTTAGTGGGATAATCTGTGTTAGTGAGTGTGTTGTGTTATCTTGGGTATTAGAAATCAAACACTGTTAATATTTACTTTATATGGCAGTAGATATGTATACAGTATGTACCGTCGCCAGCAATTATACCTGGTACAGTGGCTGGCGCGTTTTGTGAGATGTGGCACCTCTGTGTTTGTTTACATCATATTAAAACTCCCGTAATGATCCTAAGGAACCTCACCATAGTAGCCAGACTAAGCTTGCTAGATAAGCATTCCAGTGAGTTGCCACATCTCACAAAACGCGCCAGCCACTGTACCAGGTGTAAAAAAAAATCTTTATTTTAATGATGAGGAATTAAGAAAAGGTTGAAATGATATGATTTATTTAGATAAATTTCAGTAGGAAAATCCAGAAGCACTAATAAAGGACATGTTGCATCATTTTAATGATATTTTCTTTGTGTAATCACTCATAGGAGCGATTTTGGTTTGTGCAGGACAATAAGACCCTTGTCGTTGACGCGATGAGTATAATTCGGTCAAAACCTGTTGAATACAATACACATATAACAACTGCTGGTACATCAGGACACAGTTTGAATAATACGATCAATATACAGTACATAATTACACTTTTTAAAGAAATTTAGAGTTCTCAGAGGATTCAACAGTTCACAATCACACTCACGTTTTGGGGTCTAGGGTTAGACCAACGAGAAGAAATCTAATGTCCTGCTGGTGATATTGGCTGACGAGAATCCAGATGTTGCCTTTACAGTAGAAGGCGATAGACTGTCCCTCAGACAGTCACACTGCTGCTACCAGCTCCATCTGGCTTAGTAAGCGAGATGTAAACAGTCTCTTTCTTCACTTAACATGTGGCCGGCGCGCACATTAACACCTCAGCAAAGTTCGTTGTCAACACTGTCTCTCTCCCTTTCTCTCTCTCTATCCCTCTCTTTCTCTCTCTCGTCTAGTTTATTTTACTGTGGCGATAACACTTAGACTTAATTTCCCTCAATAGCAGCTCAGGCATAAGTATTAGGTGAGGACAATCACACACTCTGAGTAACAGTGTAGAACATAGTATTAAATAACTGCTTCCACTTCCACGTTGCCTCCAGCTGAAATTATTGAAGGGAATTTACTAATTTCATTTAGTTGTTGATGAGCAAACTTCTCTTTACTGTATTTTTAAGTGGAACCTGTGATTGGTGGTTGCCATGTGATGTTATAGTGTTATATTATTTATAAATTGTTGTAGATGTGCAGAGAAAAATTTTATCATATGTATTAATTATTTGATATCCATAGGTACGCGTTGACGACGTGAAACAAAAAGTGCCTCGTGTTGCCAAGTTTGGCCGGTGTCCGCGAGTGTTTGTGTTGTGAACTGAACAATTCTTAATGGCAGTGACACCGAGTGTGATTAGGAGTCTCAGTAGAGTGTCCTAAGCCAGTGGTACACTCAGCTGTCATCAAGAGCCCCACTAGTGTACTAACCCAGTGTCAGGAATTAGGAATTTAAGTGTAAAAAAAAAGAAAAAAGAATCAGACGCGTGTGTTTGTCGAGGTTAATGACTCTGAGTGGACCGTAACGAGGGGAAGTAAGAGTGTTAAGACGGTGATGGTAGCAAGTGGCTCAACTTTAATTTGCGGAGGAGTGAGGATGGCCAGTGAAGACAGACAGGCGCTACTCCCACGGCAGGAGCTTGGTGAGGAGGGGCGCCAAGGGTAGTGGAGTAGGATTTATATCCAGTCCAAAAGGAGGCGGGAAGCATCAGGGGTCATCACGCTCCCTGACCCCCCCATACCCTAAGCCCCACCATGCCCATCAGAAGGGGCCACGTCGCCCCCCAGAACCTCTTCATCGATACTATCATCCGCCGCTTCGATGGCCCAAGTAAGTGTAATATTTTCTGCTTCTCTTTTTAGCTCCTCTTCGACAGGCGGTTATATATTTTTCTCTTGTGCAGATACATTTATTTTTGGTGTAAGTTTTGCTTTTGTAAGTGTGTGTCTGTGTGTGTATGTATGTGCGTGTATGTATGTGCGTGTGTGTGTGCGCGTGTGTGCGTGTGTCTGTATGTGTGTGTGTGCGTGCGTGTGCGTGTGTGCGTGTGTGTGTGTGTGCGTGCGCGCGCGCGCGCGTGTGTGTGTGTGTGTGTGTGTGTGTGTGTGTGTGTGTGTGTGTGTGTGTGTGTGTGTGTGTGTCCCTGACTTACAATGTTTTTTCTAAGTTTTCGTGATGTTCTCTCCTGTATTATTTGTATTCCTGCGAACATTAATATTTATGTGGATATTCTGTTGATTATTATACAGTAAAGTCTCACAATACTGCTAATTTATGTGGTGATCTGAGACTGTATGGGTTTGTAATCTGATACAAACCTAGATGTAAATTATCACTCAGTAGGGACAACATCCCATCATTATGATACTGCAGTTTAGAGATCACTACGAAGGCTTTATGTGTATGAGTCCGCCACACACTTCATTGTAATCCTCCCTTGTATGTTTACTTAGCGTTTACGTAGCCCACTTTGTTGAAATTCATGTCCACACTTTATGAACATTTCCCCCAAATTACGGAAGTCTTGTGTTCATTGCAATGATTCCCGCTGCCATGTGAGTTATAAGCCCACATGAAGTAACAGACATTTACTGTAACTAATTTTGTCATCTTGTTTGTCATCGTAGCTACACTCATCTGACGTCAACCCCCCCATAAAAGTTTTGTTCTGTGGTGATTCTTAAGCTGTAAGGGTTGGGTACCTTGGGTATCTATTTTATTAGTTATGGACAC